GAACCAGAAACCCAGAAAAGGAAATTGCTTAGTCAAACACCTGACCTGAATGGCAATAAATTAGTTACAAGAACAAAGTAAGGAATCTTGGTGTTATCTTTGACCAGGACATGTCATTCAAATCCCACGTTAAACAGGTTTGTAGGATTTCCTTTTTCCACCTTCGGAATATTGCTAAGATTAGAAGCATCCTTTACAGGAGTGATGCTGAAAAACTAGTTCATGCATTTATTACATCAAGACTGGATTAATGTAATTCATTACTCTCAGGAAGTCCACAGAATGTAGTTAAAAGTCTTCAGCTTGTCCAAAATGCTGCAGCTAGAGTTCTGAGGAGAATTAAAAAGAGAGATCATATCTCTCCTGTCTTAGCTTCCCTACATTGGCTACCTGTTAAATTCAGAATAGATTTTAAGATCTTTCTTCTCACATATAAAGCTCTTGATAATCAAGCTCCATCATACATCAGTGACCTGATTGTTCCATACCTTCTTAACCGAGCACTTGTAAAACAACATGTTTTTACTCTGTCGACTACAGAAGCACGTTCAGAAACAAGAAACTTGAAATCGCCATCTTAAAAAAATGGATCGACTGACTATTTGTGTGATATGCTCGTCAGCCACTAGATGGTGCCATCGGATGAGAGAAATAAATCAGCCATCTCCTTTATGCAGCCAAGTGAAAGGAGCATTTTTATGAGACCACGCTCTGACACTAATCATAAATTATCAAACCAGCATCAGAACAAGAACTGGGAATCCTGGAAGCCCTCAGGAGTCAGGTGGGTTTAATCAGACTAAAGGAAGTCCAGGTTCTCTAGTTAAACCTTAAACTGAACTGGTAGAAGTATTCTGAACACAAGCATTCTTTCCCACATGGCTCGTACCTCTCGTATGGTCATGGAGTTGGGGAGATCCTTCTTGTTGGCTAGAACCATCAGTGGAACTCCCTTCAGCCTCTCATCACTCAGAACTTTCTTCAGAGCCTTCTGGGCCTCGGCCATGCGAGCCCTGTCGGTGCTGTCCACCACAAACACCAGAGCCTTGCAGTCATCCAGGTAGTACCTGCACACAGTGCACCTGAGTCTGGTACCTGCAGCCTTGTGGAGACCCTCTGGTGTTCTTTACCCACTTCCAGTTGGGTCTCATGTTCTCCTGTCCACCAACGTCCCACACAGTTAGAGACGTCTTCTTGTCCACGTCCAGATTTCCCACATTGAAGCCCACAGTGGGAGACGTTTTCACCATCTGAAAGTTCAAACGTACTCACCTGAACACCTGTCACTCAGCTGGGTCTGTTACCATGGTAACCTGCATCTGTTATCACTAGTGATTTAATTCCAGCTCCTCGGTTGTTTTTGTTGCTTGAATTAATGTATTAATAAAATGATTATTAATGTATAAAACCTACATCTCTCATGCTGTTGCAACAGTGAGCAGTCTGTTACCATGGTAACTGGTGCTGGTGCCCTGACCAGTACTGGAGTAGCTGACCCTAAACCAGTTTGATCTTATCAAGTCCTGCTGACCTGAAACTCTGTTTTCAGCCAGTCACCATGGTAACAAAGCCTAGTCTGACCAGCCAGCCCCGTGCATCCTTACTGGAAGCATTAGCATTAGTTGTCTGTGTAGAATTAAACAGAGAACGAGTCTGACAGGCCAGACTAAACAGAGCCAGAACCTGCTCTAGATGTGGTTTTGTTCTAAATCAGTCTGAATATTTCCCAGGTAGAGTTCAAAGGTCACGACCGAAACTCTTCACTGATTAAAAAGCTATGAAAAGAGCTATCAAGAGACTCACCTGTCCTGTGAGCAGTTGGGCCAGCAGCGTGGACTTCCCAGCAGAGTCCAGGCCAATGATGACCACCTGGACAAATGTGGCCAGGTGACAGGTAAACATGGGCTCAAACAGGTGTGTCTGTGTTTCAGTTCTGTCAGACTATTATAAAAACTAATGTTTCCAATCAGCTGATCAGCAAGTTGTTTACAAACACATCAGTAAATAACAGCAAAGTGTGTGGATAATAACAGCTAGAACCAGCAGAACCTCAGACAGGTGGAACGTTTACCTGAGGACTCGTAGAGAATTGAGCCTGACCCATCTTCTTCTGCTTGCTGGAGCCAAGAGCAGCCTTACTGAACCTCACCTGGAACACATGTCAGGTGTGTCAGACACCCTCAGACCCGCAGCCAATGGGAGCAGCCGCTGTACGTCATGTGACAGCAGGACAGGTGAAACAGCATTCTTTCTGCAGGAGGTCTGGACATGCCCATCTGCCAGAAACCAGAATCTCAGCAGCAGATGACGACAGGTACAGGTGATGACGACATGTGCTGCTGATGAACAGAACCATGTCAGACATGAAGGGAAGCTCGGGTCCAAGATGGCGCAGTGAGAGGTTTTTTTCTGTGCTTGGTATCCAAAGTGCAGTTAACTTGAAATGCTATATTGTACACAAGGCCGGATTATAATATGGGCAAACTGGGCACAGGCCCAGGGGCCCACAGCCACAAGGGGGCCCACACGAGCAGCAGTCTTTTTTTTATTTTTTTGTGCAGCAGTCTTAACGTTGGAGAAAAAAGTTAACAAGTAATTAAACTTGCGCCCGCATTTTCTAAGTTAACACACATTTCTTTTAACAACGGTAGTTTTTGCATCTTACTGCCTGCTTCAGCCCGCTCCCCCCTCCCCCAGACAGTGGCGACAAACTCACTGGGTGTGTCCGAATCATCGGTCCGAATCATCGACATAAATATACTGGACATCTCCTTTACATAGGCTCCAATATCACGTTTTTGTACTAAAATGGGAGGTGGCCACCACCGCCATTTTGACCGTGTCACAGGTTCCGTCAAGCCCAGACAATTCCAAAAAAGGGAAGAGAGGTGGAGCTGAGGGTGGGGCTGTAAGGCTGGGATCAACTGACGACAACCGGTCGAACTAGCCACAAGCTAACCTGAAGCTAACCCAAAGCTAATGTGGAGGTGGGAGCCGAGCTAACGGATGTAGCCACCTAGCTACTACCGGAGCTAACTCTGTGGAACACCCATCGACCGCATGGAGTTCAGGTGGAGGTTTGCGGCGCTTTTTCATGAGAAGTACCTTTCTGTGAATAAAAAATATTAAATCGGTAAGTGTATAAGTTATTTCCGTAATGAAAATATATTTTGCTTTGAGCAAGTTTTCACTGTTTTTAACGTACCGTATTTTCAGGACTATTAAGTCGCTCCTGAGTCGCACCAGCCATTAAATGTATAATGAAGAAGAAAAAAACATATATAAGTCGTATTTTGGGGGAAATTTTATTTTTCTCATAAAATCTGAGACAAAGCGTTTCACATTACAAGACAAGTACCGGTAACAATAACCAAATAGTGCGCCGCAGCAGCGCGCCACGGTCTCCAGCAGAGGAAGGCGGTGTTTGAAACCCTCCCAGCGGGACTGGGGAACTCATTCTTGGGTCGGAGTCGGCCCGCAGCAGCGCGGTGGAGCCTACATATTTTGTTATATAAGTCGCTCCGGAGTAGCAGGACCGGCCAGACTATGAAAAAAGTGCGACTTGTAGTCCGGAATATACGGTAGTTATTAGTATTTGAGATAAATTAGCAGGCTAAATACATTTCATATATTTCCAAAACGTAATACTTGTTTGTATCTTGTACAGCCAAGTAGCCTTCATTCTGGACTCAGTACAATTCACCAAATGTAAAGAGACATTATACAGATGAAGTAAGCACAAGATAACTTACTGGAAGACACGGAATTATCATGAGAACCAGAACAAGAGAGCCTGATAACAGTCATGTGAAAATAACAGTTAAAAGGTATGTATGTGTAATAGAAATAAAAATATATTAGAATTAGTGTAACTCACTGAGATCCAAACAATAAATCAGCCGTAGCTGATTAGCAATCATGAAATGAGGTCTGGGAGTTTTTAAGTTTCATTCTTTTGTTACATTTTTTTCTTAGATCTGTTAAAAGGTCACCATGGCAGCCTGTGTCTCCAACATCAGCTACACAACGCAGCGTGTAAGTACCAAATACCTGTATTGACCACTTCATGTATGGTTTTGTACTTTAAACAGCTAGGCCAAACCTTTTTTTTTTTCTCCATAGCCATTTGGATCATCGGTGACAGCTGAGTGAGGCGTGGTGCCCAGAGAGCTGCAGAGACCCTGTGAGACAACCTTGGCCTCCCTGACGTCCGTGTCTCCTGGTTCGGTTGGGGTGGACTGAGGTGGAAAGACCATCTCCCCTTCTTTTTCAACTCCATGCATGGAAGAGCAGCTCCTGATGTCCTTCTCATCCACTGTGGCGGCAATGACATGGGGGTGGTCAGCAGTGTGAATCTGGTGAACATGAAGAAGGACCTGCACCGGCTTCACCTTCTACACCCTCATATCACACTGTTGAGAACTGTTCTTCCTCACAACCCAATGTTCCACTCACTCTGCAGCTCTCTGGGCCCCTTTTATTATTTTAAGTATTTTTTAAATGTCCCGACACTTTGTGTCCTGTTATTTTATAAAATGTGATGTAAAAAAATAATTGTTTTTGCTCAATTACCGGAATTTCTTTGGTTAAGACAAAAAAGGAAGGAAGAATCATTTTTGCCAAGTTGTTTCTACAACAGGCCCGTTTTAAGTCCAACAGTTTCTTAGCAGCCAATAGAAATGTGTTCTTTACGAACTTTACTTGGTTTAAAAATCTTACTAAAATAAATAGAGTGCCGTATTGCAAAACCCAATCATACTTGTTATGTAAATATTAGCTTTGAAGATATTTTTTACAGATATTTGTGTGCTAAAAAAAACCATAAACTTAAATAATTTGTTATTCTTTATTGAAAAACAACAAAATAAAGGTATACAGAAAGTGTGGGAAAGTGATAATGTGAAAGTATATCTCTTTAAATGTAATACTATTTATCTTTAAAAAGAAAAACTCTAAAAATGTCCCGTACAGCAACATGACAGAAGAAAGGTGGTCTGTCTGTCAGAATGTGCTGAACAGATTTGCTCTATCAAGAGGAGCGTTTTGTGTACGAGTTTATGTTATAGTAATATTGGTTTGGGTTATGTGTCGCCACATTAGCATGTAAATGCTGAACTAATCTGGAATAAAGAGGGATGCTGACCAGTAGAGGTGGTTCACCACACTTTGCTTCCACAGTCTCACATCCTGGGTCCTCTTTCTCTTCCCCAGCTCTTCATTTTCTTACCAATTCATGGAGAGCCAAATAGACCCACATTTAAAATAGAAAAAAATTCCTGTAATATTCACTATATACATCCCCAAAGATTACCTTTTCCCATGTGCCAGGGGTCAAAGTAGTGACTGATTTCCTTTTTTTCCTCCCGCAAATACTTCTGCACCCCTGTGTGGCGGTCAGTCACAACTTGCTGCACATCGACCCCCCTCTCCAAAAGTGTGCTCAGACTTCGCACAAATCCCTCCTTCTCCATTCGCACACTATTTCCAACTTCATTGCTCTGAAAATAAACGTAATTCTCCATTGATCTGTGAATAATTAACCATGAAATGTATTGGAATCATCAGGTAATGTTGTACCTGTACGAGTTGGATATCAATAACTTTGTTCTTTATTAACACAATCAACAATAAAACATTACGGCCAAATTCCCTCATGATAAAACCAGCTGTCCAGCATAAATAAAACAAGCAGTGGTTCTTAGCTGTCCCAGCTGATATGACCCCCCCCCCCCACCCCGGGGTCTGTGTTTCCGACACCGTCCAACGTCCCGGGGTACAGCTTGCAAGGACGGCGGGTAAATCCACAGCTTAAGACGAAGTGCATTTTGAATAAAAATTTTTAATTTCAATTGTTATTTTAAATATTAAAAAGGAATTTTTTTGTTTATTTACACATTTTTAGTGTGAAGGGGAAAACACTAATTTGAGGCCATTACACTTTTCACCTCACACACCCCCTAGCAGCAGCTCGTGCACCCCTGGTCTAAGGCATTATCCAGAACTACATTAAAGTCTCCACCTAATAAGTAAGCACTAGGATATCCGGTTGTCCAAATAAGTATTTTTTCTTCAATTTCTTCTAGTAAATTATTGTTATCAGAAGTAGCATTAAACCCATAGATATTAACGATTATAAAAATATTATTGCATACATTCAATTCAATTCAATTCAAAAATACTTTATTAATCCCAGAGGGAAAATGATTGCTGTAGTAGCTCATAATAATAATAATAATAATCAAGTCATCAAAGAGTTGTTGTATATTACAATGGCTGTTGGCAGGAAGGATCTCCAGTAGCGGTCAGTGTTGCAGCGAAACTGAAGAAGCCTCTGACTGAAGACACTCTTCCGTTGTCAGACAGTGTTGCGAAGAGAACGCTCAGGGTTGTCCATCGTTTTCTTGATTCTCTGGAGAATCCTTCTTTGCATTATCTCCTCCAGCGGTTCCACAGTCGTCCCCAGAACAGAACCAGCCTTTTTATTAGGCTGTTGAGCCTTTTCAGGTCCCTGCTTCTGATGCTGCTACCCCAACAGACGATGGCTGAAGAGATTACACTCAACAACAGACTTGTTGGAGATCTGCATCATCTTGCTACAGACATTGAAGGACCTAAGCTTCCTCAAGAAGTGCAGTCTGCTGTGTCCCTTCTTGTAAACGGCTTAGCTGTTCTTTCTCCAGTCCAGTCTGTTGTCCAGGTGAACTCCAAGGAAGTTGTATTCCTCAACCACCTCCACTTCTTCTCCCATGATGGAGACAGTGTTTGACTCCACCCACTTTCTTCTGAAGTCTAAAATCATCTCCTTTGTTTTGTTCACATTCAAGGTCAGATGATTGTTTCCACACCATGCCACAAAGCGCTCCACCAGCTCTCTGTACTCAGCTTCCTGTCCATCTCTGATACACCCAACAACTGCAGAGTCATCTGAATATTTCTGTAGATGCCAGGTCTCTGATTTGTACTGGAAGTCTGAGGTGTACAGGGTGAAAAGGAATGGTGAGAGTACAGTCCCCTGTGGTACTCCAATGTCATGGATCACCTGGTTTGATGTGCAGTCCTTCAGCCTCACAAACTGGTCTGTTTGTCAGGTAGACTTTAATCCAGGCGATAGTTGAGGCCCCCACCTGTGTCTTCTGGAGTTTCTGGCAAAGTACATCAGGCTGAATTGTGTTGAATGCACTGGAGAAATCCAAGAACATGACCCTGACAGTGCTGCCTGCTTTGTCCAGATGACAGTGGGTTGGTTGAAGCAGCTGGATGATGGTATCTTCAACTCCAACTCCATGGTGATAAGCAAACTGCAGCGGGTCCTGATATGTCCTAGATTGCTTATTCAGGTGGACCAACAGGAGTCTCTCCAGGACCTTCATGATGTGGGATGTCAGGGCAACCGGTCTGTAGTCGTCACTGACTGATGGACGAGTTTTCTTTGGAACTGGAACAAGGCAGGATGTCTTCCACAGGACTGGAATCTTCTCCTGGGCCAGGCTGAGGTTGAAGAGGTGCTGCAGAATCCCACAGAGCTGCTCTGCACAGGCCTTCAGTACTCTGGGGCTGACACCATCTGGACCTGCAGCCTTGTTCCTGTTCAGTCTCTCCAGCTGCCTCTTCACCTGACTTCTAGAGACCGATAGGTGGGAGGGGGAGGTAAATGGGGCAACAGCATCTCCTGACTTGGTTGAAGACAGATTTATAGAACCAGAAGAGTCCATGACTGCGTTAGAGGACAAAAGAGCTGGCGTGTGACAGGAAAATGTTGGATCAGAGGAGGATGGGATGTCTGGTTGGCTGGGGACAGGCGAGGAGGATGCTGGGTTTGTTCCTGAACTGAACCTATTGAAGAACTTGTTCAGTTCATTGGCTGTGTCCAGGCTGCCATCTGTGCAATCCTTCCTCTGCCTGAAGCCTGTGATCTTCTTCATCCCTAACCAGAAACCAGCTTGCTTAGCAGCTAGCTAGTGAGCTAACGTCTGGTTAAAACCAACTTAAAAAGTAGCTTAATTTACAGATTAACTAAGAAAAAATAATATATATTATCAATACTCACTTTAGATCCGCAGTAGACACCACAGACAGCAGAAAAAATGTGTTTGGGGCTCAAAATTCATGTTGTTTTAATGACTAGAAAAAACGTAGTTTTTTTACGGCGCTCTGAAAGACTGCACGAAGACGGTGTGCAATACGGCATTCTGAAGGGATTTTTGCCGCTTTTTTCGGCGTTTTAAGTTTAAAGACGGCGTTAAATGACCAAACGTGATCAAAAGTGGGCGAATTGTGATCCCTAAGGCTTGCGATACCACGGGTGCAGAAGAGCGCATGCAGGAGTCAGTGATTTAAAATTTTTTTGGCTGAAATAGCACCTAACGAGACTCTGACAAAATCATCCATTCAGCCTCTTGGGGAGCTGTGCGCAGGCTGTGTCAACTCCCTGATGCTTTGAAAAGGTTATACCTCTGTGCATACAACTCAATTTTCATCTCTAGATACATTGGATACACCTGTGGGGAAATTGTATTTAACTGACTCCCGCAACAAGAACATTCGTAATTTATTTCAGATGGACTGTCTGTATCTCTTGTGGTTGCACACTGGAACAGCATGTACCCTGATACTGACTGGAAAACTACGTGGGCACTTCCAAACAGGTTCTTACTGACAAACAAAGTTAAAGAAATATCATATAAGATCATCCATCGGTGTTATCCTGCTAAATCCTCAACTCAACTCAGCCTTTATTTATAAAGCACCTTACAGGCATGAGCATGCCACCAAGGTGCTGTACAACAAAAGAATAAAACAATAAAACAGAGCGCCACAGACATAATTAAAACCACAAATAAGAATCACAAAATATAAAACATTAACAATTGCTAACCCACAGAATTAAAAGCCAGATCATAAAAGTAGGTTTTCAGCCTCATTTTAAAATCCTTCCTGACTAGATACAAGAAAGACATTGATGCAGCCTGCACCTTTTGAAACTCGGACCCAGAGACAGTTACTTATTTTGGTCATGTACACTTACTCAAGAACTATGGAAGGCTTTGTTTGTTTGTGAAAGAAAAAAATTCTGCCTTCCTTCCAACTTCAGTATAAAAATGTGCTGTTTGGATGTACAAAATATGAAAAAAATAATAATAATACGAACCTGCTTTTTTTCTAGTTAATTTGTTTCTACTTTTGGCTAAATTTTATGTTCATAAATGCAAAGTGCTGAAAACCCAATCTTTATATTGCATTTTCAAAAAGCAAGTATACTTGCACACATTATCTACCTCACTGAAAATATTTTCTGATTATAATATCAGTTTGCTCTGACCTGAACAACTTTAAACATGCATCGTTATTCTTTTCTCTTTCTTCTTTTATTTATTTCAACCAAAATTGGCAAATATCAGGTTTTGTATGTCAACCGATGTCAACAAACCCCTCCTGTTGATTCGTGTTATATTTTTGCCACCAATTTGTTTTTGCTTGTTTATCCTCTTTGTAATTCTGCTACAAGTTGGAAATAAAGTTTGAGGAAAAAATAAATTCTCCTAAAAAGAGAACAAACAAACAAACAAACAAATAAATAAATAAAACAAATAAATGTCAGACATGTCGCTCAGGACCCGTGACCTCAGAACAACAATACTAACGGAACAATTATAAACAAGCTATAGACTAATAGTAAACGTGCTATGAAGCATATTTAACCTGTAAGCTAATAAACGAACTAAACCAGCTGTTAGCTCTTCCGAACCCGACTGTTAACAAATGTCTCCACGTTCATTAGACCTGTCTGTCTCTCCTCCTGTCCTCCACCAACTCCTGGCAGGAGGAGGAGTGGAATCCGCCGAGGAGGAGTCTGTCTCCGCATATAAAAGCGGCTCCTCCCGCCTCCTTCTTTCCTTCTTCATTCTCCTCCGGTGGTTTCCTTCGCTCCTCACGGCTCTTCTTCTTCATCATGGGATTCGGAGATCTGAAATCAGCCTCTGGCCTCAAAGTGCTGAACGACTTCCTGTCGGACCGCAGCTACATCGAGGGGTCAGTGAGCTGGTGTCGTTATAACCCAGTAGAACCACTACAAACTCCTGCAGATGTCTGCAGAGCAGCCGGCGCACCCGCCATCTTGGCTAGGCGCTGCTTTAACAATGCTAACAGTTAGCCGGAAGTTTCCCGGTAAATACCGGTAGGTCAGTAATGCGGTTTCCGTGTCCGCGAGTCACCGTAAATAACGGCTGCTGGTGACCGCCGAGTACCACAAGGTTAACTTCAGGTCAATTCGCAGCGCTTTAGTTTAGTTGTCTGACTGCGTGTAGTCATGTGGTGCTAGCAAGCTATCGGTGGCCACAGCATTGCACCTGTGTAGCAGTAGTGTCCAACACTGGGCCCCACGTCCACGGTCCCCGTCTGCATGAATCACATGATTCTCTGCTTCAACACGCCTGATTTTAATCAGCTGGTGATTCAAGTGCTTCTGCAATGCCTGATGACCTGTTAATGATTAATTGAATCAAGCGTTTTAGACTCTGCTGGAAAAAAAAAACAGCATTTGCTGTGTTTTTGATGCTGGTGATTGCCTGCTGAACAAACACGCTAAACCTGCATCCCATCCTGGGCCAGTACGATGCTGGTCCACCAGCTAAACTAGCGCCAACAACATATTCTGGTCTATGCTGTTTTATTTTCTCCCAGCAGGGAGCAGGGAACGACTAAAAACCGTATGGACAGACCATGGAGGAGCAGGGTTGTGCACTGCTGGTTTTTATGGGATCCTGGAGCCTGACTGGTTCTAGAGTGAAACACCAATCGTGGGTATTGGACTAGATCAGGAACTAGAACATAGTCTAATTTGGACTGGGTCATCCTGTGTGTGTGTGTGTGTGTGTGTGTGTGTGTGTGTGTGTGTGTGTGTGTGTGTGTGTGTGTGTGTGTGTGTGTGTGTGTGTGTGTGTGTGTGTGTGTGTGTGTGTGTGTGTGTGTAACAAAACCAAGAATGATGGGTTATAGCTGGTTGAACCCTATACCACTTTGACAGACTGTGCCTCACCCGAGCACACAGGTGTGTTGGAATCAGGTTTTGATAACTACTGTCCTGCTCTTAGGTATGTCCCATCTCAAGCTGATGTGGCAGTCTTTGATGTGCTGTCAGCCCCGCCCCCTGCTGACCTGCGCCACGCACTCAGGTGGTATAACCACATCAAGTCCTACCAGAACCAAAAGAACAGGTGAGACTGCTGAAGACCTCTTGTGACGGTGTGACATCAGCTGGCTAAGCCTCACCTGCTTTCTCAGTCTTCCTGGTGTGAAGAAACCTCTGGGTCAGTACGGACCCGCAGGTGTGCCTGACACTACTTCAGGCCCAGCCCCAGCTGCCGCCAAGGATGATGACGACGATGACATTGACTTGTTTGGTTCTGATGAAGAGGTGAGGTCAGCGCCACTCTGCTGTGAAGCCTGATTGCTCAGATGTGATCCCTTCTTCACTCAGTCTTTGTTCCCCAGGAGGACACAGAGGCCACCAAGCTGAAGGAGCAGCGCCTGGCAGAGTACGCCGCCAAGAAGGCAAAGAGTACGTCCTTATGACAGGTCGACCTAGCTCACTAGTGCCTCACCAGACTTTATGATGATCATTCAATCACCATCTTTCGGCTGACTGCCTGATGGACATTTTTTCTTTTTAACCTGACGAGTCTTGGTGTAGACTACACAGTGGTGCAGTGGTTAGAGCTGTAAGGGTGTGGTTTCCATGGTAACTCAACACACTCTCCTCCTCAGAGCCAGCACTCATCGCTAAATCTTCACTCCTATTGGATGTGAAGCCATGGGATGATGAGACGGACATGGCCAAGCTGGAGGAGTGTGTACGCAGCATCGAGATGGACGGGCTGGTCTGGGGACAGTGTAAGGGCTCCATAACCACACACACACGCACACGGTGCTCCAGATCAGGTTAAGATGATGATTAACTCACCATCTTTCGGCTGAAGAATGATGTATACTCTTTAATCTGAGACCTGCTGAGACTCTGGATTTGGAGGCAGTGTTTCTAACTGATTAGATTGGTAACTGGTTTTGGTTAATTCGGTTTTCTGCAGCCAAACTAGTTCCAGTGGGTTACGGCATCAAGAAGCTCCAGATCAGCTGCGTGGTCGAAGACGACAAGGTGAAGCAAAGTCACGTTTTCTGTTTGCAAACCTGCACTGCGTTTTCTGCTGCTTCTTACTGAGTGTACCTGTTGCAGGTGGGCACAGACATCCTGGAGGAGAAGATCACTGCCTTCGAAGACTTTGTTCAGTCCATGGATGTTGCTGCTTTCAACAAGATCTGAGATGGTTTAATAAAAATGAAAACAAAACTGGTCATCTTTTTATTGCCATGTAGTCGGTGTATAGATAAAATATTCAGGGGCCTGAAACATTGTGGAAAATTTGGCGTATTTCTACAAAACAACGCAAGTCGGCAATAAGGTTCAGTCAATAAAATGTTAATACATTTAAATATTAATTATTAAACTCCAGTATAAAAGTAGAAAAAGCGGGTAAAGGAAAGAATCAGGGCTGGCTGCAATGCTCCTGTCGGCCTGTGAGTGGTGCCACTTCCCCGCCGCTCCATCACGTTGCCGTATTCAGCAGCAGAAGAAGACAGACCGGAAACTAAACAGCAGAGGACTGCGCGGCGGAAGATTGTTTAGTAAACACGGTGAGTGATAAACAGGTGCAGGTAAATAACGAGACTTGTTTACCACGGTTGGGCGCGATTAAAGGATCTAAATGATTCGTTCGTTTACGGAATCGCTGCAGAGCCAACCGGATGCTAACGGGAAAGCCACGTCACAAACGGGGGGTGGGGTCATTATGGTTACAGTGGGGATGAAATATGATTGCGTTACCATTGTCTCCGTGGAGTCTGTTTAAAGCCCGTCTTTAGCCGGTATGATCAAATATTATCCAAGTTGTCTGAAAGCAGTGTCGGGAAGTGTAGCCCTGTGATTGGTCCGTGTCACAGAGAGCAGCCATGTGATTGGTCAGCGTTCAGGCGAGCGCCACTGATTGGTCAGACAGGAGCATCAATTCAACCAGTAACACAATATTTACATTAGGAGAAATTAATTCACATGGCAAATGTTCAGATAAAGATGAGTTTCTGCTACCAGTTTGACCAGTCAGCGCTCCCTGACCTGTCCACTGGAGGGATGTGGGGACAAGTCTCCTGCTCTTGTTATCAGTGGGCAAAGCAAAAAGAATGACTGAGTCAGAAATCATTGATTATATGTCTTCCTTAAAGCACCATCATACATTGGTGTTCTTCTCAGTCCCTGCACCACCAGCATGTCCCTGAGGTCCAGTGACCAAAGCCTACTGGTTGTGCAGCACCAGGCTGAAGAGCAGGGGACAGATTATTTGCTGCTGTGGCCCCCAGACGCTGGACCTCTCCCTCTGATTCTGAGATCAGTGGACTCATATTTTTAATAATTTTCTAAAATCTTTTTTATATTTAAATTGCTTTTGTGAAGCGCCTTGTGATTTTTATCTTGAGAGGCGCTATAGAAAAGATTGTTTTCTTTCTTTCTTTAACTAGTCACAGAAATGACTTACTTCCTGATGTTCCAACAGAAAAGACTTGGGGACATGCTACACCTGATCAGACTACCGGTGTACAGGCTCCACCCACCAGAGTATCCACATTCTCTGCTGGTGATAGCTGTGTCCACATTGATGCGCTGCATCCTTCAAAATAGGGATGTAAGAAAATATCGAGATACTTTTCCTGCAATATTACATCAATATTAAAAAGCTGTGTGGAAGAAAAGCTTTTGGAAGAATTTACATGGAAACTTTTGTATGTTTTCTTTTGGTGCAATTCAAACACCGACCGCTAGTGGGCAGCAATGGCTTTTGTTTCCACCATTGAAATGTTAATCCCGCTATTATGTTTCAGATACCTAATGTTAAACATGTTACCTGTTTCAGTTTGGACTGTTTATTGAATATTCTCACAATAAAATCAGTCTAAAAAAATCGCTAAAATCATCTGGCTTAATGCATCGAGATATATCGTATCGTCTGGCCGGCATTCCCAGTTTAAAGCGAGTTTCAGCCTTGATCCAATGTCTTCACAGTCTGTTTACAGTGTGTTGTTAGTACACCCCTTGTATCTTGATACGTATCGTATCGCCAGAATCTCACCAACACACGTCCCTGTTTCAAAGGATGCACTCAAGACAGAACATGTCCCAGTGAAGAGACAAGGCAGTTCAGATTCAAAGCCAGCCCCACCCCACCCTCCAAAGCACCCTTCTGTCCCATAAATGAAGAAGATGGGTCTGGTGTACCCTTTGTAGCCCACCCTATCCCAAGAGTCATTGCAGGTGAAACAGGAGTTTTTGTACATCATAAATGATCTCATGTGGCCAGTCCTGAAGTTCTACCAAGTTTTGTTTAAAGAGCAAGTCACCCCCAAATCAACAATTTTTTTCTGATAAACTATATAAATGCGTGTCTAATCGTGCTGCAGACACGTGTAGTCAATAGTTTTGTACCTTAGTGCATTTTAGTTAAAATTTAAATTTTCTGCCTGAAACTGTCAGTGTTGTGCCGTTGTCAGGTAAAAATTCTTCACTGCATTTGAATTTAAATCTGCCACCGCTATTGGCTAAAAGGTATGCTATGATGTAAACTGGTACATTATGATGTCACAATGCAGTGAGTGTGTGTATTTGTTAGTGGCTCTACCCTCTCAGTCTGCTAGGCAGCAGCATTTCTTGCATTTTTAAAACATGAAGTGGGAGTGAAGTACGCTTCTTGTAAGGGGTGACTTGCTCTTTAACTTTTGTTTAGTGTTGTCATGGTTGCTAGGCAATAGCCATTCAGTTTCACGGTTGCTCATTTCTGGACTTAGTGGTGGATGAAGGTCCTGACCTACGTGGTTATTAGAAGGATGCAAACCCTGAATTTGGACACAGCAGTCGTCTTTTTTGTCCTCAGGCTCATGGAATCTGCAGCTCACACCTGGTTACCATTGGTTACAGGATGGAGTGCGCTGACTGGACGCTGACTGCACCGACTCCACGTGAGTTATCAGCCGTCTTCTGCTGCAGGAGGACTCAGTTCATAAAACATTCTGTTAGTCAGAGCTCCATGGTGGTGCTGGTCAAGCAGAACTTTGTTCTGGCTCAGGTGTGGTTACAGGTGTGCCACCTGTGTGTGTTTCAGGTCTCATGTCAGGATGTCCCACTCATCTGCTGAAGGTAAGATCTAGAACTTGTTTCATCCTACTTTAGTTTTCACCATCTTATTGTGTTTGTTTGTTTTATGTCAGATGAGCAGAGGGGGGTGGAGCTTACCAGCAGGTGGGTGTACCTGTCCTTTATTTCAGTAACCAATCCCCTGTGATTAGGTGAGGTGAAGTGTCTTCTCTGTGTGACAGAATGTGGGCGGAGCCTGAGCCGGGTCCATCCAGGTGTCAGCCCGGCAGGCAGGGCTACTGTGGATACTGCAGGGTGCTGTACACTAACCTGGAGCAGGTAAACACGCACCTGAGTCTGACCAGGTGACTCAGCTACTGCATCACACTTTGGTGACATCATCACGTGTATGTCACAGCACCTGTCGAGTCTCAGACACCTGGACTCGGTCCGGAGTTCCTCCAGAAGCTCCACCCGTGTGTCCTCCACCTGGAGCAGACTGACATTGCTGGAGCGCTTCCTGCAGGACGTCCTACAGCACCACCCGCACCGCTACAGCGACCCCAGGTGAGGAAAACAAACACACTTTTCCTGTGTGTGACCTGTGTTTACCTGCTGATGTCTCCAACAGGTCATCCCATTCTGACCTTCCATCAGTCTCCACCCCCCCACTACCAAGGACAGACCTGGATGACGTCTTCGTTCCTAAGGACGACAGTCTCTCTTCGGGAATCCAAGAACACCTGTCCGGTTCTGGTGGTGCGTCCTGTCAGCCAGCTCGTCACGAAGAAGACTACGGCGTTCTCAGCCAGTCCAGAGAGAGGACACGTCTGGAGAGGCTTTCTCCTCCAGTCAGAGTTCAGGACGATGGAGGGGCACATCCTGCTGGGCACACACATTTACCGCACCGTAAAGCTCCGCCGCCTCACTCTGAGACTCCACCAACTCAGTCTCAGGCTCCACCCGCTCTCTACAGGAAAGCCCACAGGAAGACCAACAGAAGGAAACCCAGCGAGTCTTCATCTTCCTCTCGTGCCCACGGGGGCCCAGGTTTCCAGCCTCACCAACAGGAAACACCTGGAGGGCTGAGATCCCAGTCCCCAACAGAACCAAAGCCCCAGGCCCGCTCAGACCTCAGGGCCTGGCTGAGCTGGCAGAGAGAGAGGAGGGAGGCTCAGAAGGAGAAGACTTTCTCCTCAGACCACACAGACCTTCTGGAACAGACCATCGAAGAGGTTTGTTTCTCTCGTTAAATTTGAAGACTTTTGTTTTTAAACAAAATCTACATAAATGTGTATGTGTGTAGGAAATGGGTTTGTGTTGTTGGTCCTCAGGTCATCCAGACGTATTGCCACCAGCAGGAGGAGACAGAGAATCTCGATTTCAGCTTTCCTGTTCCCATGGAAACACAGAGTGAGGACTGGGACTCGCCTGTGCAGGTAGAGACGGGGGAGCTGGAGGAGATGGAGTTTGTGTTTCAGCAGCTTCTGACTCTAGATGCTTGTTTACAGGTGGTTTTTCAAAAAGCTGGGACACTCAGTGGCACACCTGTACAGGTGATCCAGACAGAGGGCCGGGACATCAACAAGCTGATGGAAGTTCAGGTGGACATGGAGGACCAGATGTACTCTAAACAGCTGGACTCTGCCCTTCTTGGGGTCAGAGTCGAGAAAGATGAGGGGTTCTGGACTCTGCCCATAGAGGAGGTCCTGCCGGTCCCAGAACATATCCCAGAATCCTTCAGGGGTAAGACCTGGGCCCAGATCGAGAAGGAGGACGAGGAGAAAGTGGAGAAACTGGTCCGAAGGTTCAGACGAGGAAGATTCATCTGTTACTTTGACACTGAGTCGTTGGCCAGGTGACAAGCTGTTTACCTGTTTACCTTTTAGAGCAGGATCCTGTGTGTTTTTCTGTTTACTGGTTATTAAACTGACCTCATGGTTGCAATCATCTCAGGTACGGGAGGAGGAGCCAAAAGAAAAAGGAGCTCACTGAAACCGTGGAGGCAGAGCCAGACACAGGTGTGCTGTCCTTAATGGGCGGGGAGGATGATGAGTCTGTGTGTGTAAGAAGGAGGAAGAGGCGGAGCCTGAGACTGGCATCCCGGTGCCAGGTGAGTTAGACGAGCTGTCTTTAGCTTCAAGTCATGGGGTTGGCACATGGGAGGCGACGTGGCAATGCGCTCGGTTCCAGGGCGAATAGTGAGTCTTCCTTTGTTTTGACTGGCCGTCAGATTAGAGGGAATGTTGGGTTATTAAAGCAGTTCAGAGGTAAAAAAAGGTAGGCAGGAAGTCTCACAAGGTTTTGCTAGAGCTAAGTTAAGTCTTACTTCTGACTTTACTAATTAAAAAAGAAAACAACATGAACGGGTTTGTCAAACAGAAAAAGAAACGGTGAATATGAGACCACACCGACAGCCAGCTCACCGACCATTTCCCACGCCGCTGCCTTTTTGTGAAGTTCTCTATGTATTTTTGTAGAAATGTTGTAAAGCTCTGGGAAACCCGACACGGGCAGGATAGGGTCTGTGATTGTGACCTCATCACCGACGCAGCCACCCGTTGGCGGCCTACGAATCCTAAGGCCTAGTCCACACTTAGCCGGAGTTTTTTGAAAACGAATATCCGCCCCTCATAAAAAATTGCATCCACACCACCGCGTTTTAAAAACAAACTCTGTCCACACGTACCCGGATAAATACGTTGTTCAGGACATGCCAGACCTGTAGGCGGCAGTACTTCCCCCGTTCTGAACCTTGTCCTTCGTCTGTGGTCTTCCGCAAGGAGCAGTAATTCCGCTTGCAAAAACAAACAAGCAGAAAGCGCTTGGACAATTGATGGATCGGGTAGTGAACCGTCACCTTATCGTGGTGGAGGAGTTTGAGTGCCCTAATGATCCTAGGAGCTATGTTGTCTGGGGCACTTAGTGCCCCTGGTAGGGTCTCCCATGACAAATTGGTCTTAGGTGAAGGGTGAGACAAAGAACGGTTCGAAGGATCTTTCATGGCGGTTAAAACGAAGAGTCGGAGTACCCGGCCCGGAGGGTTACCGGGGTCCCACCCTGGAGCCAGGCCTGGGGTTGGGGCCCGTGAGCGAGCGCCTGGTGGCCGGGCTTTCGCCCATGGGGCCCGGCCGGGCCCAGCCCGAACCGGATACATGGGCTCGTCCAACTGTGGACCCACCACCCGCAGGAGGAACATGAAGGGTCCGGTGCAATGCGAATCGGGTGGCAGACCAAGGCGGGAGCCTTGGCGGTCCAATCCCCGGACAAGAAAACTAGTTTTTGGGACATGGAACGTCACCTCGCTGGCGGGGAAGGAGCCGGAGCTTGTGGCAGAGGTTGAGCGGTACCGGCTAGATATAGTCGGACTCACCTCGACACATTGCATTGGCTCTGGAACCCGAGACCTGGAGAGGGGTTGGACACTCTACTTTGCTGGAGTTGCTCCGGGTGAGAGGCGGAGGGCTGGGGTTGGCTTTTTGTTAGCCCCGAGACTCTCTGCCTGTGTGTTGGGGTTTACCCCGGGGGACAAGAGGGTAGCTTCCTTGCGCCTTCGGGTCGGGGAACGGGTCCTGACTGTTGTTTGTGCTTATGGGCCAAATATCAGTTCAGAGTACCCACCCTTTTTGGAGTCCCTGGGACGAGTGCTAGATAGTGCTCCATCAGGGGACTCCATTGTCCTGCTGGGGGACTTCAATGCTCACGTGGGCAATGACAGCTTGACCTGGAGGGGTGTGATTGGGAGGAACGGCCCACCTAATCTGAACTCGAGCGGTGTTTTGTTATTGGACTTCTGTGCAAGCCGCAGTTTGGCCATAACGAACACCATGTTCGAACATAAGGATGCCCATCGGTACACTTGGTACCAGGGCAGCCTAGGTCACAGGTCGATGATAGATTTTGTAGTCGTATCATCTGACCTGCGGCCGTATGTTTTGGACACCCGAGTGAAGAGAGGGGCGGAGCTGTCAACTGATCACCACCTGGTGGTGAGTTGGATCAGATGGCAAGGGAACATGCCGCGTAGACCTGGCAGACCCAAACGCATAGTGAGGGTCTGCTGGGAACGCCTGGCAGAAGAACCTGTCAAGACGGTCTTCAACTCCCACCTCCGGCAGAGCTTTGACCACGTCCTGAGAGCAGTGGGGGACATTGAGTCCGAGTGGGCCTTGTTCCACTCTGCGATTGTCGAGGCGGCTGTTGCTAGCTGTGGTCGTAAGGTGGCCGGTGCCAGTCGTGGTGGCAACCCCCGTACCCGCTGGTGGACACCAGAGGTTCGGGGAGCCGTCAGGCTGAAGAAGGAGGCCTACAGGGCGTGGCTGGTCTGTGGGTCTTCGGAGGCAGCAGACAGGTACCGGATAGGCAAGCCGGGTGCAGCAGTGGCAGTTGCCGAGGCAAAATCTCGGGCGTGGGAGGAGTTTGGTGAGGCCATGGAGAAAGACTATCGATCGGCTCCAAAGAGGTTCTGGCAAATTGTCCGGCGCCTCAGGAGAGGAAGGTAGCAACTCGCTCACACTGTTTACAGTGGGGATGGGGAGCTGCTGACGTCAACTGAGGCTATAGTCGGACGGTGGAAGGAATACTTTGAGGAGCTCCTCAATCCCACCAATGCGCATTCCGAGGAGGAACCAGAGCTGGGAGGCCTGGGGATGGACTGTCCGATCTCGGGGGCAGAAGTTGCTGAGGTAGTCAAACAATTACACAGCGGCGGAGCCCCGGGGGCGGATGAGGTTCGTCCTGGGTATCTCAAGGCTATGGATGTTGTAGGGCTGTCATGGTTGACACGTCTCTACAACATTGCGTGGTCATCGGGGGCAGTTCCTAGGGAGTGGCAGACCGGGGTGGTGGTCCCCATCTTTAAGAAGGGTGACCTGAGGGTGTGTTCCAACTATAGGGGGATCACACTCCTCAGCCTCCCTGGAAAGGTCTACGCCAAGGTACTGGAGAGGAGGGTCTGATCGATAGTTGAATCTCAGATAGAGGAGGAGCAATGTGGTTTTCGTCCTGGCCGTGGAACTGTGGACCAGCTCTATACCCTTGCAAGGGTGATGGAGGGGGCATGGGAGTTTGCCCAACCAATCCACATGTGCTTTGTGGATTTGGAGAAGGCTTATGACCGTGTCCCCAGGGGCATCCTGTGGGGGACGCTCCAGGAGTATGGGGTGGGTGGCTTTCTGTTAAGGGCCATTCAGTCCCTTTACCAGAGGAGCGTGAGTTTGGTCCGCATAGCCGGTAGTAAGTCGGACCTGTTCCCAGTGAGGGTTGGACTCCGCCAGGGCTGCCCTTTGTCACCGGTTCTGTTCATCACTTTTATGGACAGAATTTCTAGACGCAGCCGTGGTGTGGAGTGTGTCGAGTTTGGTGGCAGGAGAATCTCGTCTCTGCTTTTTGCGGATGATGTGGTCCTCCTAGCTTCATCCAGCTCTGACCTTCAGCTCTTGCTGGGTAGGTTCGCGGCCGAATGTGAAGCGGCTGGGATGAGGATCAGCACCTCCAAATCTGAGACCATGGTTCTCGACCGGAAAAGGGTGGCTTGCCACCTCCGGGTCGGGGGAGAGGTCCTACCTCAAGTGGAGGAGTTTAAGTATCTCGGGGTCTTGTTCACGAGTGAGGGTAGGAGGGATCGGGAGATCGACAGGCGGATTGGTTCGGCGTCTGCAGTCATGCGGACACTGAGCCGATCTGTCGTGGGGAAGAGGGAGCTGAGCCAGAAAGCCAGGCTCTCGATTTACCGGTCGATCTACGTCCCAATCCTCACCTATGGTCATGAGCTTTGGGTAATGACCGAAAGAACGAGATCGCGGATACAAGCGGCCGAAATGAGTTTCCTCCGTAGGGTGGCCGGGCTCAGCCTTAGAGATAGGGTGAGGAGCTCGGACATTCGGGAGGGACTCGGAGTAGAACCGCTGCTCCTCCGGATCGAAAGGAGCCAGTTAAGGTGGTTTGGGCATCTGGTCAGGATGCCTCCTGGACACCTCCCCGGGGAGGTGTTTCGGGCATGTCCTGCCGGCAGAAGGCCCCCGGGTCGACCCAGGACACGTTGGAGAGGTTACATCTCCAATCTGGTCCGGGAACGCCTTGGGGTCCTGCCGGAGGAGCTGGTGGACAAGGCCGGGGAGAGGAAGGCCTGGAGCTCCCTAATTAGGATGCTGCCCCCGCGACCCGGACCCGGATAAGCGGAGGAAGACGAAGACGAAGACGAAGGGTAGTGACAGAGCGTAGCTCTGAAGGCTTCCATGATGCCGGCTAGTGTAAACACAGGTCGCACACGTGATGTCAGCATTTTTTTGTCGCGGAAAGTGACGTTGCGGACCTTAAAACTCCGGCTTTGTCTGTCCACACGCAGACACCCAAAACGGAGAAAACGCAGATCTTCACTTTGGCCGGAGTTTTTAAAAAGATCCGTTTTCGTGTGAAAAAACTCCGTTTTCGTGTGGATGACAGGCCAAAACGTAGAAAAATATCTACGTTTTGGCAGATCACCGGCTACGTGTGGACAGGGCCTAACTTGTGGCTTGTCACTAGGGGTGGGCAATATGGAAAAAAACATATCACAATTTTGTTTTTGCAAAATCACAATCATAATTTAATCACAATTTTTTTCTATTTTGACCATTCAGATGTTTAGGAAGTTATTTACCATTAAAATACACACATTTAAAGCTGCTTTCCGGAGTTTTCTCCTTTCAGAAATGATGTATGATTAGTCCGAAATCCGTAAAAGTGATTATCTCATCATGTACTTGATACAATGTATGCAATACGTCTTTTTTTTTTTTTGCATCTCCTCACGCTTAGACTACTGTAACTCTCTTTTCACGTGTCTGAGCAGAACCTCCCTGAACCGTCTACAGGTGGTTCAGAATGCCTGTGCTCGGCTTCTGACCAAGTCCTCCAAATACACCCACATCACCCCGCTTCTCCTCCAGCTTCACTGGCTGCCAGTCAACCTCAGGGTTCATTTACAGATCCTGGTTCTTACATGGACAAGCACCATCTTACATTGGTGATCTTCTCAGTCCCTACACCCCCAGCAGGTCCCTGAGGTCCAGTGATCAAAGCCTACTGGTTGTGCAGCACCAGGCTAGAGACCAAAGGTGACAGATCATTTGCTGCTGTGACCCCCAGACTCTGGACCTCTCTCCCCCTGAGCCTGAGATCAGTGGACTCAGTGGTCTCCTTCAAAAAGCAGCTGAAGACTCACTTGTTCAAACTGGCTTTTGTTTGACCTTCTTCAACCCCTCTCTCTTTATTCTGCTCTCCCCACCTATTCCACCTTCCTCAGGATCCACTGATTTCCCTCTTTCCTATTCACTCTCTCTCTTTCTTAACATTTTTTAATCACAATAGTCTATTTTTGCTCATTTTAAATATACCTTTAAACATTTTCTAAATGCTTTTTTACATTTTTACATTTTTTGTTTTTGTGAAGTGCCTCGTGATTTTTATCTTGAGAGGCGCTATAGAAATGATTTCTTCTTCTTCTTCTTCTCAATAAAGCATTTTGGGAACGGTGGTGAAGAAAAGAATTAAACCAAAGTTAAGAGGACCTTGAGAAGCCAAAAGAATAAAGTTTATCATTATAAGCAAATAATGATCAACCAAGTCAAAAGCTTATTGGTAATTAGACCATTACTAAAACCAGAGTAACTGTCCTGTTTGTAAGTTACATCACGCCAGTATATAAATATAATTTCAAGCAGCAAAGTAGCACAAACAGCGACTGGCATCCCCAGTTAGGAAGTCATGGTCGAAGACACAAATGACACAAAAATACGTCTCCGTCAACATGGTGCTGACAGTGTGGGTTTTGGGACTGGGCCTGAACATTGGAGCCAATGCCTCACCAAGTTTTCTTCTTCCAGGTGGTTAAAGTGAGCCACAGCACTCAGACAGTTCAATTGGTGGTTCCAGCTGTCCCTCAGCCGTCCCCACAAGCTCCAGCCCCCAGCATACCTGCAGCTATTGAGAGGACGCCGGAGTCATGGTGTTGTCTCCCGTCATCCTACTCCAACATTGTAACACCTGTGCAGCAGGGCACCTCGCTGGTCTACTTGCTCTGCTCCCCTTCAAGCCCCACCCCCACTCCCCTGGAAGGCTCTACCTCGAAGAGCTGCAGGAGGAGGCTACGTCCAGTGGATCGACAGGGGTTAAAGGTGAAATATAAAAGACTTCCTGTTCACTTTTATGAGCCCAGGACCAATCGCATCCTGAAGAAACCCCCTAAAGGGGTACTATGGTACAGAGGCTCCACCTCCGTGGGCCCACCCCCACCATGCATCCGCCAGCTGTTCAGGAGTCTGAGTCCAGACCTTAACACTGAGGGGGTGGGGCCTAAAGGTGACCTAAGCACACTTTGTAGAACCTCCTCCCAGACTGACAGGAGACGGGGAAAGACTTCTCAGGCCACACCCCTCCATAACAGATCAGAGCAGGAAAGAGGACAGAGGCCATGTCTGCCAACCTCCAAAAGAAGATCCAGGGTTCAAGCCCCACCCCCACAGCCTAGAAGGCAGGGCTTGCGCTCCTCAGGCCCCGCCCATCCACCTTCACGCAGGGGCAGGGGTCAGAGAGGGCGGGGCAGTGACAAGGGGTGTAGATAGTGACTGGATTGGTCATGGCGGACTCTGGTTCAGGTTTGGCTGGACTTTATCTACTGGTGCCAAAACTAGACAGATCCTGTTTACATCGTCATGTCCACTTCTAAAACAAAATATATCAGAGTTTTAAAATCATCACATCAGAAAGTTAAAGGGACAATGTGTATTTTTCCTGGGGCTGGGGGGCAGTAGATGCCTAAATCGTTGCAAGCAAGCAGTATTTTTGTGTTGGAGTAAGACCTTACCAGCGGATGCCCATTAGGATCAAAAATCCCTGGGGAGTGTAAACTGTAACAAAATAACAAGCACATCAGACTCCCTTTCATCACTGGCAACAAGTGAAGATGTAAATGTGTAAAACAACATGTAAGAATGATGAAAGTTTTGTTACTGTTTGTTTTAAATCTGTAAATGTGTTTTATCCTCATGGGCTCCTGTAGAAGGAAACATGGCATCTGATGTGGCATCGCCCAGAGTCTTAGACCCGCTCCCATGTATTTTAGACATGATTTCTATGGTTATATGTTACGAAGCCTCCAATATTTTTCGAAAACTGGGCATCCTTTATTTCATTTTCAACAACATTTTGATGGATGTTTCCAGAAATTAATGGTAAAAAAAAACTACACATTGTCTCTTTAAAAACCCAAATTAGCTCCAAGCATTATCTGTGATATTTTGAGCCTCATGTTTATTATTTAGGGAAAAACTCCAAATAAATAAATACAATTTAATCATTTGTTTTGTAAACATGTCATTTACAAATTGATCATCTGTGTCCCACAAGTCAGAGTCAGAAAGGATTTATAATTTATTTTCACCTTCAAATAAAAACCAGTAAAATGATTTAAATAGTACTTTATTTTGAATGTGACTATGACATCATCAGCCACGTTCCAGGTGTTTGTCCTGAACCTTGGCAGATGTGTGCTTTCATACTTTTTTTACACAGGTGTGCTTGTTATACTTTTTATTTTCTTTTTATTTAAACATGAACAATCTCGTTCTGAATAAACGTTTTTTTACTCTGAACATGAGTCACCTGGTCTAATTGTTCTCATGCCTTCCACCAGGTGGTGTATTGAGTCCCCCACCACTTCTGCTGCTTTCAGAATCTCCGCCTCCCACCGTGTACCTGCAAAACAAAGAAGGTTCTACCTTGTACGGGCTTTTAAATATGATGGTTGCACATTGACAGGCGTTTCTTCACCTGACATTCTGTGTGTCTCATTTGTCTCACCTGTCCTTGTCTCATTTCTCTGTCCCTCTGTGCACCTCTTATTCTCCATCTCAGTCTTCAGTTTGATAACGGCTTCCTGGAGCATCTGTTCAGGACTACATTTCCCACAATCCTCTCTTTCTGCAAAAAGGCATTTGTCTTCTGTCAGTAGCCCCTCCTTCTTCGACCTACTCTGTTGTCTTGTTGGCTGATGGTGATATGTCTCTAAAGTCTCCGTCTCCCCATGGAGGTCCTCATGTGGCAGGGTCCAGCCCTGATGAATTGTGGGAGATGGAGTCTGCTGTCCAGTCACTCTCAGCTCTTCTTCTGAGTTTGTTAGGGAGTCAAAGGAAGACCTGGAGTTTCCTCTGTCTGTGTGTTCTGTGTTGAAGCTCGAAGGCGTGTTGTTAGCGTGTTGAGGGCTGGAGGTTTCACGTTCTATACGTTCCGAGTTAAAGCTCGGAGGTGTGTTGTTAGCGTGTTGAGGGCTGGAGGTTTCACGTTCTATACGTTCCGAGTTAAAGCTCGGAGGTGTGTTGTTAGCGTGTTGAGGGCTGGAGGTTTCGTGTTCTATACGTTCCGAGTTAAAGCTCGGAGGCGTGTTGTTAGCGTGTTGAGGGCTGGAGGTTTCATGTTCTATACGTTCCGAGTTAAAGCTCGGAGGCGTGTTGTTAGCGTGTTGAGGGCTGGAGGTTTCATGTTCTATATGTTCCGAGTTAAAGCTCGGAGGCGTGTTGTTAGCATGTGGAGGGCTGGAGGTTTCATGTTCTATACGTTCCGAGTTAAAGCTCGGAGGCGTGTTGTTAGCGTGTTGAGGGCTGGAGGTTTCATGTTCTATACGTTCCGAGTTAAAGCTTGGAGGCGTGTTGTTAGCGTGTTGTTGAGCCTCCATATTGGTTAGAGCCTGACAAAGAAAGTCAAAACCATTAAGAGCAGAAATGAACCCTGAATCCCACAATGCATCTGTCAAAGAAAGCTGCGTGGTACCTGCGTGAGCATCCCCTGCAGCCGGTTGTTGTGTTGTTTAAGGGTTTCCATGGTAACCTCCATCTCAGAGCACCTGTCCACCAGGGCGTCCTGTTCTGATTGGACAGTGAGTCTCCAGGCCTGCAGCTGCTGCTCCAGCAGCCTGACGAGAAAAAACATCAGCATCAAAGATGTCCCAGACTGGGACATATTTGGGATGGGAATGTCTTTCAGTCTCACCACTTGTCTCTCTCCAGGTTCTTGACTTGGCTTAGCAGCGCCACCGACTCCTTTAACAGGAAGCAAATGTCGTTAGAACATATGACATCATCATGCTGAACACATCTGCTCCTGAAAGGGGGAGGACATCACCTGCTGGCTATGCATTTCCTTGTCTGTCTGGAGACACTTGGATGAGCAAAGGGGTGGAGCTAAAGCATCTACTGCAACATCATGGTAAACTTCGTCAGATGAGGGACTTTGGGTTGACTGAGCCAATTGTGAGGCATGAGAAGGGGGCGGAGCTCTAAGGGAAGAAAATCATTCACATTTAACATGTTAAACAAACTTTACGTTACAACTGTCTCACCTGTTCTGGACCTCTCCTGGCTCCGCCCACATCAGGACCCTCATTTCACCATCTCTCTGAGTGTATCTCCATGGTAACAGGGCATGACGAGCATTTCGGGCCAAAGAGGACAGAGATTCTTTCCAGGTGGGCTGGAAACCAAACAAGTGTTTTGAGCCTCAGTCCTTATTCACTCACCTGTCTGCCCATTTTTTTTTATAACGTGTCCACATCTGTGTGCCCACCCTTCTGATCTTACCTGGTTGCAGAACTCAACCACTGGATGGTGGGTCCTGTGTTTCCTGGTCTGTCGTTTGCTCAGGTAACAGCTCTGACACACGTGGACATTCACACATTTCTTACAACGATATCTAAACACACACACACGCACACACGCACGCACACACACACACACACACACACACACACACACACACACACACACACACACACACACACACACACACACACACACACACACACACACACACACACACACACACACACACACACACACACACACCAGATGGTAGTGCCTAACCTGGGCTGTGGTCATCATGTTCACCAATAACAACCAGTAAAACCATCAGAGTCCAGTTTTCTGAATGCTATATCAGATCCCAGATCAATACAGCACTGAAACCACATTAGTGAGAGTTACAAATGAAATTCTCATGGCCTCAGAAAAGAATCTTGTGTCTGTTCTAGTCTTGTTAGATCTCAGTGCTGCCTTTGACAGAGTTGATCACAATATTCCTTTAGAAAGGCTTGAACATGTTGTAAGGATCAAATGAACAGCGCTAGGCTGGTTTAAATCCTATCTGTCTGATAGATTTCATTTTGTTAATGTACATGACAAATCTTCATACTGTAGGGCTGGCATGCCCAGTCCTGGTCCTGGAGGGCCAGTATCCAGCAGGTTTTAGTTTCAACCCTGTTTCAACACACCTGATTTCCATCAGCAGGTGATTAACAGGCTTCTGCAGAGCCTGATGAGCTGCTGCACAGGTGATTCAACCACTGAAGTGTGTGTGTGTGTGTGTGTGTGTGTGTGTGTGTGTGTGTGTGTGTGTGTGTGTGTGTGTGTGTGTGTGTGTGTGTGTGTGTGTGCTTCCAATCGGTAGTCATTAGACAGCATGGGATAAACATCCACTGTTATGCTGACGATACTCAGTTAAATTTTTCCATTAACCCTGATGAACCTAATCGGTTAGGTAGATTACAGGCTTGTCTTGAAGACAAAAAAAATTGGCTGCCTGTTAAATTTAGAATAGATTTTAAGATCCGCCTTCTCACATATAAAACTCTTAATAATCAAGCTTCACCATACATCAGTGATCTGATTGTTCCATACGTTCCTAAACGAGCACTTCGCTCTCAGACTGCAGGTTTACTGGTGGTTCCCAGAATATCTAAAATAGGATGGGAGGCAGATATTTTAGTTATCAGGCTCCTCTCTTGTGGAACCAATTCCCAGCTTTAGTTCGTAAGGCAGACACCTTGTCTACTTTTAAGACCAGGCTTACAACAATTTTTATTTGATAGGGCCTATGGTTAAAATCTAATGTTAGCCTAGATCTGGACAAGTGGGGGAGTAGAGGGAGGTGGAGTGTACAGTCGGTAAAGACGACTCTCCCTTGCCCTGCCCCCGACACACCTCCATCTAAAAAGGCTAGGTTATCCGAAGTTATCTCTGTAGTTATGCTGCTATAGGCTTAGACTGCTGGAGGACACAATGACCACTTTCCACACTCTACAACTTTCTTCTACAATCTGCTCTTTAACTATATTATTTCCTGCAATTTCAGCTGTTAACTTTGTTTTTTCTCTAAGTGTTTTTCTCCCCGGAAGAAGCTACAGTGATGTTCTGCTGAGCTGTGGTGGCCTCATGGAGGGGGCCATTGGCACGAACACTGCTGCTAACCACTTAAACGTTCTCCCTCTCCTCTCCTAAATTGAATATTCAAATATTCCCTATGTAGGAATGTTTTTACTGATTTGTATAATGAACTGAACTGTATTTGAATGTTTACTTTGTGAAGTGCCTTGAGACAACTCTTGTCATGATTTGGCGCTATGTAAAAAAGCTGAATTGAATTGAAATTGAATCAGTCAGGTTACATCTGGATTTATGTTTCTGCAGAAAAATATATAAATAAACTGAAATGAATCAACCACCATGTTCTCACCTGAGTCCTTTGATGGGGAACTGTTTGCAGACGTGACAGCGGACGGCGTGACTGACCTTTTGTCCCACCAACAGCCTGTACAGAGTTGGTATCCATAGCAACAGTCGTGGCTCACTTTGCAGCCAAGAAAACATATGTTCTTTACTCACTGATGGAGCCATCACCTGTAACACCACACATCACATGGTAGCCATAGCAGCAGCAAACACCACCAGAGGGAAGTGTTTGAGTGCTCTCACCTTGTTGAAACATGAACTCAGAGCTTCCTCCACATTGCCAAACACACCTTCCTCCTGCACTGCCGCAGGAACCTGAACAGCCACACAGGGCATAAGGAGCGCGACAAGTTGGGAAATGTAGTCCACACTGTGTTTACCTGGCTGAGATCCTTTAGCATAGATTTGAGTCCAGACCTGCTGATGGATCCTGAATCCTTCCTTAGAACATTAATAAGACCTGCAGGACACAAAAGGCTGTCATTTGTCCTGGGAGAGTCCACGAGGTGTTTCTGGGTGTTAATTAAAGCTGTTTAAACTACAGAAGAATGCATTTGTACTGGTGTTCCTCAGGGAGCCTATTTCAGGTGTCCATGTTTCTTCTTTGTTTTCTAAAGGACTCTTTGATTAATGACACAGTGCATCTGCTCATCTATTTAGCGTTTTTTGGGGGAGGTGGATGTTCAGGGAAAGACTCAAGGCTGACCAGGATGTCTAGCACTGTCCCTGAGGAGGAGAATGTAAGTTAATGCCCCCAACTCCCATGGACCGCTATGTGGTGGATTATAGCTCATCTTCTACAAGACTGCAGCAGCTAGAGTGTCCTGTACAATGCCCCCACTCTGCTAGATGTGATGCAGCTAACAGGGTCTGATCAACCCAAAGGGCCTCCATATACTCTAACGCCCCTGTCTGTGTTATAATTCAGGGCATTTTAAAAATAGATTTTTTTTGTTTGTGTCATGATTAGTCTTGATATTACAATTTATAGTGTTTTTCCACTATTAAGTGATGAAACTGCTGTTGTGGCAAGTGAATTTCATGAGAAAGACTCAATGAAGACTGACCTGTCCTGAACTCTTCTTTCCTGTCCATGCCTGTCTTGTCCTGTCCTGACTTGTCCTGACTTGTCTTGACCTGACCTGTCCTGTCCTGACTTGGCCTGACCTGTCTTGTCCTGACTTGGCTTGACCTGTCCTGTTCTTACCCTACCCGACCCTAGACCCTAGTTTCCCTGGCAGGAGCTGGATGAGGTTTCTGACGCGGACTGGACACCTGCCCCAGCTGTAAACTCACCTGTGTATTTCTGCAGCAGGTTGTCAGCAGACAGAGCGATCAGAGCAGTTTTTACAGACTGGGCCGATACAGAACCAGTCTGATCACTGGAACAAAACACACACATTGTACACAAAAACCAAACCTGCTTCTTTAACTGGACTCAGAACCAGAACAGAACCACACTGACCGTTCAAACAGCCTGAACATAAGACTGCACGTCTCCTCAGGACCCGCCTCAGTCACATGACCTGACACCTCCTGGGACACGCTGTGGAATATCCTGTTCAGAAGATAACTCACTTCTTCCCTGTCCATCACGACAATGTCAGGCTTCTTCGCCCCGCGCCCCACATGGAAGGCTGCAGTGATGTGTCGAACCAACACCACATCCACTGAAACAGTCAGAGCATCCAGCTGTTAGTGAACTAGCCAGAACAACAGGGTACTGAAACAGTCAGAGCAGTTAGCTGATTAGATGATGCTTACTTTGGCAGAGCTTCTGCAGAGACAGAAGCTTCAAAGTGGCTCGGTAAACACTTGGATGAGTTTTATGAATCATTTCTGTTCATAGAAGCAGAAAAGGGTCATCCTCATGTTGTCATGTTACAATGAAGGATTCAGACTCTGGTACAGACAGTCACATGACCATGTGACTGAAGTCAGAGATGCACCTGGCAGACCAGGCTCAGGGATTAGGTTCTAAAGGAGTCAGGTTTACCAGATGTTGTTCTCTAGCGGCCCCTTCCCAACAACAACACAAGCCCACAACAAACCAAAATGTGTCACGTTTCTGTGTCCAAAGAACAACACAATATGAGATGTTGGAACTGAAGTGAAGTGCAGCTGGATCAGGGGTCTATGGCATCAGAATCTAACTCAGGAGAACTGATGGAAGATTGTCTCACCAGTGTCCAGATCCATGATGGGTTCCAGGTTTGTCTGCGAGTAAATAACCACAGAAACACCAGATTTATTGTTGAATATTTCATTCTTCATCCTAAAAGCATCTGCAGATGTTTGACAAGAACATCAATACACTACTCAAAAGAGTTAAAGGAGCGCCTCATTTACACACAACTGAGTTCCTTCCTGAGTTACCATGAAATGTTTTTCTGTTTGGGTTTACAGCATCACCGCATTAGTCTTCTCTACTGTTATTATTATTATTATTAATATTGTTGTTTTATTAGTGTGAGACTACAGTAAATCAGTTATTTTTGTTCTTTTTGATCTAGTGGCTGCCTTTGATCGCTGTCCATAAGATCCTTATCTCTAGGCTGCAGCAGTGGGTGAGCATCACAGGCTCAATCCTCCAGTGGGTAAATTCCAGCCTTTCCATCCCAGAGCTCAGGGATTTTTCCAGTAGCCTCCGACAGCTCCATAAATGTCAGATAGCTGCCCACTTCAATCAGCAGGTATCCAAAAATCATAAATCCAAACCGTACGTCTTCTGGGTCCTCAACGGAAAGAAGCGAAAGACACACGATTCCGTGCAGGATTAAAAGGAGCTCCCTTCTCCGTTTTGAATGTCTAAAACTTTCATCAATGCTGTTCTGTGACCAGTTGACCCGATCCATCATTTTAAAAATATAATTCCAGAAAGAATCCAAAGTTTCGCTCTCAGAGCAGACAGGACAAAGAGCCTTGGGAAGAAAAGGGACAGAGCAAAAGAAAAGAAAAGCGTCTGCTCGCTTTGAGTGGCAGGAGAGAAGGCGTTGGTTTCTTTATATTTAGTCTTTTCCTTTTATCATGTCTACATTATGCTAAAAACATGCTGCACCTTTAGCTGGCTGTGTGTGTGAAAGGTGTGCGTGTGTGTGTGAGAGAGGGTGTTTGCATGACTTCTATTTTATAGCCTTGTTATTTTATTTTACCACCTCCTTACGTGAGCTGTCTTTAATGAGTGTACAGTCCTTTCCGTTGTACACCTGTGCAGTGACAATACATGAGCTTGAGTCTTGAATAAAGCATCCTCACTTCAATGGTTTACAGAAGAAAGAGAAGTAAAACAAATTATTCAGAGAAGACTGAAGAAAACACCGACTCACAACTCTTGGTGCCGCTCGAACAGAACAGAACTCACCTTCCGTCTCTGTGCTCACCAAATGCTGCAGAAACAAAGGGAACCTGCTGAATAACGGATGAAGGAGTCACGTTTCATCATAGCAGCTGTCCACCTGCTGCCTCATGACCAATCAGCAACCAGCAGCCTTCAGGTGTAGCTTTAACTCCTTTGTGACTAAAATACAAATTTTAGTTTGTTCTGAGGGTCCTCTGATGGTTCTCCATTCAGACCCACACAACAACACAGCCATGAGGTCTTGATTGATCTGAACCTAAGCTTGCTGACCCTAGGCGTGATGCTGATGATGAGGCTGTCGGATGACGAGGCACAGGCACATCAACACAGGTACTGGCATGGATTGACAGACCCAGGACCAGCTACCTCTGTCATTGGAACAAAATCACACAAAATCAGTAACAGGAAGCAACACAGGAAAAATAACAAATTACAATTAGCCTCATGTCATGAGGATCAAACGTGTCACCATGGCGACAAATTAGTGTGGGTTTTATGTTTGAATTCAGATAGGAGTCGGACCAGAAACCCAGTTTTAAAGCTGAAGTCTAACAGGAAACCCCTGACCAAGGCCCAGAGCTGCTGCTGCCTCCTGCTGCCACAAGAGGGAGACAAAATAATATTTACCTGATCAGCTGGCAGTCAGCCTGAGGTCACCTGATTAGTCTGAGGTAGACCCAGGGGTTACCCCATTCCATTACCCCCCCCCCCCCCAGCATCATTAAATAGCCAGCTGACATCTGCTTGACCACAGGATCAGTCAGAATGAACTTAGACGGCCCCTAGACCCTCCTCTCAGCAGGATGAGATGTGTGAGTTGTTCCGCACAGAGGAGACAAACTCATCCATCCAGATTATCTTGCAGGGGGATTAACCCATCAGCTTGGTTTGGACTGAATCTGAATCTATGAGTGACTGTGAAACTTTATTGTTGACACTAACAACAGGAGCATTTCAGGAGGAGCTTCTAAGACCAACATTGTGTCCAGGTGTCCTGGTTCCTGTCCAACCACAGTTATTGTCCTCAGGTACTGTAGGATTGGACCCAGTTGAGGCTCAGTCAGTGGGCTGATTTTGTTTCAGAGGATGTTGGTTTGAGCACATTCCAGATGTTCACACTGACTCTGACTTATTGTTGGGTAGTTGATTCGCACCTGGTTTGAGTTAACATGTTCTCGTGCAGGTGTGGACTCGGCATGTTCTTTATGCATGAAGTTAGCATGCGCTCCTCATGCAGAAGCTAAGTTAACATGTTCTTCCCATGCATGTGTGGACTTAACATCTTGGCTTTTCTCCTTATGAGTGTGGAGAATTGGAATGTTTTGGCCATACAGAAGTGAAGTTAACATCTTCTTCTCATTCTGAAGTGGAATTAGCATATTTTCCCCATGCAGGAGTAGGGATGGCATGTTCTCACACGTTTGGAGTTAGCATGCTCTCCTCATGCATGTATGTGTACTCTAGGCACCCTGGTTTCTTCCCAAAGACCAACAACACTCATTTCAGTCTAGAGACTAAATTGTCCCTAGCTGAGAGTAAGCATACAGTTGTTTGTCTCTACGTGTCCCTGTGATGGACTGAAGACATGTCCAGGTGTAGCCCCGTCTCCCACCAGGTGAGATAGGCACCTGCTCCTTTTCTGAGGAATAAGATGTTCAGAAGATGAGTGAGTGAGTGGATGTAGGCAGGAAGTGGACAGAGATGCTGAGAGGAGATTTAGCATGAATGATTCATGGGGGCTGAGTGGCCTGATAAGGACAAACAAACGTCCTCTGTGTTGGAGTCAGGAACACACTTGCTGCTGTTGTCCTCTTCTGCTCTTTGTTTGTTGTCACACTGAAGCTTGTTGTTCGATTGTTGGGTGTTCCACACTGGAGCTTTTCATCATCCAAGCTGAGCTAAACGTCTAAACACAGCAGAGCCTGTCATCCAGCTCCACCATCACACCATGACAGCGGCAGAAAGATTCCTTAAAATAATGCTCCAGATCTTCAGGGAAGTTTGAAAAACCTCCAAACCCCGCAACAACATCCACAAAGGGACTGAACCATTTGCTGTAGTCCCAGTTTCCACTTTCACAACCAAACAGAACTGAGTCAGATGTTGTTGGTGGCAAAACCAAAAAGTTTAGAACATGAACTCCTCTGACTGCTGGAGAGTGGACAGGCTCAGGTTTTAGCTTCTTACATTTGTTTGTTCTAATAAAGTACCTCCATGCACAGATCTTCTTACTGAGCTGTTTCAGTTTCTCTCAGAACATCAGATCCAACCGATAGATGGATCCTGATTCTGAACCTGGTGGAATGTGTCCTCAATGATGGGAGTGTCTCTGTCCACAGTGGAGGAGTTCATGTTGCTGAGCGATGGTGGCTGGAGGTGGGCTGACAGAGCCAGATCCTGGATCCAGGCAGCAGAAATGATCGTTCTGGGTGACCAGACTCAGCCTTAGAGGTAATCTGAGGACCTCCATCATCCAGGAGCTCAGGATGGAGCTGCTCCTCCTCCTCACTGAAAAGAATCATCTACTCCTGGAGGTTTCCCCAGACACTTCCTACTAACAAGAATATTTTAGAGACATTATGTATCCTCTCTGGTCTGCTGTGACCTTAGGAGCTGAAAGAAAGAAAGAAAGAAAGAAAGAAAGAAAGAAAGAAAGAAAGAAAGAAAGAAAATAATCTTTACAGCGCCTCTCAAGATAAAAACAGAACAGGAGGCCTGAACTTCCCTGCAAGATCTGCCCTTGTGTTCTGTTTCTTTGAAACAAAAGTTGGACATGCATGGATGGATAAAAACTTCAGAGTTCAAAGTATAAAAATAGCCTTTCTCATGAAAATGTTCTGGGCCCAAAGCAGAGTCAAAACTCAAAGTCTGGACAAACATGGGGTGTTTCTCGATGTCAAGGCGCCTGGCTTCACAAGGAGACGTCTTGGTTTCGAGGACACTGTCCTTGGTAGGTCAAAAAAAAAAACAGTTAAATAGAACAGACTTGCATCACATGACCGCTGCTTCCGCGGCAGTCATGTGACATCACGTGACACGGGAGATAACGTTATATTTTGTACATTTAAGATTCAGTATAAATATAAAACAAGCCTGTTACTTTTAAAATTGTGAATATATTCGTTAAATTAAATATGTAAGCGAGTTACTACCTGCTAGCTACCGAAGCTGCAAATAACCAACCATAAATAACTGCTTTGGATCTAAAATAGAAATTAATCCGATAATCAGCCCGACAGCTACACTTAGACGACTTACATTTAAACTTGAAAATTGCCCCAGAAGTATATGCCAGCTTCTGATCCGCCATCCTTGTGAAAATACTGCAACGTATTCTGGGAAATTTTTGACCAAGGCTAGGATACAAGACACCTCCCGTGTATCCTTGCTTAGCTAGCTAAATGGCTAACAAATGGAGAACAGACGCTTGGGTAGAACATGAACGTTGGAACATGCCTTGGCGGTTCCTGATCACGTATTTCTTAGGCAACCGGAGCGGTTCCTTGGCATTGAGAAACACCTATAAAAGTCTGGGGAACTGTTGGTCTAGAACCACTTTAAAGGACTACAGCAAAACAGAAACAGGCGAGGATGAACAAGGGGGTTTTAGACTGGATTGGAGTTTTGGGGCCTCAATAAAAAAATCAATAAAACTTTACATAGAATCCTTACAAAACTCTACTTAATTTCAGCAAAGTAAATTTATTAATGCAAAGCAATGTTCCGACCTATAAAGCACTGTGTACACACAGCTGCCTGCAATTCCTGCTTTATAAATGACATGCTCAGGTGTTTAGGGATCCTTTTGTGCCTCCTACAAAGTACCTTATGAATGCAAATTACTTTATATATATATATATATATATATATATATATATATATATATATATATATATATATATATATATATATATATATATATATATATATATATATAATTTTATAAGCTACCACATCAGTGACACTTCACATGTAATCATAGCAATCCAGAACTCTAGAAAACGCATTTTCACAGTGAGTGGAATCGAGGTGTATGTGGGTTATGTGGAATAATGGAAAATATGCTTTATTGTCTTCCAGTGGCAACACATCATGGCAGTGGTGAGCTTTGAGTGTGATGGCGCCTGAGAGCGATTGCAGTGGACATAAATAGCATTGAAAGAAATGGTAGGATGGAGGCAAAGAAGAAGATGGCAATGAACATTGATGTCTTCAAAAATGGTTACATTATGGTGCTTTGGGGTCAATGAGATATTTAATGAAAACATTAAACTATCCTCCAAACCTGAGGGGCTTCAGGCAGGAAATTACATGTATTTTTCATTGTATCCAACAAATGTCAACCCACCAGTTGGCTAATTCTCGCTGGAACGAGCCAGTTGCAGGAAAACCGAGACGCTGTCATGTATCACACAATTAATACACATATTTCTAAATTGAAGATGTACTTATGAATATATAATTAAAGTGACAGTGTGTGGTTTTTACCATTAATTTCTGGGAATATCCATCAAAATGTTGCTGAAAATGAATAAAGAAGATGTCCAATCATTGAAAAAAACATTGGCGGCTTTGTAACATGTAACCATGAAAATCGGGTCTAAAATGCATAGGGAGCAGGTCTAGGTCTCCAGGGAACGCCATATCAAATGCCATGTTTCCTACTACTACTGGTGTCCTGCGCCTGCCGATGACGTTGCACTAAATGATTGGCTTGATGAATGACTTAAGTTACGTTACCACGTTCGTAAAGGTTACGTTAGCACATTGACACAGAAAATTGTGATTGGTCCAGACAATTTTGCAATTGTAGTCCTGTAGTAAAAATAAGTTTATGTTGCCAAAGAAAATGTAAAATGAAAGCAAAAATACCATTTGACAAACAGGGACCCTGAGCATCTCTGATTTTAATTAAATGGGGCAAAATTTAAAATTTTATTGAACAAACAACAATTAGACAACATTTTGAATGAATGAATTGATTTATTTACCACTACCCATACCACGCCATTTTATTTATCAAGCAAATTTACAAAGACCATGGGAGCTGACCAGAGCACTTCACATAGCGTAGAGGAAAAGAACAGATAAAAGACAATCATCGTAGCATCAACCAGCAACAAAGATAGACAAATAAACCACCAAACCGGTTATTGTACAATCAATAAAACCTAAAAAATACAAATGAGAACAATTAAATAAATAATTGAGTAAAAAACAATTAAAGGTTTAAAAGCCAGGTCATAAAAATATATTTTTAATCAAGTGTTGACCGCTGCAATGGATGTTGATTGGTGGATTGTAACAGGCAAGACATTCCAGAGAGCAGGCGCAGCATGCACTAAAGCACGCTCCCCCCTCATTTTATAGTTCATTGAAGGGGTGCAGAGCAACAGGAGGTTAGCTGACCTTAGTGAGCATGTTGGTACATAGGGCTTTAGCATGCCAGACAGGTACGTAGGTGTGAGGCCACTCAGTGCTTTACAAACAAAAAGCAAGATTCTAAACCGTACTCTAAACAGGACCGGGAGTCAATGCAGGCTTGCCAGAATTGGGGCAACATGACTCCCTCAGTTTGTTTTGGTCAAGAACCTCGCTGCAACAGCTTGGACCATCTGCAGTCTGTTCATGGCCAACGTAGGCATGTGACTGACAAGTAAATAAATTGCGTAATCTAACTGAGAAGTGATGAAAGCATGAATCACTGATTGCAGGTGTTTCAACACAGATTTCAGACGAGTTAGACGTCACAATTGGAAAAAAGTTGCCCTCACCGCTTCATTTATCCGTGGCATCGGCATCAACGTAAGTCCAGCATCCAGCTTGACACCTAGACTGGTGACTCACTGCTGGACAGGGGCGGATTTAGCAATTTGGGGGCCCAAGGCGAACACAGACGGGGTCCCTTACACTGAATTTTCGACAATCTTACCTTAAACTGGATTTGCGAAACTCTCCCCTCTTCTGACATGAGTCATTTTTGCTTTTTATTAGTCCTCCTGTTTTTTTCTGTCTTTCTCTCCCTTTGAGTGCCTTTAATATTTGCTCTGCTTTCTTTTTCCTGTCAGTGCTCCTGTGTTTTTGAATTTGTTTTTTTTCTTTCTTCTATTTTCCATTGTGGTCTATGTTTTCCTCCCTTTAAACATTCTCCATTGTCTTTCCTTTCTGCTTCCTTTTGATGTTTACATCAAAAAACGACGTCACTTTCAGAAGTGAAGATAAAAGCTTTTTTGAAGCAAGCTGCTTCTTTCTCTTATTGGAGCCACTAGGATAACTCCATTTCATGCTTCATGTTTTGACTATTGCTTTGAGTTTGTTACGAACGCTCCTGCCTCTCTTCTTCTTTTTCTGCTTTCTCTTCTTATTTGTGGTCTTATGGCACTTGGCAAACAACTTGGTGCATTACTGCCATAAACTGGATTGGAGTGGAATGACTACCAATCACTTCCTGTTTGTGCATCGGCATCTTGAAGGAATAGCCCATTGTGGCATTAACAGAGGGATGCCAGAAGTCAGGGCTAGGGGGCCCCCAACATAAGGAGGCCCCAGACGGCCGCTGACCTATGCCTAATGGTAAAACCGCCACTGCTGCTGGAGGTCAAAAGCTGAAAAAATTGGAACCAATGATGTGCGGGTTAAATTTCTTGGGTCAAATAGAACTAATTTAGTTTCAGGAAGTTATCAGATAGCCACCCCTTCGCTGCAGCAGGACAACCAATTAAATTCTGAGAGGTGTGTGCTCCATCAATCACCACATAAATCTGGCAGTCGTCTGCATAGATATGGTAGTTGATGTTAAAACACTCAAAGATCTTCCCCAGTTCAGTGCAGTCCCTGGCAGACCAACCCAACACTGAAGGCGGTCTAACCGTACCTGATGGTCCACCGTGTGAAAAGCTGCTGAAAGATCTAGAAACAACACATTGGACCCCAAATCAGACGTCTCCAAAATGTCATTCTGCACACAAATCAAGGCGACTCAGTGCTATAGTTTGGCCCAAAAGCTGATAGGTACACATCCATCAGTGAGTTGGTTTCCATATACGCCACAAGTGGCAGGTGGACGATTTTCTCAAGAACCTTTGAAAGGATTGAGAGCTTTGCAATATAGTGGAGATTAGCAAAGTCTGCTTGGTCCAGCCCAGGCTTTTTAAAAATTGGCTGAACATCCGTTTTCTGCATAGCTTGAGGAAACCGTGGCGGCAGAGAACCATCAATGGAGCCAACTGGTTTCACAGAGTTTACAAGTTTCTCCAGGTCACGTAAAAGCACAGGGGCAAAGGTGTGGAGTGTTGGAGGGGCAGGAGGTTCACCACACAAATCTTCCCCAAAGGCACAAAACTGCGTAACCCTCTGCAGGCAGGCGTTGCAGATTTGCAACGTTAAAACCTACCTACCTGGTTACTCCACATACGTTTTTCATAAGCATTTAACTCAGAAGTACCCCTGAAAGACTTAGTTGTTCGTCCTTTTATCAAAACTTATTTTGAGACTGAGAGGGTCAATACCATCAGCCTTCCAGATAAAAGTAGCTCTGAAGCTCAGCACACGGTAAATCAGATGGAAACAGTCCATTAGATGAATCCAGCAACAGAATAGAGTTGATGGTACCATGCAGTTTAGCCTGGTCTCCTCTGTGCTGTCCAATATTTTCAAACAAATATTTATTCTTTGCCACATTTACTTAGGAACTAACAAAATATACAGAAGAATTCCACATTTATACAAACAGAAAGGGCTGCTAATACATTTAAAATGTTCACATATAAGGACTGTTGCACTTTCTTGCCCAATCTGAAGTTGGTTTCAAGAAGTTTCACATTCCCTTTAAAAATGAAGACAATATGGAGTTTTACAGTTTTTTTTTACAGACGTTAGGACCCATTTCTCAATACTAATGTCACTTTTGCTGCTAGACACTTCACACAGTTCTCCTAACTGAGTTTCAGCTTGGCAAAACAGTTCATTTCACATTCAAAATGCACTACAACCACCAAAACGCTTCATTCAGGTCTCAAATAAACACATTCCTCCAGAACACTAGCAAAGGTTGACAGCCGACAAACACTTTGTCACCCACAAAACAAAGACCTAAAAAACACTAACAATATGTAGCATTACATTTTCTTGTGTAAAACAAGGACACATCTCTGTTCATACTTCCAATAGATGTTACTGGAATGAATCAGACATGATGCAGAATTAGTCAATATTTCATGTTGTTCATTTATTTTTAATGGTATTTGTTTTTGCACCAAGTACTTCCAAAACACAAGACTTTGTAAACACAACATCCACTGATACAGATTCAATATGCTAATCTACTCGGTCTTCTCCATTTGGCCACAGGTTCTCATCCACATCACATCTTGTCATCTAGGGCAATACACCTAGGAACGAATCTTCTGGCATGCCTGATCCATCCCTGGCAATTTACTGCTGATATGTCCAGGCATCCAGAAGGGACATTTGATCATGTGGATGACGGTCGTACACCTTCCACCGCCATGAGGCAAAGAATTCCTCTATGGGGTTGAGGAATGGAGAGTAAGGTGGGAGGAAAAGTGACTCCATTCTGGGATGGGCCACAAACCACTCTGTGACTGCATGGGAGTGGTGAAATGCCACATTGTCCCATACAATTATATATGTTGGCGTTGGCTACTTTTATAATGACATTGAAAGTGGAACACCTGTGCAGCTGTTCATCTACAGTTAGAGTCAGCTGTGGCTGGTTAAACTGCATTTATGTTTCAATAACACATTGCTGTTGGATTTTGCTGTCATATTCAGTTTTGCTGTATGTTATTGTTTTGAACATACGTTTTACAGTTTTGTGAACAGTAAGCAAGTGCAAAATGTCCTGTTAGTACAATGAGTTTTGGCAGTTGTTGTGTCTGAGTGAGAAGGGCCTTCGTTACATTTGAGAGATGTAGTCACTCAACGCATTTTGTGCCAAAGCAACGATGATTGATCCTCAGTTTGGCCCACATAGACTTCTGTTGTGCACGTTGTATGTAGAGTTTTGCAAATGTGACCTAGGTATTGAGAAATGGGTCCTAACGTCTGTAAAAAACTGCAATAAACAAACTGCAGTTAGTTAGGAAACATTTAGGTGGTAAGAAACATGAATTTAACAACAAAACTGCTAAACTCTTTTTAAAACCTGTGTGAGTGAACAGAATCAAAAATGAGATTGAAAATGTCTATTAAGAGACAGGTGTGGTCTGACTGCTGGTTGTGTGTGTGTGTGTGTGTGTGTGTGTGTGTGTGTGTGTGTGTGTGTGTGTGTGTGTGTGTGTGTGTGTGTGTGTGTGTGTGTGCCAGTGAGGGCTACAGGTTTAGAACCAGTTATTGCAGTCCAGGGGGACATTGGCCCCCACTGAAATCTGATTAGCCCCCCTGTCCCATCACTCATTTATTTGTCTGATGATCAGATTATAGGTGGATGTTATTCTAAATTTAAACACTAGTGGCACTAATGAGTCAAATAGTAATTTCCAGTGTGAAATCATGTGGCTCCTTGATGGACCCTTAACCAGAAAAATCCTAGATCCGGCACTTGAACCAGTTCCGACTTGTTTTCGCTCTGGAACTGAATGTAGTTACCTGAAGCTCCAGGTTCTGTCTGAATTCACGCTCCTCTGTCCGTGTCAGCGGTGAAGCCAACGACGGCTACTGTCCTTCAAACATAGGCTCCTCCTCATGGGAGTGGCCTGAAACAGCACCAAGCCTCAAGTCTGTTCTCCTCATTTTCTGCTCCTCATCTTCATCGGTGACGGATCGGCTGGGCTGCTGCTGCTCGGTGAGTGCACAGAACTCACACAACATACACGCAGAACTCAGAGTTTTTCTCCTGCTTGTTTAACCGTTTCTGTCTGACTGCAGATGAGTCTGTAAGCTGCACTGAAGTGAAAATGAAGTGCTCCCTGGTGATCTGTCTGCTGATCTGTTTGTCTCTGGTTGGACTCGGTATGTTTGATTCAGAGTTTAGTGATCAAACTGCTTATTAGTGTCTTTAGTGACAAACCTCTGAATGTGTTGATGTCAAAAATAGGGACAATAAAAACAAAATTTAAGCAACAGCAAAATAACAATAAAACTATGATAAAATATCAAAAACAATTAACCAATTATTTAAAATGATACAATGATGGAAAACAATAAAAGTAAAGTAACAACAAGAAAACAACAACAGATTTTAAACAATCACAACTTCGTGTGTTAAAGGTTTGAGGAATAAAGAAACACTTGAACAGTAGCAAAACCTGACCAGCAGGTGGCAGCATCTCAGAGTCTGGGTCCAGTCTAGAAAATATCAGTTCTAGAAGAGCGTAACTTGTTGCAGTAGAGCTTTGTTTCCCATTTACGGGTTTTTAAAGTGCTTCATAAATAAAGTTGGTTTTTCTGTTACAATAATTATTTGTTTGGGTAATTTTCTTTATTGTTTTATGTTTAAGGCATTCTTTTATGTGATGTTTTATTCTGGTTTGGATGCTGCTGCTTGGAGGACTTTGTTCTACTTTTCAGTTTTTTATAGCTTGTTATGATGGGCAACCATAGTACCCTGATAATAATTGATAACAACTACTACTATTACTACACATGTCAAAAACTCACTTACCAAAACAGCGGTTCCTCATACTTAATGACTTCAGGAGAAGATGGAGATGTAGAGCAGCAGCAAAATGGACAGAGAGGAAGTTTAAACCGTTGTTTTCATCGATCATAATGGGAATTCAGTGATTTCTCACAAATATGATGGATGGGTTTGAAGCGCCGATGAGGAACAAGTCTGAATATCATCAATGATTTATCGTGTTTCACTGAAACATGTCTGTGGATGGGTGGAGGGATTGTCTCTGACTGGATAGTGAATGAAACACACAGAGGTTTGAAGAGGTATGGCAGAAGCAATGGAGGCAGGTTAGCGGTGCTAGTCAACAATAGATTACGTAATCCAGCACATGCTACTGTCAAATATCATCATAAGTTAAGCATTTACCAAGGGTGTTCACTGGTGTTGTCGTTGTAACAGGATACGTACCACCATCAGCTGCTGTCAAGTCAGATTGTGATGTCATCAGCACAGATGTTACTAAACTCCAGACACAACACCACAATGTATTGTGGCAATATCTGGATCAGGCTCCAGTTTGGACCTGGACTCACCTACTCACTGACTGACCGACTGAATCACTGACTCACTGACTGACCGACTGACTCATTGACTGACCGACTGACTCACTGACTGACCGACTGACTCACCGATTGACCGACTGACTCACTGACTGACCGACTGACTCACCGATTGACCGACTGACTCACTGACTGACCGACTGACTCACCGATTGACCGACTGACTCACCGATTGACTGACTGACTCACTGACCAACCAACTGACTCGTTGACTGACCACCTGACTGACTGAACCCAAATGTAAATTGGTTAAAATATATACTTTGATTCTTGCCAACATTCAGAGACATCATCAAACATTCTTTGGTATCTTTCCAGTTAAAGTGTTCTAATCTCTGACCTATGACCTCTACGACCTGTGTTTCCATTCAGGATCAGCCATTCGCTGCTACACCTGTAAGGACTACACCTCCAGCTGCACAAAACAGCGAGACTGCAGCTATGATGACGCCTGCCTCACGCTCAATGAGAGAGGTACACCTGTTGAGAGCTGGGCTCCAATTGGACAAAAACCAGAGTGACCCCACCTGTTCACATCCTCAGAAAGAATCCATATCAGGTGGTCCGGCAACTGAGTCTGTTTATGTTGTGGTTTGCAGGTGGGATGACCTACCGTAAGTGTCTGAAGTACTCTGACTGCGAAAGGAACCGCCTGGCTCAGATGTTCCCACAGGTACCAGCTCCTTCGAAACACCAGTGCAGGTTTTAGTAGGAACCTGATTTACCCTGAGGTTTTATTCAGACTGAGGTTCAGTACAGAACCAGAACTTAACAGGAACCCCAAGAAAGGCTGACAACAACAGACAGGGCCACCAGGATTGGAGTCTGGACTCTAACTCAGTTCTAAAGCCTAATTTACACTTATTCATCTGCGTCTGGACGGAGACGCGCAACACCATTACGCGTCGGAACAAGAGTTCTCCGACGGTCTCACAGAGGATGATGGGAGACACGCCCTAATTTTTAACTGTCGTCTTTTCGACGGAGAACGCAAGCTCGTGATTGGTCAGGACACTGCATCCTGTAAATTCGTCTTTTCCGCTTCAAAAAATAAAGAGATATTTAGCAGCAGACAATGAGCAGATTGAAGAACGCATTGCGGAAAAAGTCTGAATATATGAACTTTTATTCTCCGTGTCTGAAGGAGTACAAAAATATGCAGCAAGCGTTTTATTTGTGGACGGAAAAGACAAGAAACGTGGGTTTAGAGGTGCCGATCGCATGAAGAGGTGGAGGGGAACGAGGGACAAATATGTGTGTTAGAAATAATCTGAAATACATTAAAACAATGTAAACACAATAGTAGATACACTATTGTGGACCGGATTCATGATTGTAATGGTGGCAGGAAACCTCAGAACAGCGCTACACCCTCTGTTGTCCTGGTGGGGAATTGGTTTGCAACAATCCTCAGCTGACGAAGAAATCTAGAAGAAAAGCGTCTCTGTCAATGCGTCTCCCTCGCGGAGCTGAAGGAGAAGTAGCTTAATAGTCTTTTGGCTCTGGTGGCAGAATTTAAACATTTAAATACACATAGATTAACTAAGGGCCTCTGATGATACAAATGTTCTCAGGTTTTCAGAACCATTCTGTTTCTGTTGTGAAATGATTCTGAGCTACTTCCTGTACCTGTCAACATCCATCCAATAAACAAAGGTGTCCCTTGTGTTTGATTAGTTCTGTTTTTCATATTCTCCAGGTATCCAGCTTCACCTTCAAGTGCTGCAACTCAGATCTGTGTAACTCCGCCCCTTCTACTGCAGCAAGACCTCTGCTTGGCCTGCTGGCTTCAGTTGTGGTCATGTGGTGGTGTGTCCACTGAAGATTGAGCAGCACCCCCTGGTGTTCCCTGTAATAGCTCCTCTAATCCAGTGGTCCATCTCTCAGCGTGAAACCTAACTAGTGCTAATCCATCACTCTTATCAGATTCACACCAGAAAGGTTCTCAGAACTGATCCATGATCAGTCTCAGCTGATGTCAGATCAGTTTACCTCTGTGTAACCAGAGAAGAACAAAGAGTGTCGTCAGCAGGAGGGAGGAATAATCAGCCTGATTGATTAAGTGCCCTGATCAGTCTGAAGATGAAGCAGAGTTTCTTCTTCTGTGGTTTCCTGAACAGACAGAAGTGAGACGTTACTGAGAAGATGATTTCAGTTCAGAATGTTATCTATGGTTCCGTCTAACCAAACAGATTGATTACATTTTAATCCTAAACTCTCTGTTCATGTTTCCAAATGCAGAAAGTCTGGAACAGATTTTCCAAAAACCCGCTTCTGCTTTACTCTGTGATTTTGTTTTATTTTAAATGTTGACAAACCTGAAGCTTCAGCTTAAATCAATAAATGTTTCAAACGAAACTCTGGACTTTTACTCAGTTTTGTAATTACAATATGTGTGACTTTAAATCATGTTGAAAGAAAGCGTGTTAATGTGGGGACATGGTGGTCATCTGAATGAATTAGTTATGAAAGCAAATGTGGTTAAAATGGTTTCTCCTGTAGTAGCTTATGAAATGTTTACCATAAATATTTTATTTACTCTAAATAAAACAAAATAATATTTTAAACGAACAACAGAAGCCTCTCAGCTGTCTGTTGGTCTGATTTTTATGAATTATTGTGCTTTTATAGCTGATAGCTGGAAGCGTTCCTGCTGTATTGATTTTATATATTATGTTAATGATGTGCGTAGGTTTGCTGTTTATCTACTTTAGTCTAAAACGACGGTTTAACGGTACATGGCCTAATAAACAGATTCTATTTTAACTCAAATCTATACTTTAGTGTTCAGCGTCTCGTGCCAGTTTTATCGACGATAGTCACGTAACGCAAGGAAACACTCTAAAACAAAACTTCCGGGTGTTTGACGTCACGGTCAAGTTCTTGAATCACACCACAGGAAACGGATTTTCAACATAAAATGTTGTTTGCGCTTTTTCCGAGGAGAGCCATACCGAGTGCTCTTGTGTGACAGTGATCCTCTTTCATCAGCGCGCCTTAGACTCTAACGACTAAACTGTACACATTTTGATTATTTATACTGTAATCAGGGGTAGTGGTGACGCTACGCAGTTGTTACAATGCTTTTATTGTGAAACGGTCGAGACGAAGCTTCCTTCGCGCGCATTCCACCTTCACGCAGCTTTGCAAACTGGGAGCGGACTTGATGGAACTGTGATCGGAACCACGCACGGCTTCAAACCGTTGCAGTGACGTCGGCATGGCTCTAAAGGTACGTTCTCACTTGGACCTGGTGGCGGGGATCGCTCACCATTCGCCGCTGTGAGGCTCGTGCAGAACTCCCTATGGAGACGAGCGATTTAAATAAAGGGAACAGCAGGCGTACAGGTAGTGCGCGTGCCCTGCCTCCAGCATCAGGTGGAGGAAACGCAAATGCTAGGGGGTGGGGTGAATGAGCTCGGGCAGTTCACCTGTGTGATGGCAACAGAAACAAAAGCGCACGCGCATGGGAGGACAAAGGCTGCTTTGTTAGACACCTGCAGAGAGCGCGTGAAAAGATCCGGTGGAGACTGTGTGTGTGTGAGTGTGTGTGTGGGCGGTGTCCAGGTGAAACACGGAATTGTTAAAGCGTGACAGTAGATCAGTACTGACAGATCAGGTACACACACACACACACACACACACACACACACACACACACACACACACACACACACACCTGTTGATGGGCTGTTTTCATTGGTCATGAAGCTGAGAGAACCAAACAGCATTACGCAGCATGTGTGTTTTACCACAATCACCACAAACATGAACACAGCCTGGAGGGAATTACCACAGGAAGTCTGGTTGAAGGGTGTCCCTCTCATGTTCCCAGCAGGTGTGTCTGAGCAGTGTTTGTGTGTTTCAGGCTGTGGTTCTGTACAACTTTCAAGCAGAACCTGGAAACAACGAGCTGTCGGTCAGAGAGGGAGAGACCGTTACCGTCATTGACCAGGTACCGTTAGTACCGATGTAAGTACTTAGGGTACACGCTCATTACTAACGCGTCCCTGCTCTACAGGCTGTAGGAGGGGGCTGGATTGCTGCCCAGAACTCCAGTGGACAAAGTGGACTTGTACCTGAGGGCTATTTACTGGTGAGTATGCTAGGCTTACTGTGTGCAGCCCCTGCTGGTCAGAAAGGAATGAACAAACATAAAAACATCAAGTGTTTTTCAGATTGGCAGTGGAGAAGGCGGGACCTCTAGGCCAGAGAGCGGGCCTTGTGTCAGTAACCCTGAGGCATCTTATCCAGGTATCACAAAGCTGTTACTGCCTGTCAGCTGCAGGGCTATGTGTTAATTCTGTAAATGGACCAAACGTTGGTCCAAACCTGATTGGTTGACTAAGAAAGAGGTTCTCAAATGTCAACATGTCTCCAGGAGCTGCTGAAGATGACAACAGCGAGTGGGACGATGACTGGGATGACCAGTCGGTGAGCAGTTACCATGGGAACGGTCACACGGAGGAGGAGGGCGGGACGTCTGGGCGGATAGCCCATGGACCGTCCGTTAAGATCTCCATGAACAAGTAATCATGTTTCAGAACTTGTGAACAATCTGGACTTGCTGCGGAAGTACACAGTCTAGTGAACTCGTGTCTAGCTTACCGTTGGGTCCAATCAGGCGGGATCCCTTTAAGGTCCAGTCTAGATAACACTTAACGGTAGTACTTCAGTATGAATGTGTAAACGTACTGTGACAATAGTACTAAAACAGTAGTTTTCATGTAACATAACTGTTGAAGTACTTCTGATACTGTGGTGTTGTAGTAGTAGTTCTAAGACAGCATTAGCATATCTGACTGTATACCACCATTATAGTGGTAGTACTGCTACAGAAACATGACTGTTCTGCACTCAATCTGTAATAATTAAGACATACAGATATATATACATGATGTATGAAGCACCCCTGATGTAGATATAAATGTCCGAAGCATGGGTTTCTGTAACATTGCGTATAGATCTATGCTGATGGTATAGACTCTAATCCAAAGAGCTCCATCTTCAGGTTCCCATTCTCCAAAGGGCCAAATCCAGAAGTCTTCCTGTTGGCCAAGCCACTCGCCAACAGCAGAGACAGACTTCCTGTTTATGTGAGCCATCGGGGTGATTGATTACTGTTATTCATCGACGTCACTGCCTGTCTCACTGGTTCTGTTTGTTGTCCGATCAGCAAGGAGAGGTGGGTCCGGTTTGGCTGTACCCAACGACTCCCCTGGATTGCATCATTGCCGATCCAAAGAAAGAGTCCAAACTCTACGGACTCAAGAGTTTCATCGAGTACCAGATAACTCCCAACGTGAGACGATACTCTGTAGTACTCTAGTCTGTGGTATCCCTTACCACGGTTTTACTGACGGTACCCGTCTCCTCCAGACCACCAACAGGCACGTCACTCATCGCTACAAGCATTTTGATTGGCTCTATGAGCGTCTGCTGGAGAAGTTCGGGTCCTTGTTGCCAATTCCATCATTGCCAGACAAACAAGTTACAGGTACTTCATCACCATGACAACAAAAACAGATCATAGGTAAATAGTTAGCATTACAACAAAAGTTGTGCCAATCCACTGAAGGACCTTGTGCTACTTGGACTCTTTCCAACCTTACTTGAGACTACAACCCTTCTAAGTGTATGAGTCTTAAACACCTGCTTGATCCTGCCTCACCTGTGAGCCGTGTTTGAGTCCCACCTGTGCTCGTAGGTAGATTTGACGAGGACTTCATCAGAATGAGGATGGAGCGTTTGCAGGCTTGGATGACACGGATGTGTCGGCACCCTGTTGTCTCTCAGAGCGAAGTTTTCCAGCTCTTCCTCACATACAAAGATGAGAGGGTAGGTTTACTCCCCACTCCCTGCAGGTGATGCCTCAGGTAGCTGTGAGAACATCTTGAGTCTTTGTTCCGGTTGGCTGAGGGGGAGTTTTGATGTTTCAGGAGTGGAAAGCTGGGAAGAGGAAGGCAGAGAAAGACGAGCTGGTGGGTCCGATGATGTTCAGTCTGATTGAACCTGAAGCTCCAGAGCTTGATGTGGTCCAGGTGTAAGTCACCTTACTGGATTAATTACTGTCTGCTCCCTCTGCTTTGTCTGTCAGGCTACATATACACTGCATAAACTTGTGACGGCTGAGCAGGGCACACATAGGGTCCTGTTCCGATATCAATATCGGAAGTAATTCGATATCGGCCCTAAAACACTGTATCGGATTATATTGGACTGCATCAAAAATCTCCGATATAAGCAGTCCGCTAAGGTTCATATTTTTTCATGCTTACTGTTGTTGGCTCTTGTTCTCCGATTGAGTAATGTCACTTGATCAAGCCTTTCATACATTCTGCACTACGAAACAGGTAACAGTATGTGTGATTTGCGCTGATTTTGTATCAGATTGATATCGGTATCGGCCAATACTGAAGTCTGCAATATCGGTATCGTATCGGAAGTGAAAAAGTTGTATCGGGACATCCCTACTAATTCATGTTTGTGTTGAGAACGACGAGCCGGTGTTTTACAGTGTGTGTGTTTTATTGTTTAATAGTGAGCAGAAATGTGAGCAGTTTAGTCGTTTTACAAGGTCGATGGATGACGGGGTCAGAGAGCTACTGAATGTGGGACACACACACTGGAAACGTTGCACAGGACGTCAGTATAACACACACACACACACACACACACACCTGGGTACCTAACAAAACTCACCTGGTCATCTGGGGATCAAATAAAACTCACCAGGGTCCTCGTGTGAGAAGCATGTTGTTGCCACTAAATCCCGGTGTCCCCCGTTTCCTCCAGACGTCCAGGTGCATCCGTGATTAAATGCTCTCAACTCCAAACAAACTTCTTTTGTGGCATATTTCTAAACTTCTGTCTGTTGGAGACACTTAGTGGGCGTGCTGGGAAACTGTTAGTGATCTGAAAATATTTCCAGTCACCACCAGAGACACACGAGGAAGCGTTAAAGAGAACGTACACCTGATTGGTATAAAAGTTCTCTGGTCGATATCAGACATGTTTATGAAGTTATTTGCAAAAATAAATCACTCTCAGATAACATGACATTTTCAGCACCTTCCAGAATGAGTCGTTTCATGGCTCAGTCACTTTAGTGCAATCCTGCGCAACCCTGATTGGCTGCTGTCAGGTGAGGAGCTCAGATTACCTCATGTGGATGAATCCCACCTGGATTATGATGAATACAGAAAATGAAGAGGTACTGTTTACTACAGCTGGATCTGGCTGTGTGTACACCACCCTTCAAAACAATTTCCACGCAGGTCTTTGAACCTGAGGACCCTGGATAGTTTTGTCTTGATAAAGCTGTCAGATGGTTTTGTTTTTTACTAAAGTGGTGTTTCCTGCTCCTGCTGGTGTATTCGCTCTGACACGATCTGATCTGGGGATTTTGGGACCCAGCGCTACCTAAAGAGTACGAGCGGATTGGACGGGCTATCCGGAACCTGTCGACTGTTTTCAACAGCAGCAACTATCCAGGTATGAACACCTGATGGGTGAGAATTAGGCATTGCTAAGGACCAGAGGCGGTTTTACCATTAGGCATAGGTAGGCGGCCGCCTGGGGCCCCCTAGTGGTGGGGGGCCTCCTAGCCCTGACCGTCGGCACCCCTCTGTTAATGCCACAATATTTTTATTACCAACCTGTGGCCACAGACGGGATTGGACATGCGCACTTCTCATTACCATAATTCCTGAACCATTCAAGATATCATTAAAATTCCAAAAGTGCTGAAAAGATTAAAAATGGGGCTTTTCATGCATATACAATACATTACGGTAGCCACCGGGATTCCCTGTCTTGAGCGCACCGAATCACAACACAGATTCAGAGACGTGCTGAGTTTGTCATCCAAAATGCTCCGTTTTATAACTTTTGAACGGCTGATCAGATTCAAATAATTCCAACGGTTCCTAAAAGTACATAAAAGCAGCTTTCCAACGATCTACAGCATGAAGCAATCAGAGTTATGGAAAATATCGCTACGAGGGGAAATCCTGCTGTACAGCCTGATTGAAACGGAGCGCAGCGCCGCGGTGAAAGCGGATAACGGAACAGGGAAGCTAATCAGCATAAAAGCCAGCATGAAATTATGGAAATGCCTCAAAGAAAATCAACACGATCTATTAGGTGTCCCAGAAGGCTTATATCTGAAGTCAGTGACCATGAAGAAGGACAGATCTCCAGTGAACCAGGATATGAATGTTTGTTCAGTCTTTATTTTTTATTTTTTTTATTTGAACAACCCTCAACTATTTGCTAATTGTAAGATTCAGCATCATTCCAGCATTATTTATCCTTTTACAATAAATAATTATTTTTGCTAAAACAAAAGTTTCTGGTATAGCAGTGCACGGTGTGCCAGAGAAGCACCCCAGTGTGAGGTGTGACTCTGCCTGCAGCTGGAGAGAAACTGCTTCAAGGTCTACCACATCAAATAAAAACATCTGAAAGTTAACAATACTAAATGGTCTTAAAAACAGCTAAAAATTATACCAAGGTTCAAACTTTTTAAAGAATAGATGCATTTCAGTTCAAAGTTTAAATTGTTTGCCCAGTAATTTTGAGGTTCCTGTTCAGTAAGAAATGTAAAAAATTCAAATCCGTTTTTTGCTTTTTTCACTTTGAAGCTGATTTTTTAAAGGCTTTAATAGAAATAAATTCTAAATACAAACCACACACTGAAAGCTGAGGTTGTTCTGAAAAAAGGAGAAGAGTTACACACACTTTGTACTTTTTATTACAATTCTACAGCCATAAGATTAAAAACATACCAGGCGGCCCTGTTATAATTATGGTCATAAGAGGGTTATTAAGACGGCGATGCACAAACAGGAAGTGATTGGTAGTCATTCCACTCCAATCCAGTTGGTGGCGGTAATGCACCAAATTGTTGTTTGCCAAGTGCCATAAGACCACAAATAAGAAGAATAAGAGAGGTGGGAGCGTTCGTAACAAACTCAAAGCAATAGTAAAACATGAAGCATGAAATGGAGTTATCCTAGTGGCTCCAATAAGAGAAAGAAGCAGCTTGCTTCATAAAAGCTTTTATCTTCACTTCTGAAAGTGACGTCGTTTCTCGATGTAAACATCAAAAGGAGGCAGAAAGGAAAGACAATGGAAAATGTTTAAAGGGAGGAAAACATAGACCAAAATGGAAAATAGAAATAAAATAACAAAGGCAAAAGCAGGAGCACTGACAGGAAGAAGAAAGCACTCAAAGGGAGAGAAAAACAGGAAAAAAGAGGAGGACTAATAAAAAGTGAAAATAAATCGTGTCAGAAGAGGGTAGATTTTCGCAAATCCAGTTAAAGGTAAGATTGTCGAAAATTTAGTGTAAGAGGCCCCATGTCTGTGTTCGCCTTGGGCCCCCAAATTGCTAAATCCGCCCCTGCTAAGGACTTTAAATGGCACCATGTGGTGCATTCAAGGACTCTGTGAGTCTTTGGCTTCAGTGTCACATGTTTGTGTTGAAGGAGAAGAGTTGCTGACGAACGCTCTGACAGCTGCTGGAAAAACCTATGAACAGATTGCTGAGATCGTCGCCCAGCAGGTATCTCTCACACACACACACACACACACACACACACACACACACACACACACACACACACACACACACACACACACTCTCTCTCTCTCTCTCTGCTTTTACAGTTTCCTGTGATTTCTTGTTTTTCAGCCTCAGAAGGACCTCTACTTCCTGCTAGAGACCAACAGTGAGTATAAAGGCTTGCTGGGATGTTTCCCTGAAATCATCACTGTGCACAAGGTAATATACTATACTACTAGACACTAGTACCTCTACTAATGTACTATTACTACAACTACTGTATTACTACTACAATAAAATAGTTCTACTACTATACTGCTACCACTACTACTGTAGAAATACAACAGCTACAACAACATTCAAGTACCTCTACTACTATACTACTACTATAGTTCTACAACTACAATGTAATACCTCAATTACTATGGTGCTACCACTGCTACTACTATGGTACTACAACTACAATGTAATACCACTACTACTACTGACTTTTTGATGGAGGAAATTTCTAATTCTGTAAACCATACAAAATATGCTGTTGATAAACTTTGCTGATCTGCAAACAAACGTTTGACGCCGTTAATGGCAGTATTCTAATAAATAAATACATTAGACTGATATGGGATTAGATGGGTGGTTTTTAACTGGTTAATGAATTATCTGAGTAAAAGGAAAAAAATAGTGAGTCATGCTTTTACTTGTGTGGTGTTCCTCAGGGCCCGATTCTGGGCCCAAAACGGTTCCTTTTATATACATTTGCAATGTATCGAAAAAGCTCAAATTAGTGCTGTTTGCAGACAGGTACAAGTAAAATAATGAATTCAGAAATGTTATTAATAACATGGTTTGATGCAACAAATTAACGTTAAACTTAAACTAAGTTTAGAGCTTTGGAAATCACAAAAGCAGTTAAATGAAGGTTCAAAGACACAATGTGGAGAGTGAAACGAGCACAGAATTAAGTTCTTTGTTGTGTAGTTGTAGATCACAAAATAATCTGAAAACAACACATTGAACACGTAGAGAATAAAGTCAAAAAATCTTGGACCTAAGCAAATCTAAGCTGTGTGGAAGTATGAGGGCGTCGACGTTGTCATCTTCCTCCGCTTATCCGAGTCCGGGTCGCGGGGGCAGCATCCCAACTAGGGAGCTCCAGACCGTCCTCTCCCCGGCCTTCTCCACCACCTCCTCCGGCAGGACCCCAAGGCGTTCCCGGACCAGGTTGGAGATGTAACCTCTCCAACGTGTCCTGGGTCGACCCGGGGGCCTCCCACACCATACTCCTGGAGCGTCCCCCACAGGGTGCCCCTGTGGACACAGTCATAAGCCTTCCCCAAATCCACAAAACATATGTGGATTGGTTGGGCAAACTCCCATGCCCCCTCCGTCACCCTTGCAAGGGTATAGAGCTGGTCCACAGTTCCACGGCCAGGACGAAAACCACATTGCTCCTCCTCAATCTGAGATTCAACTATCGATCGGACCCTCCTCTCCAGTACCTTGGAGTAGACCTTTCCAGGGAGGCTGAGGAGTGTGATCCCCCTATAGTTGAAACACACCCTCAGGCCACCCTTCTTAAAGATGGGGACCACCACCCCAGTCTGCCACTCCACAGGAACTGCCCCCGATGACCACGCAATGTTGCAGAGACGTGTCAACCATGACAGCCCTACAACATCCATAGCCTTGAGATACCCAAGATACCCTGGTTACAGAGATTACACAAATTATCTTTTCTTTAATTCAAATATAAAAACTGATATTCATTATTTATTTCTTTATTTGAATTGGAAAGTGCATGTTAATGAACGTAAATCTCGTAAATGCCCCCAATCTAGAAAAATGCAAGTTTCCATCCATAGTCCGAAGAGACAAGCTACACACAAACACAATCACGGCACATGCTAATAACAGCAGCATCAAAAGGAACTCCGGCTATAATAAGCCACAAGTTTTCTGTTGTGCAAAACTATGTTGTTAGAAACACACAAAATATTGCTGTTTATTTATAAATCTATAATAATTAGTACGTTTTTTAACATACGTAGGATGCCATGTTTTCCGCACGCAATGCACTCTGGGGGCGATGATGTATATTGGTTGCACTTGGAAGTATAGCTATTGACTCTAGTGTTTGTTTACCCGCTCACCGTATTAATAATGAAGTAAAATGCCGCATTGTGCTGCTTTTGGATGTAATTTCCAGTCAGAGGGCAACAAGGGGAGTGATGTGAGTTTACACAGCTTTCCCACTGGCAAAAAGAGGAGAAAGCAGTGGGAAGAAGCCTGTGGTCGGACACAACTTCCCAAAGATCCGCGGCTGTGTTCCCAACATTTTTCTCCTGATGCGTTTGAGGCTTATAGTCGACCACAACTACTTAAAGAGCTCACCAGAGCGGCTGGGTATAAGAGAAGATGGAAACTAAATGCTTTACCGACCATTTTCCCACACAAGGGGCCTAAACACCCTCGGAGAGACAAGGGACGCTGGACGCTCTCCTGAGCCGATGCCACACCCTGTCCTGTCTCCCCACTCTGTTCTGCCTCTCGTTTTCCAATCACCCGAGCTCCCAGCCCTCATGTATTTAAACCCTCTCAGTTCTGTGTGTCTTGTCGATTAATTGTTTCTATGTCCAGCGTGCTCCTTATTGAAACCTTTAAAACGTTCCTGTCTACCTGCCTGCCTTCTTACCCTGCGCTTGGATCCTCCCCTCCGCTTCACTCACCTGCATCCTGTGATAGAATGAATCGACCACCCGAAGGATCCAGCGGGGAAGTTCTCCCCTGGGTGTACCTGCTCCAGTGGCTCACACCAAGCCACCAGCCGGCTTCTCCTCCTCCAACGCCGCCTCGCTGAAGAAGCCGCCATCGAGCCTCGGCGATCCTCTCCACCCTCCCGGAGCCAGATGGGAGGTTGGACTGGGAGACGCTGCTGGACCGTTCTGGCTATGTGGGCACCAGGCTGGTTGTGTGCTCGCCCGGTGTTGGCCCACGGCGCCGGGAAGTAACCCAGGCTCCACCAACACCTCCAGCCCCGGAGCGGCACCGCAGGCTCACCGCCACCCCGGTTCAGCGCGCCATCTTGGACCCGCCTCCAGTCAGGTCGGCGGCCCTGCCTCCGGTCCAGTCAGCACCTCCCTCATCTCCAGGCCAAGGCACCAAGCCAGCAGCCCGTCCAACTGAGCTCGCCAGTCTCCAAGCTGAGCTGGTCTGGCTCTGTCAGATCCTCAGCCTCCAGGAGTTCCAGCTGGACACTCTATCCTCCCTGGTTCTCCGGGAGGCATTGCCTGTCCAGTCAGCGGCACCACCTCCACTCCCGTCAGTGGCACCACCTGCAGAGGCTCCGCCCCCGGCCCTTCAGCCTGTCCAAGAGGCTCCGCCCCCGGCGCTTCAGCCTGCCCAAGAGGCTCAGCCCCCGGCACTCCAGCCTGGGGGGGGACGACTGTCACACCCTGTCCTGTTTCCCAACTCTGTTCAGTCCTGAGTCTCCTGATTACTCCCACCTGCCTCTCGTTTTCCAATCACCCAAGCTCCCAGCCCTCATGTATTTAAACCCTCTCAGTTCTGTGTGTCTTGTCGATTCATTGTATCTATGTCCAGCGTGCTCCTTATTAAAACCTTTAAAACGTTCTTGTCTACCTGCCTGCCTTCTTACCTTGCGCTTGGATCCTCACCTCCGCTTCACTCACCTGCATCCTGTGACAGCCGACAGCCCTCTCCTGCAGCTGCCGCTTCTGTCACGTTCAGCGAACCATCGGACACGCCACTCGTCACGGATGAACATCCACCTCTCCCGTCAGTAAAACAAGCGTAAGTGTGTGTAAGTGTAGCAACACAGTGTTCTCAAGATATTTAATATCTGCAAAAATGATTAAAGTGGTTTCACTGAATATCCTAATCATAGAGCACACGACAGCTCTGGATGCTAAAATTCTCCTAAATCATTCATAACTGAATAAGTTTGATCACACGATAGCTTACCGTTAACTTCTGCTGACAAAAATGGGAGCTCTTGACAAAACACTCTCACTCTCGGTTACCATGGAGACACATTTGCCGCACACGCACCACCGGTTCTGTCCAGCACTCGCTTCATCCCGCCCTTCTTGCTCTTCATTTTGATACTCGTTTTGTGAAGCGTGGTCAATGATGTCATCATTACTGTTTCACTCTGGTTCAAATTAAAAAGGCTGAACAGATGACATGTTGACGTTGCTGAACAGTCCCTACAGGGTCCCAAAGCCGGCCGGTGCAACCGAGGAACAACCATATGACGTCACTACCCAGAGTGCATTGCGACGCTAACAACAATGGTGACCTACGAGTTAAACTATTTTTCCAATTTTTATAAAAATGAAGACATTAAGAAGGTTTTTTACACCACTTTAATATAACTGATACTAACATTTATCTTTTAAGAACCACAAGGTTTTGTAACCTGGTTCCTGTTAAAGCAACGCCATTAGAATAAAACTATAGAAACGTAATTACAAAAACAAGAAAAACAGTGAAAGCTTCACGCTGCTTTCAGATGCCAATTTAAAAGTGTGTGTTGTGTGTGTGTTTAGGCTGCTGTGGATAAAATGAAAGAAGCCGATCGTCTGATTTCTGCAGGAAAAATCAGCAGCAGTGACAGGAAGTGCATGAATCAACGTGTCAGCTGCATGAGCTACTCTCTACAGGGTAACAGAACCACACAGACCCACAACTGGACCGTTTGTACACCTTAACCTGACGCCTTCTCTCCTGCAGCTGAGATGAATCATTTCCATAGCAACCGTATCTATGACTACAACCGAGTAATGCAGTGCTACCTGGAGCAGCAAGTGACCTTCTACCAGCAGGTGAGCTGGAGGGGTGGGGTCAGGATAGGTGAGCTGAGGGGGCGGGACCAAAACAGGTGAGCTGAAGAGTGACACAATCACCTTTCTGTTCTCTGATTGGTTAGATTGCCGACAAGCTGAGAGAAGCTCTGAGTCGTTTCACCACACTCTGAAGGTGGAGCCTGATGATGTCACAGCTGATGACATTGTCGCATGACGTTGTCCCCTATAGTTTTAACAAAATAAAAGCCTTTCAGCTATTCCACAGAGGTGTGAGAAGAAGCAAGCACTAACTTGAAGACTCTTTCACTTTGACTCATCTTTATCAATAAACCACGTTTTTACCTCGTCAGGCTTCTGTGCTCTTTACTATGTTGGCTTAGAGACCCTAAAACATCTGGAATCATTTTACAGTGAGTTAGCAATAACTAGTTGTTCATTATCAGTAACTGACCAGTTATACTGTTTGCTTATCATTGCTAGTTATCCCAGACTCATTAGTTTTAACCTCCAGAATCATAGCGACCCCAACAGCAGGTCATACTGTGGACTAAACAGCTGTATGAAGTCCAGGAGGCACTACAACCTGCAGGCTTCAGGCTACCAATGATCTTCTGTAAGGAGGACTAAGTCTCAGACTCAAACCTGTAAAGGACAGCTGGACAGGGGATGAAGACTGAGTGATAAAAGCAAGAGAAGAAATCTGAGCCTTGGTGGCGGAAACCTGTAGAAAGTTCTGACAGGCAGCAAGAGAGAGACGGATAGTCATTCTGATGGGCTTCTATAACCGAATCAATGGCTTCTCCACATGTTCAAGTGGATATCTAGAAGAGTTTGGTGATCATACACCAATAGACTTGACATCTGAAACAACACCCAACACAATAGAACTAACAATGGGAGTGAAAGGTGGCACGTCATGTATAACAGCTCCATCTTGTCAACAGTGTATGAGTCTAGAAAAGGCTAGAAAGCCCTTTCTGCAGCTGGTGGACTCCAGTGAACCCCCGGGAGAGCCTTTCTTCAAAAACAGCAAAAACACGGAACTGTGGCGAACCTTCTTAGGAGTTGCTGGCCCACCAAAATGACCCCCAAGAGTGCAACTATCCAGAGATCGCCAAAGACCCCAGAACTGCAATTAGGGTCAGCGGTCAAGGTGCCACCATCAGAAACAGACTGAAAGCCAAATGTCTTTGGAAGCGAAGCAGAGATAAAACCAGAGTGAACATTGGCATGTTCTTACAGTGGTTTGAGGAAGCTGAAGGCTACAAAATCACAGACTGATGGTGACCTGTCTTTGTTGCTACTGGACTTGTAAGAAATAAATAATACCTTTTGTCCAACAGTGTGGATGTTACTACTTTATGGTTTAATTAGTTCCTTGTTAGCACAAGTTACAGCAGGGTTGTTCCAGAACTGCGCTGCTCTGGGTGGCTGCATGTTGGAGTAGCTCTGTTGACTATATGTAAGTTTAGCCTTTTTTTGGACATTTTTTCTTCTAGTTTCTCAAGAAAAACTATGTTTTTTTGGACATTTTACTTTTCTGTTTCTGGTGCTGTGAAGCTTAGGGGATTTTTAGTGCTATTTTTTCACTTTTTGAGCATTTGTTTTGATGTGTAACCATGGCAACAAGATGGTTTACAATCTGGAGCAACTGATTAACATTGGAAAGGCTGAAATAATACCTCAACTGAAGCCACAAATCCCAAATGAGCTAAAATGCAACACTACTAAAGCCGGGCGTACACTGTGTGACTTTTTCACTTTTTTGAGCCGATTTTCCACTCGTGCGAGAATCCACAAGATCGGGGCGAGTTTTGCACTGAGCGTCGTGTAATATACAGGGGGTTACGAGAGGCGATTATCACCACGTGACCAGCTACCGATCAGCAATCGTGAGCTCGCACGGACTTCTGGAGTGTTTGATATTTTGGTCGTTCCTCGTGAGGGTTGAAGCGGCGCTGCGAGCGGCTGCAACCCTAAAAGTACCAGAACCGCTCACGGCGCATGCGCAATCATGCATCAACACCGCTCAGCCATTTCCCTAATAACACGCGTTGTTCGTTTTTATTTCTAAACTGTTTTTTTACACACAGTAATAAGGATTGTCAAGAAAGCGTGTTTGTCGTGTTCATGTCAAATTAAACTGATCACAAAAGTCAAATTAAACTGATCACAAAACACAGATTTACTTTCTTTATTTTGTTTTCCTCATCCAGCCCCCATAAATCCCTGTGTGTCCTCCTGCAGCACTCCCGAAGGACAACAGGCAAAACAACACAAAAAAGTCTGACGTGTTGTGTAAAAACGGCTATTTTTAGCATATTTTTAGGTCCGACGTTTTGCTACCAGACGTACAGTGTGAGCAGTCAGGTCGCATCCGAGAACTGGGTCGTACAGTGTGAGCACATGACTCATAAGATCTGCTCTGCGAGGAAGTCACAGTTTGAGCTGAAGCTGAGTGCTACGAGTGAAAAAGTCGCACAGTGTCCGCCCAGCTTTATATAGTTCATTGGCAAAAAAAGGTTGATTTGGGGGTGAGTTGCTCTTTAACCTAGATCATTAACAATGATCTCAGAGATTGTTGGGTTAGAAAGTCGACAAGTTTTATATTTGACATCATTCTGCACTCTGCAGACCAAGCATCACACTTGACAGTTTTGTGAAGCAGGTAGGTGGCTTATAGAGGGAGCTCTTTACCTGCATTATTATTGTTAGCTGTAATGGTAGCGATTAGCATTTTCAGTTTGCATATCATCAATAAAAAGCACAAGAAGATGAAAAAGACGAAGTTCGCATTTTCTGTTTGCACCGTAGCAGAGCCCGGAAATAAAAGTAATAGAGTAATGTTTTTGGAAGCGAAGCAATGATTAAACCAGAGTGAACATTGGCATGTTCTTACAGTGGTTTGAGGAAGCTGAAGGCTACAAAATCACAGACTGATGGTGACCTGTCTTTGTTGCTACTGGACTTGTAAGAAATAATACCTTTTGTCCAACAGTGTGGATGTTACTACTTTATGGTTTAATTAGTTCCTTGTTAGCACAAGTTACAGCAGGGTTGTTCCAGAACTGCGCTGCTCTGGGTGGCTGCATGTTGGAGTAGCTCTGTTGACTATATGTAAGTTTAGCCTTTTTTGGACATTTTTTTCTTCTAGTTTCTCAGAAAAACTATGTTTTTTTTACATTTTACTTTTCTGTTTCTGGTGCTGTGAAGCTTAGAGGATTTTTAGTGCTATTTTTTCACTTTTTGAGCATTTGTTATGATGTGTAACCATGGCAACAAGCTGATTTACAATCGGGAGCAGCTGATTAACATTGGAAAGGCTGAAATAATACCTCAACTGAAGCCACAAGTCCCAAATGAGCTAAAACGCAACCCTACTAAAGCCGGGCGTACACTGTGCGACTTTTTCACTTTTTTGAGCCAATTTTCCACTCGTGCGAGAATCCACAAGATCGGGTCGAGTTTTGCGCTGAGCGTTGTGTAATATACAGGGGGTTACGCGAGGCGATTAACACCACGTGACCAGCTACCGATCAGCAATCGTGAGTTCGCACGGACTTCTGGAGTGTTTGATATTTTGCTCGTTCCTAGTGAGGATTGAAGCGGCGCTGCGAGCGGGTGCAACCCAAAAAGTACCAGAACCGCTCACGGCGCGTGCGCAATCATGCATCAACACCGCTCATCCGCTATTTCCCCAATAACACGCATTGTCCATTTTTATTTGTAAACGTTTTTTTACACACAGTAATAAGGATTGTCAAGAAAGCGTGTTTGTCGTGTTCATGTCAAATTAAACTGATCACAAAAGTCAAATTAAACTGATCACAAAACACAGATTTACTTTCTTTATTTTGTTTTCCTCATCCAACCCCCATAAATCCCTGTGTGTCCTCCTGCAGCACTCCCGAAGGACAAAAGGCAAAACAACACAAAAAAGTCTGACGTGTTGTGTAAAAACTGCTATTTTTAGCATATATTTAGGTCCGACGTGTTGCTACCAGAGTCAGACGTTCAGTGTGAGCAGTCAGGTTGCATCCGAGAACTGGGTTGTACAGGTGGGAGCACATGACTCATAAGATCTGCTCTGCAAGGAAGTCATACAGTTTGAGCTGAAGCTGAGTGCTATGAGTGAAAAAGTCGCACAGTGTCCGCCCAGCTTTATATAGTTCATCGGCAAAAAAAAGGTTGATTTGGGGGTGAGTTCCTCTTTAAGCTAGATCATTAACAATGATCTCAGAGATTGTTGGGTCAGAAAGTCGACAAGTTTTATATTTGACATCATTCTGCAGTTTGCAGACCAAGCATCACACTTGACAGTTTTGTGAAGCAGGTAGGTGGCTTATAGAGGGAGCTCTTTACTGCATTATTATTGTTAGCTGTAATGCTAGCGATTAGCATTTTCAATTTGCATATCATCAATAAAAAGCACAAGAAGAAAAAGACGGAGTTTGCATTTTCTGTTTGCACCGTAGCAGAGCCCGGAAATAAAAGTAAGAGAGTAATGTCTTTGTGAAGCTTAGAGGATTTTTAATACTATTCTTTTCACTTTTTGAGCATTTGTTATGATGCGTAACCATGGCAACAATCTGGTTTACAATCGGGAGCAGCTGATTAACATGGGAAAGGCTGAAATAATACCTCAACTGAAGCCACAAATCCCAAATGAGCTAAAACGCAATGGTTTAAGTACGCAGCAGGAACACAAAGACTAGTGTTTGCTGAAAACATCTAGATGATCTCCAAAACTGTACCTGAACTTTCTGGAAGGTGTGAACTCAGGTGTAAAAGTAGGAAGAGAAATCCTCACAAGCAGTAAAACATGGTAGCGGTAGTGTGATGGTCTGGGTATCTTCTGTTGGGTCCAGGAGCGTATTGGGATGAAAATTCAGCCCTGAAACATCTCCATCTGTCCGTCAGAGCCAGGGGGAGGAGCTTAGTGCAGACGCCAGCCTGAAGCACACCCATCGGCCATGGGATTCTCCAGGACTCAGATTGCCAGTCCACTTCTGTTTGGGTTCAGACCTGTACACTTGAGTTCTTCAGCAGAAGGACATTACTAACCCTCACCGGACCAGGTAGGTTCATCTCTGAATGAAGACTATTCCTAACCTAGGTGGTCCAGGCAGGAAGCCCTCCAGTCAGACTGAATTAGAACAATTCTATTAAGATGCAGGAGATAAGATTAACCAATAGCAGAATAAGACTTATAACCAGTAGTTTCTGCTGCTGGTAACCCTAACCTACTAGTTACTGTGGTTAGGAGGTGATGATGACTCCAGGTATAACCTGTGGGTTCAGGTTTATTTCCTCCATAACAAACATCTTTTTTGTTTGGTTTATCTCTGTATGAGTTATGTTAATGGGACAAACTGATGAGTAGTTATTGATAACTGATTATTAGTTACTGATAACTCATTAGTAGTAGAGGTGGGAAAAATGATCGATTCTAAGATGCATCGCGATTCAGCCGTGCATGATTCCGCATCGATGCAGCAACGTGACATAATGAGATGGACAATAAAGTTTTGAGGGTTTTACAATTACTTCTGGGGGCAGAGTTGCAATGTCATGCGCACTGCGTTGCCCTAGCGCCAATTTAAAACAGAAAAGGTGGACAGGGATACAGGGCCAACATTACCAGTAATCAAAGATGTACCCGTTACATTTAAATCGGATGTTTGGGCTACATTCGGTTTTGGGATCCTGGATGTGAAAGAATCACTTAACACAGTATTTGTTTACTATTTTTAAGTTCAGTAATATTCTATCTTAAAGCTGCTCTACCGAAAACATTATTTCTTATATTATTTAAGTAATTATAGGCAGCACACTTTAAAAATTATTGCTCACTATAGTGAACAGATGAATGTTCTGTTTTTCAGGGATTTCGAAATCAAAAAGAAATTGAAAACTATTCTACTGCTTTTATTAAGTAATGAAAATTTTTGTGTGAAGAATCGAGATGCATTTCAGACTCAAATCGAATCGTTAGGCAGATAATCGGAATCGGATCGAATCGTGAGGCAGGTAGAGATGCACACCACTAATTAGTAGTTTATTAAGGATTAGCAGGTATTGTGGAAATCAATCCCATGGCTTCCTGAACAACAGCTTAATGATGTATTACTAATATTAAAGTAGGAATACATCCATCACCCTGTTTGTGAGTGACAGGGACGGCGCCAACATTCTAGCCACGCCCCTTTGTTTATGAAAAAAAAAAGTTATCAAAGTCGCTACCTGGAGGCACACCTGTGTGATGACTGTTAACTTTATCCTCTCTGACTGGCCACCACAGAAGAAGAAAAGGTAAAACCAAAACGTATTCTGGTCTGGACTGAGCCTCTCCACCTGTCCAGGTGGGTTCACACTTGAGAACAGACACACCTGTTCTGAACATTGATCAGCAGGTGTCTCAGCCCATCACAAAGGGAGAGGTACCCCTCTGAATCTAACAAACTCTAACCCCACAGGTGGTGTTACAGGTGAGTTTACCTGTGTGACGACTCAGACGTGTGGATGGCACACGGGTCAAAAGGCTTCATCGGACACACCGGTGTTCTGGACAAGAGGAGCAGGTTCACCGCGCAGGATGGAGCTCGGACTGAGCTGTGCAAATGGACAGAAGTCTTCGCATGGAGGTCTACCAGGAAAACACCCAGATGGAGGTAACGGTTCTAATGATGGTGACTTGATGTTCGCGGGTCTAGTTTGTCTATTATGGGATGGTTTTAGATGGGGATGGGTTTTTTCTGTTTGGAGACTTGGGATGTTTGTGTACACTTCCTCAGGACTGATCTATTTGTTTTGGAGATGACTTCCTTAGAGTTCATTTATTTTGGTTTCTGCTATAATGTAACTGTTGTCTTAATAAAAGCCATTTTAAAGGTCAAAGGTCTCTCTCTCTCTCTCCCTGTAGCCTCGTGCGTTGTATAACAGCATCATGTCATGTGATCAGCTGATGTCCTCTGGTCTTGTGTCTGCTCTCTTCAGTCAGCAGCAACAGCAGCAACCCAGAGAAACTCGGTGAGTTGGTTTAACTTCAATAATCAACCTAGTTTGTTAGACAAGACTAGATTTAACTAGACTCCGCTTGTCTCTAATGTCTGACATCAGAAATCTGTCCAAAAATACTTTCTGTCTCAAGTTTCTCATTGAAATGCCTTGGGCTTTTATTTTGAAGGTTCATTGAAATTAGAGTTAAGTTTTTGTTGTTAAAACATTTGTGAAACAATGAGATCAGGTTTAGTTTTAATCTGAGGGCTAGGATTAGTCTGCTGGGTGTGGTGGCTGTGTCATGAACCGGGCCAGCGCTGGTCCTGAGCTTCATGCTACATATTTATAACAACAATAAATATTATTAATAGTACAATAATACAAATTATAATAATGACAACAATAATTATTGCAATAATGAAAACATTGATTGTTTAAATGATAATAATAATGACATTATGCACAATAATTATATTAATACTGTAAAAAGATCTAATCTCTGGGTGATTCAGTGACAAAGGAAAATTGTCTTTTTTATCTTTTAATATTAATAATAATAATAATAATTACTATAATGTATTTGTTTTTATAACAATAGGAATTTTTTTAATGTGAATTAGTAGTTTTCTTTTTTTTTCTTGTAAAGTTTTTATTGATCCTCCTAAAATATTTAGGATAATTTCTTCTCACAATAATATTTATTTTTGTTAGTTACTAAAATTGTTTTTACAAAAATGTTTTGAAATAAATATAATTTAAGAAAACTGAATATTAATTCATAAATTGTCTCTCTGATTAAATATTTTCCTCCTATAAATACTTTCAGCTATGTTTTTCAAATCCTAGTGACAGTTTTACATCTACTGAAAAATGTTTGTATTTTTACATGTTATTGATACATGCGTGTGTGTGTGTGTGTGTGTGTGTGTGTTAACATTAATATACATTTGTATTGGTATTGTTTCTTTTTTGAAGTTCCAGTTTTAATCTTAATATTATTTTGTTTTAATAATAATTGTTTTAGATCAAATGCTTTATTATGTTCATTTTGATATTTCATTAATGTAAACTTTCATAGAATTTTCCCTAAATTGATTTTAGAGAAACGGCGAGTCATTTCGCTGGTAAAGCGATGATGTCATGAGTCAGCTGATCAGCCAGCTGATTTACAGATTATTGGTGGTTCCTGTTTCAGCAGCATGGAGAGAAAACTGGATCTATCCCGTCTGACGGACGAGGAGGCCAAACACGTGTGGGAGGTGATCCAACGGGACTTTAACCTCCGCAAGAAGGAGGAGGAACGGCTCACGTATGTTCATTCATTCGTTAATTAATTAATTCATTCATTCATTCAATCAACTTTTCACTCATTCAGACATTATTTTTTAAACATTTTAATTAATCAGTTGGGGCGACGATGGCACAGGAGTTAAGTGCTCGCCCCGTAATCGGGAGGTTGCAGGTTCGAGCCCCGCTCAGTCTGTCGCTGTCGTTGTGTCCTTGGGCAAGACACTTAACCCACGTTGCCTGCTGGTGGTGGTCGGAGGGATCGGTGGCGCCAGTCCTCGGCAGCCTCGCCTCTGTCAGTGCACCCCAGGGCAGCTGTAGCTACATCATAGCTCATCCCCACCAGTGTGTGAATGTGTGTGTGAATGGGTGAATGACTGATTGTGTTGTAAAGCGCCTTGGGGGGTTCCAGGACTCTAGAAGGCGCTATATCAAATACAGACCATTTACCATTCATCAATTTAAATCCAGCTGTAGGATTTTTTCTATTCAATTCAGTTAATTATGCTAACAACATTTTCTTATGTAAGGAAACCCAACAGATTGCGTCGAGTCACTGACCTGTTGTGTCAGAGACTTTAATCCCCATACTAAGCAAGCATGTGGCGACAGTGGAGAGGAAAACAGATTAAACAGATAGATGACAACAGGAGATGATGAGAACGTTTCAGTTGGGTAAAAACACATAAGTGTGTGCGTGTGTGTGTGTGTGTGTGTGTGTGTGTGTGTGTGTGTGTGTGTGTGTGTGTGTGTGTGTGTGTGTGGGTGTGTGTGTGCGGGCGAGTGAATCGAGGAGTTCTTGGGATTCTGGCCGGAATGTGAGCGTGAAAGCAGCTGTTTTTAATGCAGTCGATCACGCCACCATCACATGCTCTGACATCATAAAGAAGCTCTGTGTCCCTGATGAGGACTCCAGCTCCCATCAACCCTCGGGGCAGACAGGAAGACCGCTAGACAGAACTGGACCCATGAGGGATGAATGTCTCCTCTGTGGTCATAATCACATTTTCTGTGTGAAAATCTAATTTTATTTCTGCATAAACAACAAATCTGTTTTTGTCATCTGAGTGGCGATGCCAGGAGTTTAACAGCTGATAAACATCAACGCCAATCATTTCTTTTAAACAATCAAAACCAAATGGTTCACAACCATCCAGACGTTCAGGACGGATCTAGGCTGCAAAGACACCTGATCAAACCTTACCCATGCTTCCAGAGTTCCCGAGCCTGACGCTTCATCTGGTGTCTTGGAAAGCCAACTGACTCTGTTTCTGTTGCAGAGAGCTGAAGAATCAGATAGAGAAGGAGGACACGAAGCGAGAGCTTCTAGGCTCTCAGAGCCATGTGGCAGACTCCCTGTGCATCCGCTGCCTGCAGCCCTTCAAGTTCCTGGTCAACAGCAAGCGCCAGTGTCTAGACTGTCACATGTACACCTGCAAGTCCTGCAGCCGCTACAACAAGAAGGAGCACGGCTGGGTCTGCGACAACTGTCGCATGAACAGGTGAGGCCTCAGGCAATCAGGTGGGACTCGGCTTAGATCTCAGTCATGACCATTCTGAACACGGAAAGGCCATCGTCCGAGACTTAGATAAGTATTTACAGTGCATCGCTTTTTGGTTATGTTACAACTTTATTCCAAAACAGATTAAATGCATTCTTTTCCTCAACACACAACACTCCATAACGACAACGTGAAAAAATGTTTTTGGGAGAATTTTGCACATTTTTAAAATATGAAAACCTGAGACCACATGTACATCAGTGTTGTCAGCCTTTGAGCAATAATTTGTTAATGCACCTTTGGTCTTTTTGAATATGTCAAACGAGTAGCACCCCCGTTTTTGGGCAGTGTGGCTCGTTCCTCTCTACAGCTTCTCTCAAGCTCAGGTTAGATGGGGAATGTTGGTGCAGATGCTCTAAGATCTCGCTAGAGATGTTCAACCAGATTTAGGTCTGGGCTCTGGCTGGCAATGGCGCCCCCAAGGGGTGGCCATGGCTGCCCCCCCCCCCCCCCCCCCCCCCCCCCCGCAGGAAAACCCAATGTAAATAAATCATATTAACTTTCACTCAAACCATAAATTCATCTTATTCATTTAAGACATAAATGTAAAACACAATAAAAAAAATTAAAAATGATGAGTAAAGAAATATAGCCTGGCCTGCCAGACTCCTCCTCTGCACAGAGAAAGGGTCTGGCAACGCTCCTATTTAAATAGCCCCACCCCCTGAGAATTCTAACCAAGCCAATCAGCACCATGGACGTAATTTTTTTTTTTTGGGGGGGGGGGGGGGGGGGGGGGGGGGGGGGGGACAGGGGGGACATGTCCCCCTCACTTTTTCCAAAGTCAAGTTTTGACCCCTGCACTTTTTACCATCCAAAAACAACATTACGCTATATTGAATTGACACTGGTTGAGCTCTAGGACCAAGCAGAAAACAACCATTTGTGTTGAAGCCTGTTTCCCATTAGAACATACTGTAAAGATACCCGCCCCCGTGCCCCCCCACTTCTAAAGTGAAAATTACGTCCATGATCAGCGCTGAGTAGTGTACGTCGCACACCACAACGCCGAGTTTGTCATAAACATGGCGACTGAAATGGAGTTTGCTGCGGCTCTGTCCTCTGTTCTAAATGACTGGAATGTCTTTAAAACCACAACAAGTAGAAGCGCTAAAAGCATTTCTGCAAAAATTAAAGATGTTTGCGCCGTCACCAGACGCCTTTTTTTTACTACAGCTAAAAAACTACAGCGCCACGCGGTACAGTTGTCATTTCCGTCTTTTTTGTGATTGGTTATTTTTGAGCTGCCTAGTCCCGCCCCTCATGTGCCTCCCTGCCTGTGAGTAACCAGACTCTCTCTCTCTGTGCAGAATTAAACCGGACGAGTCTGGCAGGCCAGGCTAAAAGAAATAACCAGAATAAAACAAAAACACACGTTTGTGCTGTTCGCCATTTCAAAAAGGGTTTATCTCCATAGTCTTTTTGTGAACACAGCAACAGGTGAATTAAACAAACAAACAAAAAACTACATTTTGAAATAACATTTTAAATAACAAACTAAATTTACACTGGAGCTCTGACAGAGTGACCGTTGGGTTCTTGGTCACCTCCTTGACTAAGGCCCTTCTTCTCAAATAGCTCAGATTTTATGGCCAGCCAGCACTAGGAAGAGTCCTGGTTTGGAACTTCTTCTCACAGATGATGAAGACTATTGTGCTCATTGGAAACTTAAAAGCAGCAGAAACATTTCTGAAATCCCAGGTCTCCGATGACTGTGCACAATTCCTTTGACTTCATGGGTTTGTGCTCTGACATGCACAGTCTTAGACAGGCGTGTGCCTTTCCAAATCTTTGACCAAACTTACCACATGTGGACTCCGGTTAAGCTGCAGAAACATCTCAAGGATGATCAGTGGAACCAGGAAGCACCTGAGTTCTGTTTTGAGCTCTGAGGATACCTCTGTGTGTTTTCCATCAAGAGCCCAGCTTGGGAGTCATTTATGTTCGGTGTGGAGTTTGTGTATTAGTACGTTCTGGTTTTTTTATTTTTTATTTTTTATCCTCAGAGTCCTGAAGGTCGGGACCGTCGGCTGGTACCATGACAACGTGAGGAACCGTTTTAAGCGTTTCGGCAGTGCCAAGGTGATGAGGTCACTGTACAAGCGTCTAAACGGCGATGGTGAATCATAACACTCGTTGTTAAACTGTAATTCCTATTGTGGCTCCACAATGAGCCTGTTCCTCTAACGGTGTTTGTTCATCAGGCGGTCGTGATGACGACACTCAGAGCATGCCAGACGTCCGCAGCTGTGAGTCGCACAACAAACACTCCGATCATTATGAAGTTAATCTGGTCGATGAAAGAATCGCAATCTTTTAAAGCTCCAGCTTGTTGCTCATTAATTAGCATAAAGCACTCTAAAGCATTAGCATGGCTGACCAGGCAGCTGATGTCCTTGGTTTACACAGGATGAACCATAACCCAGTCCTGCTGAACACTGATTTGTTTCAGACATGTACAACGGTAACGAGGACGATCCTGCAGAAACCGAGGCTCAGCGCTACAAGATGGTAGCTGAGAACACAAAGATGACAATGTTGAGAATGAACACATGAATAAATTAGAGTTTCACACTCAGATGAGGAAGAACAAGCGGCTGCTGTCAGTTCATCCCATGGACTTCGATTCAGAGGATTATCTTCCTCACTCCCGCCGCCCGTCTGTGCAGGTCAATCCCACGCTGGCAACACAAACCCGTGCTAACATTTCCACTGTGGCATGTCCCCACAGTTGTTACATCTAAAGCTAAAAACGCTCAGTTCAGCGTTGTTTTAATCAATGTTTTCTGTGACGTCTTTGATGACGGCGTTGAACAGCAGATGCAGATGCAGGAGGAGCGCGGCTACAGGAACGATGCGGATTACGACCTCTACAACCACCGAGCTAACCGCAGGAAGAGTCTGGACCGTTATGCCATGAGGCCAGGTCACACACACACACGCACGCACGCACACACACATGCATGCACACACACAATGATTATAAGTCTGGAAATTTTTCAATCATATAAAGCCTGGAGCCAATAAGGAACATTGTGAGTCTGGATGTTTTACCTGGGAGGAGTTTGTAACCGCTCACACAGAGTCTCTGATCCCTGACTTCGTCTTCTCAGTTTCAGAGTCATCGTTACCTCTCAGCTCTTATGTTTGTGTACACAGACCATCTGACTCAACCTGTTTTCTGTCATCAGATGACTATGCAGAGAATCGGATGGTCCGGACACGCTCTTTGTCTAAGATCAGCTCTTCTGTGGCTCGGCAGCAGTATGTTGACACGTCTGATGAGGAGGAGTACTGTAGATACCCTCCCATGTACCAGCAGCAGCCCCCCCACCGCCGCAGAAACAGTAGAGCCTCTTCTCAGGAGAACCTGGGCCAAGCTCCGCCTGTAAGAGTACAACCAATCAGCGCACTCGCTTCACACACCTGGGGGTTATTCTCACCTGTTTAACCCTTCTGCAGGATTAGGATCAGGGTCAAGCTAAGTCCCCCTGGCTAACTCTGAGTTTGCTCCGCTAGCAGAAGCTAACTGTTAGCGTTAGCAGCTCCTCATGACGGAACGCGCTTCAGCTTGTGATAAAACATCGGTGTTGCATTTACAGAAAACACTAAACTCCACGACACAAATCGGTCCAAACTAGAAACTAATCATTTCCAGACCAGCCACTAACTTTGGTTTTAACTGAAAACCAGTTTCCAAATCAAAAATGGGAAAACATCAGGAACATAAAGTCATTTTGAGAGTCTGGATGAGCCAGAACTTTCTGTCATAAAAGTGACATGGACTTGTAATCTCAGATAAACGAACTGAACAAACGAATGTCAGCCATCGAGAGTCTGCTGAGCCGTCTGGAGGAGAAGATGTCACCAGCTGATGAGGTGAGACGGTCCACAAACACCAGACCGACATCAGGATCTGAGTCTGATTCCTGAACACTACTCGTTCATATCCTGTGTCCCTCTGCAGGCTTCAACTCCGTCGGGTCAGAATGAGGAGGAGAAGCTGAGGAGGAAACTAAGTGAGCTGGCAGGGAACCTGAGTGATAAAGGCCTGTCGTCAGATGATGAGGCCATGAAGAAGACCTTCCCTGCTAGTAAAGGACTACCTGGAATCATGAGTGGGCCCGCGGGCCCTCGGGATGCTCTAAAGGACAAAGAGCTGAGCTCGTCCAGTGATGAGATGCCCACAGAGGCTCAGAAGGTAGGATGGCTGCTCAGAGGTGCCAGTTTATATTTCCTGGAGAGACTGACAGCAAACAGGAATCTGAATAATCCACCTCCTTGTCCACTGGTCTGGTGCACGAGCAGAGCCGCAGGTCCTGCATGGAGGAGGAGAACAAGAGAGTTTTAGATAAAAGGCTCGAGAACATCCAGGTTCCTGTTTGTGAAACCTCAGCATGGCTCAGCTTCAACCCCGCTGGGTTTGACAATGACCTCCACCCAGAACCAGACACCTGATCCAAATCTGAACTCAGTTCCTTCAGAGGAAAGATCTCCCTGGGTGTGACAAAAACCAATGACCTGAGAGGTCCTGAGGTGGACTCAGACAGTCTCCTCACTAATAGACCACCACCTGTCCTAGGGTTAGGGTCCACACCTTTCAGGTTGTCTTAATGTACTGCAGCTGCCTGTGTGGACCACACAGGTCCTTCTGAGACCAGGTGCATCAGGATTCAGGACCTGGTTGGTGTCCAGTCTGGTAGCTGCTGCAGGATGTTGTTTTCCAGCTGCTAACATCTGTCCCTCTACATGGCTTTCAGAGATCCACCGCTGCCGCCCTCTGTGACCTCACCACTGAGGTCCTGAGAACCATTAACGCCACAGAAAGCGCTATGGTCGAGTACGGCCTCTCAGAGCCGACCGACAGCTCCCTCTTAGTCGGTTCTGACGTAAAGCAGGCCGATGATGCTTTCAGGGAACTTGAGGAAAATGTAAGCTTCCAACATGAACTGTGCTCCTTCACCTCCCCCCACCCCAAGCACAGCCGACCCTAGCTCGTCTAAAGCATGACCCGGTGTCTGGACTGGCTTCAACCCTCCTCTGACTGCTGTGTGTCCAGTCTAACCGAGCTGTGGGCTGGGAAACATACCGGGTCCAGTTTGGGTCCAATCACAGACCTCAGAGAGCTTCAGTGTGTGTGTGTGTGTGTGAGAGAGAGAGAGAGAGAAAGAGAGAGAACACATGAAGACTCTTAGATGTGGTTCATCCTCTACATCAGGGATTCCCAAAGTGTGGTGCGCGCACCCCCGGGGGTGCGCGAGCTGCCGCTAGGGGGTGCGCGAGGTGAAAAGTGTAATGGCTGCGGAGCTCAGAGAAGTCTGTCATGTGTCACCATTATTATAGAAACTCATTTGTGGGTGGACCAAAGAAAAAGTAAGTGGGCACAATAAATGTAATTGAAAACAAGTATATTTTTGCGCGCGCGCGTGTCCTCCGCATGTGCCCTAGCTTCTTAATAACAATGCGTCGAGCTTCAGCACTCTGGCCTGCGCACGCCGATATGTTCCGTATTTGATCATTTTTAACGGTGTTGGAGAAATCTGAAGGTGAGTCATTCTGGCAGATTGTAATTAACACCCTGTCTCATGCAGGTGTTCTGACATTGTAAACCTCACACACAGAACATTGTGGATGTAACTAAATAACAAGAAATGATTCCCATTCAGGCTATTAACAGCGCGCTGAAGATCTGAAGTTCAGAGTGCGTCTGTCAGAGGTCAGACGCGTTCCAGCGGAACCACGGCTCACGGGTGCACATGTGAGCACATCTGGGCTGGGCAGAAGTTTAAATAGCGCCAATAACGAGACGCGGTGACTAGAGCGGCTGTGCCGCGCGCGCATGCGCGCGCACACACCCAGATTCAATGAGCGCGCACGCTGCTTTAACTCCGGCGCACCGTCAGACTGAAGGCAGAAATGAACGCTGCCTCCACCGTGATAAAAACTTTTAAGAGGTTATTTTTCATTCAAGGTCAAATTAAGATATTAGCTTCTGGGATGAGTCGGGTCCGCTCCAGCCAGTGACTCCTCATGAACCTGACCACATCTCATGTTACTGCAGCATTTGTTATTCCAGTCAGCGTGGCAGCGGATCGCAGATTCAGCCACACCATAAAACAGCAATAAGTCGGTCTGAGGCAAAAGTGAACATCATGGATATATCTTGTCCCCTATAGACATTTGATTACGCACAAGTAGGTGATCAGCTCAGGTTTACGCAGAGCAGAAGGAAGGAGAGCGCTCTGGCCGCACAGGTTAAACGTTCCTACTTTAAGAAAACCGTTAAATTGCATTATTGATGTGCTACCTGGGCACTCTAAATATTTATTTAATATTAAATCAAAGGAATTTGTAATGGTATCGAATGTTTATTAATTACTACTTAAAAAATGAAAGTGATGGGGAATTTTTTTTAACCCTGTCTGTTTAGCTTGACATCTGATATATATATATATATATATATATATATATATATATATATATATATATATATATATATATATATATAGAGAGAGAGAGAGAGAGAGAGAGAGAGAGAGAGAGAGAGATGCCCCGATGTGGGGGGGGGGGGGTCGGGACATAGAAAGGGGTGCGCGGCTAAATAAGTTTGGGAGCCACTGCTCTACATCTCTGAGCGACCACCACCTAACTCACGTTTCACCAACAGCAGATCTCACAAACCAGGAGCTCCATCTCATCCTCTCAGGCTCTAGCAGGTCAAAGGTTAAACGTATTGGCTGCTCAGTCTAGGCTGGTGAAGTTTCATCCGAGTTAACCACCACAGATGTTCTGGAGCAAGGCCCCAAAGTGGATATGTTCACCCATAATGCACTGCGGCACAATCAGCACTATGGTGGAGCTCTGAAGGTTTGGGCTCAGATGACTCAGAGTCCACTGGGAACTCTGCTGGATACCAAACGTTTGTAGAGACCAAACTGAGGTTGTCTGTCTGACAATGAGGTAACAATTAGTGGACTGAGATTAGGATTAGAGGTCTAATTTTCTGTAACTGCTGAGATTCTCCTAAACAAAACTAAATTTGAACCCAGACTTGAGACCGGCTGAGGTCCAGAAACCAGCTGAGATCCGGTGTGTTCCCCTGACCTTTAGTCCTGTAAATTTCATCCAATCACCGTCCCCTCAGGTGACCCAGGTGTGTGTGCTGTGTTACCTGTGCAGGTGTACATCACCGCCGGTCAGTCGTACGATCTGGAAAAGAAGCTTCGGCGACTAGAGCACAGCGCCAAGAACCGTTTTGGAGGGACGACGGACTCTGATTTGTCGGAGCTGGAGGATGTGATGGCGCTGACCGCAGCCCGAGTACAGGGTGCTGAGAGCGAGGTGGGCGGGGCCTATTCGGGGACCAACTGAATGTTGACCTCCTTTGATGACTCATCAAGAATTTGTTTCCTCTTCAGGTTTCGGACATCGAGAATAAAATCGCTGCTCTAAGCTCCAAGAAAAAGGTCAGAGTCGAGCTCCAGCAGATCCCTGACCTGAGGGTCAGGGGTCAGCTAAGGTCACATCAAATAGTCCCAGAACTGTTGGGATTAAATGGTTTTGTGAACTTCTGCAGGTTTCTGGATCTCATCAGAAGAAGAAGGCCACTTCAGACTTCTCCAGTAAGAAACACGTTTGGACCTTAAACCAGAACCATGACCTGTGTTAAGCTGTTTAGTTTTTGTTTAAATTAGAATAAAAAAGCTGCGTGAACTTTGACCTTCATTTATACATTTTTTTTTTGTTTTATTAAGTTTGTTTTCTTCTTGTTGACAGAATCTAATGGAGCTTCATGGAGATCTAACAACATGTTCTGATACAGAACGGGTCCTTCTCTGAGCTCCTCTTCCCCTGCCTCCTGCCCCTCCTCCTCATCACACCACAATCAGGAGAAATGGGAGTAAAATCGTCAAACAAAAATTTTAATAAGGAAAATAAATAAATAAATTGATGTTTTTTTTAATGAAAAATAAAAAATAAACATGTTGATTAAACACACATAAAACACAAGTAAGATTAAGTAAACATGTCAAACTAAAACACATTAAAATTACACAAATACCTAATCTAAGCTATTCATTGATGTATAAATCGGATTGTGTTCTTTTCTGATTGTCCTGCTGATTTATTGATTAAACCTCATTGATCCTCTGGAGTATGGTTTATTGATTTCTGATCAACATTGATGAGCTGTTTGACTTTCTGCTCAACAAACAGATCATCCCTCCATGTTACTGATGGAAGAGATAAAATACCAGAAACAGAAGAGAGGTTTACTCGTTTATCTTATTCTCACCAACAGGGTTTGTTGACTTTTTACTGTTTTGTGGTAAATTTCATCAGTGTATTGAAATTACTATCATTTTGAAGCCCGTGTTTCTCATCTCAAGACTTTTATTTTTTATCACTTCATGTTGCCGAATTCAGGTTTTCGGGACTTTTATTTTGAAAACAGTACTTTATTTTGAAGGTGTGTGTTTTCAGTATGTACAGTCTATGGTTTTCAGGCTGCTCTAGCGGTGCGGCAGCGGAGCACCTGCACGGCTCACCTGTCCTGGTCCGTCTCGTTTCGCGGTACCGGACCGATCCGAACTGCTAGCACCGGGGACACCGGGTCTCCGCTCGGACCGATGCGAACCAGGTGATTCGTGCTGCAGTCTGCAGCTTCTGGGTTACCTCTGAGCTCCGAGCCGCGCTAGAGCCTCGAGTCTCATACCTGGGTTCTCGTTCTGGGTGGTCGGCAGTCCCACTGGACCGAACACCGTTCTCGGTCATTCAGTCTTCAGCAAACCTGAATGTGACGGATTCGGTAGAATTCGGCACAGAAACAAGGTGACCGAACCAACGCGCCGTAGAAACATCCGGATCGGAACAGAAAGATTCTGAGATTAATGTGACTGGAGCTGGAGCTTCGGAACTGCGAGTCCAGAACTTGTTGGAGCACAATTCGGCTGCAGCTGAATCCCCTAAACACCATGAGCACCCAGGGACCGGGCCGGAAGAGGATCCCGAACCGGGAGAAGCTGACCGGGCAGGAGGATGCGCTAAGCCAGATAGCGCGAGAGGTAAAAAGCTCAAGGCTAGCAGTACAGCTGATCACGTTTTAAATAAACCAATCAAATGATCAATCTGCTGATACAGTCATTAATTAGCTGTTTTTTTCATCAATTGATAGTTATTCATCACTGATAAACCAACTGATTTATAACCAACTGATAAAGTTGGTCATTAATGAAATAGATGATTGATAATATTAATTGACTGATCATTATTAATATGTTAGTTTGTAATTAATTAGCTGATAGATTTCAATCAGCTGACCAATACAGTTAATAATCGTTTCACCAATAGTTCAGATTTATAGTTATTAATGGGCAATCGTTATTATTTGTACAATTAGGTGTTATAGCCTCCGGAAATGGTCTGTTTTACAGGTCACCTCTTCAGTATCGGGTCATTTTGGAGACATAAGTCTTAACTGGTGCCTTAATCTGCAAGAAGATACTGTTGCTTCAAGGTCCCTCCAAGCTCACTCTTATCTAAGACTGGTTTCATTCACAGCACAAGACGGATGAACTTACTAAGTTAAATCATATAATGAACAATATGGTTGAAGGATAATAGCAATGTTTTGATTAATCTGTGCTTAAATTACTGTGGTTGAAATGAATATTATTATGTTATGATCAGTAAGTTTAGATTTAACAAGTGAATCACTATCTCTGACAGCTTACACACTCAGACACGTAATGATGACAAGGTTAAGCTAATATCCTGACACATTGCTTTCTGTTCCATCAATCAGAACTCCTGTATCTGACGCGAGGCGTGTTTTCTGAGGTTTGTCGGTAAAAACCCTTCTACATGTCAAATTCTGATTTGTTAGTAAATCAAAATATGATGATTATTAAAACAGGACTCACTTCACCGCGAGTCAGTTCTAGTTCTTGTGAGTTCTTGAGAAAGTTTCGGACCGGCCATCCGAAGCAAAACCTCTTTGACCCAGAGCATCTTTTGACAAGCTGTCAAAAGCCTGTTGCAATCTACAGCTGACATCAAATGGTTCCTTCAGAATAAAGCTGAACCAGCTTCAACTCCTTAAGAGTTATTTCTAAGACGCAAATAACAAACTGTCGTGACCTGAAGACAACTCGAGACCGGTCTAGTCGGCACTGCGGTTGCTTCTACCGACTTCGGTGCCTCTGGGGTCCCCAGACCTCAACATTCCAGATCTACCACGGGGGTCTTCTATCAGGGTACGTAGACTCGACAGATTGCGTCTAATGTGTTTTTGATAAGAACCAACTTTTTTAGTTTATAGCAGACCAAATTCATTCCCACTCAGAACTCAGTTTCTTCAGATACGAGAGGTTCTGATAACATCACATCATCACGCCTCACATTCCATCCACTCAGATCCATTCATCACATAAAGTGTCCTAGTTGTCATGTTTTAATTGTTTAGAAAATAAATTTTTTGCTTTTTATAAACTTGACTCTCTTCTTGAATTAATATGAAGTGTCTGACAATCCCTGAATAAACAAAGAATTCTAAATCTTCTGGTTAAACATTCAACGACCAATCAGACTGGATTTCCTTATTTATATTGAAATTCACAAAATATTGGTCAAAGTATAGGGTAGTACATCAAGCTTTAAAGCACCCAAATGCATACATAATTACCCCGTTACATAGTTATTGTTCCACTTTTGGCCAACTTTTTAGTCAGATAAATGATAGTTATTAATCAGCAGTACATCTGCTGCAGCTAACATGGAAATTGTCCCAAGCTAGGGTCAAAGGTCACAGTCTCAGATGGAAGTCAAACTTCACTGTTCTGGTTTAGGGCTAAAGATCTTCGGTGAAATGTCTCCGTCTCTGTCCCAGATTAGCATCAATGATCACTGTCCTGAGTCAGGGACAAAGACCATTGTTGGGTAGGATCATAGACCACACCCCCTGGTTAGGGTTTGAACTCTGTCATAGATTAGGGTCAAAGATCAAGGATTGGGCCTCTTACTGACAGGTAGTTTGGGTGGCTCAATCTGGTCTAGTCCACCCTGGTCCAGTCTAATTCAGTGGCCTAGACCTCTCTAGTAATCCAGCCTGGACTAGTTTAGTATAGTAATGGGGTCTGGACTAGTCTAGTATAGTAATACGGTCTGGACTAGTCTAGTATAGTAATCTTGTCTGGACTAGTTTAGTATAGTAATGGGGTCTGGACTAGTATAGTATAGTAATACGGTCTGGACTAGTCTAGTATAGTAATCCGACCTGGACTAATTTAGTATAGTAATCTTGTCTGGACTAGTCTAGTATAGTAATCCGACCTGGACTAATTTAGTATAGTAATCTTGTCTGGACTAGTCTAGTATAGTAATCCGACCTGGACTAATTTAGTATAGTAATCTGGTCTGGACCAGCTGAAGGCTTTAGCTTTTAACTGATTACTATTTATTGCATTGCTTGTTTTACTTATTTATTTATTTTAATTACTGTTGTGTTACACATTTATGTTGTTTTATTTCTATAATCACATTTTATTGGATATTTTACTATCCGTATTAGCTCTTGCGATTTTACATGTCACATATTTTAATCCTTCCAGTGTTTCCTCTGTAGAGCCCTCTGCCTCGGGACTGGTGGTCGGTGGCGGCAGCTGGGGCGCTCCTTGGGTAGTGCCCAGGTAGTGGTGGGGGTTGCCACCCTCCCTCCCAGGGCCCCCTGGATTGGTGTCTTGGCTGCTGCCATGGATCTGCTACTGTCGAGGCAGATGGCTCCCTTGATGGCGTGTCTTCATTGCCTGTCCAATTTGAGCTCAGCCTAATGTTTACTGTGGTCTTTTAATGTGTTATGTGTACGAGTGTGTGTGTGTGTGTGTGTGTGTGTGTGTGTGTGTGTGTGTTCCTGGGAATGGTTTGTGGATTGGGGGGTGAAACTGTCATAATTGTTTTAAGTGTGGGAAAGGGAGGGAATATGGGTTATATGGGTCATTTTAATTTGTTAAGCACTTTGTGTCTTGCTTTGCATGAAAAGTGCTATATAAATAAAGTTTGATTTGATTTGAAATATGGCTCACCTGTGTGTTCTCAGGCAGAGGCTCGACTGGCGGCAAAACGGGTGGCACGAGCAGAGGCCCGGGAGTTCCGGATGAAGGAGCTAGAGAGACTACAGGTTAGTGGATGGAATTTGGGTTTTTATTTAGTCATTAGGTAAAATGTCAGTGAGACACGTGATGCCTAACAGAGACCTGCTTACGCAGAAATACAGTTAAAATATAGAGGTAGAGGGTCTTGTCATAACGGGACAGTTTAAAATGAGTTTGTCCTAAAACAAAACAAAACACAATAAAGGTAACCTGAAGATAATAAAATCACCAGAAACTAAGTGGCGATCAGATCAGGTGATTTATTCAGGCATTTAAAATTAGAAACGACTCAAATCGATCTAACTGGTTAGTGGAGCTGAATTAGAAAAAGCCTTTTTTTCAAACTGAGCTCTAGCTTGCCTCCTGGGCTGTTGACTAGTCTCTAGAGTTGGTAACTTGTCTCTAGTGCTAATAACTAGTGTTGGTAACTAGTCTCTAGTGCTAATAACTAGTCTCTAGTGCTAATAACCACTGTTGGTAACTAGTCTCTAGTGCTAATAACTAGTCTTTAGGGTTGGTAGCCAGTCTCTAGTGCTAATAACTAGTGTTGGTAACTAGTCTCTAGTGCTAATAACTAGTCTCTAGTGCTAACAACCACTGTTAGTAACTAGTCTCTAGTGCTAATAACTAGTGTTGGTAACTTGTCTCTAGTGCTAATAACTAGTCTCTAGTGCTAATAACCACTGTTGGTAACTAGTCTCTGGTGCTAATAACTAGTCTTTAGGGTTGGTAGCCAGTCTCTAGTGCTAATAACTAGTGTTGGTAACTAGTCTCTAGTGCTAATAACTAGTCTCTAGTGCTAACAACCACTGTTGGTAACTAGTCTCTGGTGCTAATAACTAGTCTTTAGGGTTGGTAGCCAGTCTCTAGTGCTAATAACTAGTGTTGGTAACTAGTCTCTAGTGCTAATAACTAGTCTCTAGTGCTAACAACCACTGTTGGTAACTAGTCTCTAGTGCTAATAACTAGTCTTTAGGGTTGGTAACTAGTCTCTAGTGCTAATAACTAGTCTTTAGGGTTGGTAGCCAGTCTCTAGTGCTAATAACTAGTGTTGGTAACTAGTCTCTAGTGCTAATAACTAGTCTCTAGTGCTAACAACCACTGTTGGTAACTAGTCTCTAGTGCTAATAACTAGTCTTTAGGGTTGGTAACTAGTCTCTAGTGCTAATAACTAGTCTCTAGTGCTAATAACCACTGTTGGTGACTAGTCTCTAGTGCTAATAACTAGTCTTTAGGGTTGGTAACTAGTCTCTTTGAAAGACAAGGAGGGAATGAGGGCACCAATCCATGTCAGGAAGTGATCAGAGAAGTTTCAGAATAAAATGTTAGTCTTTGGAGGTCACCTTGTTGTCTACGGTAAACACCGATCTCTGAAGCATTTAAACTGCAGCTGGATGTGAAGGAAACAGGAAGTAGTCTGGTCAGCTGATGGGGTCATGAGACAGCAGGTCAAAGTTCAGACTGACTGATCTGTCGTAGGAGGGGATGAGTGTCTGCAGCTCAGGTGAGTTTAAACAATAATAACAAAAAATGATCCGTCAGCTGATCAGTTAGCCTCTCGGTATTCTGGTGGTGCCGAGTCTGGATTAGAACCAAACAGATCCGTCTGGTTTTGTCGGGGGGGGGGGGGGGGGGGGGGGGGGGGGGGGGCTGAAAACCGACAGTGAACTGGGTCAGGACCAGCTCCTGGCTGATTGATCTGCTCTGAGGTGCTTTTATTGTCAAACTCAGAAAGGAAGCGGTTGTCTTCAGCATCAGAGAGAAGTTCTGTAAAAACCAGATCAAAGAGACCAGAACCTGAGAGATTCATCAGCTGATCCAGCCTGAAGGTTCCCAGTTCTCTGTGGAAACTCTTTTGAGCCAACCTGAAGTTCTGTCAGGCTCTGATTCCTCATCCTGAAACCTGCAGGGGTTCTGATCCGAGACCCGACCCAACTGGTTCTTTAACTGTGGTTCTGTTCACCAGCTGGAGGCCCAGTTAGCTGAAGGTTCTGTAGTTGTGATGGAACCAGAACATTTCTGACCCCTCTAATAAGGTCTGAGTCCTGTAGGTCCGGTTGCCATGGAAACAGAATCACAGCTGTTCTGACATCCTCTCTCTCACCTGTGTGTCCTTCCCATGCAGCTGGTTTACAGCCACAAGGTAGGTCCAGTTCCTCTGGTTTCAGAACGTCTCAGATCCAGTTCAGCCCTGAGACCTGTAACCTGTCTGCTCCTGTCTCCACAGAAGTATTATGGTCTGGATTATAAGTGGGGCCACATCGAGCAGTGGATGGTAGGACTCTCCAGGACTCTGTAAGACTCTGTAGCAGCTGATCAGAACCAATCTGGGTCATGTCCTGATGCCTTCAGTGTTTGGGTTAGGGTGTAGTCAAAGCTGACCAGAACCACAAAGTCACTCCTGATCTGAAAGATAAAGGAAGAGGGGCGGGAGGAGGACTTCAAGGAGATGCTTTGGGAGTTTGAGAAAACCATGGCCGAGTTAAACCAGGAGTTGGAGAAAGATTAGAGTTTAAAGAAGGAGAGAAAGGGGAGTCGGAGGAGGATTTCAGTGGAGCTTAGTGGAGGAGCTAGAGAAGGAGTTACAGAGGAGCAGTTACAGGAGATGCTAGAAGATCCAGAACAGAAACAATAAAACTACTGATGGTTCTGCTGGAGGCTCTGGACCAGCCACGGTAGATCCAGATCTGCTCTGATGCTGCTGAGGTTTCTAGCATGTCTTCCTCTTAATCAGAGTCTCCCAGCATGCCTTCTGCTCCCTCTTTGTAATTGGTTCATTTTTTAACTCGACTCGGTTTTTATAATTTAACATTTTAATGCATTGCTTTTGAAAGCTTTTAAAAGTTGTCATTATTTTATTTTAAGTGAAGCATTTTAGATTTTTTTTATCACAATTAGGTATTTTAGTTTTCATCCCTGATTTGATTACATAGACTTAACAATTGCTTTTATTTTTATTTTTTAACCAGATTTTTCATCATTAGCGTTAAACCCCTCAGCATGTCTGACAGGCACCCTACATGGGATTTCTCCTCCTTTAATGTGTTTCTTCTCTGTGGCCTTCCAGGAGGACAGTGAGCGGTACTCTGGCCTCTCTCGGAGACACCCTTCGGTCTGTTTCTCCTCTCTCAGCATTTAAGCTGCTTTAGCGAATCTGCAAACGAGCTGTTTTGAACACAAACTTGATCACAGAGCACTCACCCTTCCCCTCGTGTGTCATCCCCTTCAGCTGAAACCGGAAAACCACGATGCCAATCACCATTTTCTAGGTCGTAGTGTTGTCTGTGACTTCAAATGGTGTTTTTCTTTGTGGTCTCTTCTAACAGACTTTGTAGTCTGTTCTAAAGTTGAAGTGGTAGCAGACCGCTGTTTCTCCTCTGATGTTATTGAGCGGAGAACTTCTCACGCCAGCAGTGTTCTGTAGCTAAATTTGTGAGTGCGTAGTGAAGGGAGGACCCAGGGAAGAGCAGAAGTGTGGCGGTTTGGTGAGATGGACAATCAAATGGTTATTAGTGGAGGTTTTTGGACATTTTTAGACAAATGTGAGAGACCCACTTAAATAAAACATGCTGAAATGAGTTTTCTGGTGGCTGGGCTCTCCCTTAGAGATAGGGTGAGAAGCTCAGTCATCCGGGAGGGGCTCGGAGTAGACCTGCTGCTCCTCCACATCGAGAGGAGCCAGTTGAGGTGGCTCGGGCATCTGGTCAGGATGCCTCCTGGACGTCTCCCTGGTAAGGTTTTCTGGGCACGTCCAACCAGAAGGAGACCTAAAGGAAGACTCAGGACACGGTGGAGGGACTATGTCTCTCACCTGGCCAGGGAACACCTTGGGATTCCCCCGGAAGACCTGGCTGTGGAGAGAGAAGTATGGGCCTCTTGACTTAGGCTTCTGCCCCCGCGACCCGACTCCGGATAAGCAGAAGAAAATGGATGGATGGATGTTTTTAATCTCTACAATATATTTATAGTATGTTAGAAGGTTGTTAAGAGGCATGAAAAATATTCTTAAGCTGATACGGTTTCCAAATTTGCTATAGCAGCTTTAACTGTTTATTACCTTTCACATGTTCTCAAGGTGTGCCTGTTACCCGAACATCAAAGATACTTTATTAATCCCTGAGGGAAATTAGAGTTTCAGCACACACAATTCTGAGATCAGACATACATTCATAGGCATAGACACATGACAAGAATTGGTGACTGTGGTCATTCGCAACCCGAGTCTCGCTACCTTAATAGAGATCAGAGGGTTTATGTGAGGATTGAGTCAGGTGGAGGAAATAAAGGCACTTCAGAGTTACCCTCCACAGGGAGGGCAGCTTTGCTATGCAAAATGCACCTCAGACAGATATGCACACAGACTTCTGACATTATAAAACATAAGTGTCCACTAGGTGGGGAGGTAGGGTTGGGCACTCTCCACACATCAGTGCATGCAGCCACGATAAGCAGCGCTCATCACCTCCGTCTGGACAAGGGGAGGAGGTAGTTGGGTTTAGAGGGCACAGTGACTCCTGGAAACGATTCACCGGCCTTCACAGCTCGCAGTCCCGCCCAGGCTGGGATAGGGAGACAGAGTTGCCATGGCAATGGCAGCATTCCACAATTCTTCGAAGGGGGAGTATTCGTTTCAGCCTCACAGGCTCAAGGGCACCAGATTCAGATAAGAAATTGTTTTGGGACCAGACAGAGATAATTTCTTCTCTGTCTTAAAGTTCAGTTGGTCCTCAAGATCTCAAAATCCAATAATGGCGTAAATTAATCTATCCCAATCCGTGCTGATTCGTCCACTCGCTCCTTGATCGAATCCATCTTTTGTGCCAGAGCCTGAATCTCAGCCAAAGTTCCAAGCTTACGACTCATCTCGACAATTATATGAGTTTGTGCATTCACAGCGCGGTGTAATCCATCCCTGAGCTCCGGGAAAGAGCCAATATTCCTCGACAGCTCGTTAATTATCCGGTAAGCCAGGTAACCTCCCAGGCCAAAAAGCAGGAAAACTGACACCAACACCACGAATATCCAGACATCTTCAGAATCCTCTACAGACAGCTGAGAGAGGCAGATCAGGTTCCACTGTTTCCAGGAGTCCATGATATGCCCAGCTGGCTCTGTCCCAGAGGGGCATCCGGGAGCCCCTTCTCCCGTTTTCGTCGTTGAGAAAATTTTGTCAATCGCGTTGAGAGACCAACTGACCAGGTCCATTTTTAATAATTTCCAGTATCCAGAAAAAATGCAGAAGCACCATACACCCAAAAACAGACAAAGAGCCTTGGGGATAAGTTAGGGAGGAGAGGAGGGAAAAAGCCTCTGTACTTTCCAAGAGTACATGCACTGATTCTGCTTTGTGTTGGTAGATTTCAGACGACGAGGAGAGAATGTCAGTGGGCAGTCGAGGAAGCCTCAGGGTGAGTCCAAGACTAGCTGACATGATCTAAGAGAAGGTCTGAGACCAGCTAATGGGTTCAAACCAGCTGATGGGTCTGTGAAATGAGCTAGAGGTCATCATTTCAGTTACTTTACTAAAAAATATCTTTCCTTTGTTTCTGTCCGTTATTTGCCTTCCACCTGTTCCTCCCCCCCCCCCCCCCCCCCCCCCCCCCCCCCCAGCCCTCAGACCATGGTGGTCTTCTGGCCTCTGGCTCTCGAGCTTCCTCCAGGGCCAGTTCAGCTCGTGCCAGCCCAGTGGTGAGCTCTGTTTTTGGGCTGGGTGTGGCTGTTCCTCTGTGGCTTCTGCTGTCTATCTCACTCAATCAGTAAAGCATTGGTTTCTATGGTAACGCTGATTCGTTGGTGTTTTCAGGTAGAAGAAAGGGTGGACCGTGAGTTCATTGATAAGGTAAAAATAAAGTAGGAAACCAGCTACCTTCATAAAAAGGAATGGTTCTCTTTTTAAACTAAGATCGTTTTGAGAGAATTAATGTATAAAATTGTTATTCTTTAATTCTTTATTTTAAGAACTTGTTTTTTTAACCCTCCCACTGTCGTAATGGGTGACCCCATGAGGAACGTTGACCATTGAGCAGGGTTGATGGTTTATCCCTTGGATCCATGTGGCAGGGGTGAGGAGTGAGCACCACCTCACCCCTGCCATGTGGACCTCAAGGGATAAACCATCAATCCTGCTCAATGGTCAACGTTCCTCATGGGGTCACCCATTACGACAGTGGGAGGGTTAAAAAGAGTTTTTGATTTATATTTTTCCTTTTATAAAAACTGTATGTTCTAACTTCTCTGGTTCTTTAAAAATAATAACAGTCTCAGGGCTCCAGGGCAGCATCCACTCTGTCGACCACGACGCTGGCGTCACTGGGTGCAGCCTCGTTGGGCGGGGCTTCATCACGAAGAGGAAGTTGTGACACATCGTTTTCTGTGGAAACAGAAGCATCAATCAGAGAGATGAAGGTAGAGACTTCTTTTAAACAGTCTCAAAACCAACACTGATTATTCAGCTGTTAGACAGAACTCCACTGAAGGAGACCTGGACCGCTTTGTGGAAGGGAAACATGGTATTCGTGGAAGGTGACTGTGATGTCATGGGCCAAGAGGTTGTGGGTAGAATTCCAACATTTCATGAAAATTCCAATGGGTCATTAGAATTCCAGCAGATCATGAGAACTCCAACAGGTCATTATTGTTCCAACAAGTCATGAGAACTTCAACAGGTCATTATTATTCCAACAAGTCATGAGAACTCTAACAGGTCGTCAATATTCCAAAAAGTCACGAGAACTCCTACAGGTCATGAGAATTCCAACAGGTCATTAGTATTCCAAAAGGGTCATGAATATTTCAACTGACCAAGAGTATTCTAACAGGTCATGAGAATTACAACAGGTTATGGGAATTCCAGCAGGTCATATGAAATCCAGCAGGTCATGAGAATTGCAACAGGTCATGAGAATTCCAGCAGGTCATGAGAACTCCAACAGGCCATCAGTACTCCAACAAGTCATGAGAATGCCAACAGGTCATCAGTATTCCAACAAGTCATGAGAACTCCAACAGGTCACGAAAATTCTTACGGGTCATTAGAACTCCAGCAGATCATGAGAACTCCAACAGGTCATGAGAAATCCAGCAGGTCATGAGAATTGCAACAGGTCATGAGAATTCCAGCAGGTCATGAGAACTCCAGCAGGTCATGAGAACTCCAACAGGCCATTAGTATTCCAACAAGTCATGAGAATGCCAACAGGTCATCAGTATTCCAACAAGTCATGAGAACTCCAACAGGTCATGAAAATTCTTACGGGTCATTAGAACTCCAGCAGATCATGAGAACTCCAACAGGTCATGAGAAATCCAGCAGGTCATGAGAATTGCAACAGGTCATGAGAATTCCAGCAGGTCATGAGAACTCCAGCAGGTCATGAGAACTCCAACAGGCCATTAGTATTCCAACAAGTCATGAGAATGCCAACAGGTCATCAGTATTCCAACAAGTCATGAGAATTCCAACAGGTCACGAAAATTCTTACGGGTCATTAGAACTCCAGCAGATCATGAGAACTCCAACAGGTCATGAGAAATCCAGCAGGTCATGAGAATTGCAACAGGTCATGAGAATTCCAACAAGTCATGAGAACTCCAACAGGTCACAAAAATTCTTACGGTTCATTAGAACTCCAGCAGGTCATGAGAATTCCAACAGGTCATTGGAATTCCAGCAGGTCATGAGAACTCCAACAGGCCATTAGTATTCCAACAAGTCATGAGAATGCCAACAGGTCATCAGTATTCCAACAAGTCATGGGAACTCTAACAGGTCATGAAAATTCTTACAGGTCATTAGAACTCCAGAGAACTCTAACAGGTCATTAGTATTCCAAAAGGGTTATGAGTATTTCAACAGGCCAAGAGTATTCTAACAGGTCGTGAGAAATCCAGCAGGTCATGAGAATTGCAACAGGTCAGGGATTGTGCTCAGGAAAAGCAGAGATAAGTTAGGCCCTAATGAACCTGTATCTAAATGAACATGTGCAGAGTGATCTGAATTTCTGGAGACACCACCACCAGCCTTACCAGACAGCTGGATAGGAAGGTACTTGGGGACCAGTGCTAACGTCTGATTGTGAGATCCTCACTGGGACCCCTGAAGGTCCCTCAGTGAATACTTCAGAAGAGTCTGCCACTACCTATCCACCTCTTTTGCTTTTCAAAAGTCTGACCAAGGTCATTTCTGACGTGTTTTTTTTTCTTGTCTGTTGAATTTCAACTCCAGGTTTTAGTCAAATTCTGGTACCAGTCTAATCTAGTCATTATAGATCCAGTCCAGTACTTTCTAGTCTTGTTCAGCTCAGTCCAGTCCAGTGTATTGTTGACAATGATTTGCATTTAACCACTGTGATCAGCAGTCTGAATACTCATGACCTTTACTGTTAGGACTCCCTGCTGGAGACTGAGGAGAAGTACCGCAGAGCGATGGTTACCAACGCTCAGCTACACAATGACAAGACAGCCCTGATGTTCCAGGTGGAGACTCTGAGAGAGGAGCTTGGTGACCTAGAGGAGCTTCTGTGGGAGTCTCGCCGATGTTGTGACCTCTCCAACAAGGTTAACCTCCAGCTGCTGTTGGAGATGATTATGTTGTAGCTGTTGGTGTTGAAGCTTGGTGTGTACCTGCAGGAATTGGAGCTCGAGCGCCAGGCTCACAAGGCTCTGCAGGTCCAGTTCACGGTGACAAGAGAAACTCTCAGACAAACTAAGGAGCTGCTGATGGTAAGTCTAACACTTGTAGAAAGTAGGGTTCATCTTAGTGTTATTGTGGCGAGATTCCTGAATTTGTTCTGAATAAAATCATGTTTCAGAACATTCTAAAAGACCACTGAGTGTCCCTGTTTACTAACGTTATGTCTATAAAACTCCTGAGTAATAACTTTTCTTTCATTGCTGTGAGTTGACGTGATTTATGATGGTATAGAGAGGAGACTCACACCTGCATCTGACTAAGCAGGCAGTTTTCCAAAATCTGAGTGTACATGGTCTTAAACTAGGAAATCCATGCAGGTCTTTGGACACAAGGGCATTGGTGTCTAATGGCTTCTGCTTGTCTCTGGTGGACAGAAGATATGTGATCTGACACACACAAGTCCTCTGCCTGCTATTTCTTGATGTCCAGTCTCAGGGTGCTGGACTTGAGGTCATTTGTGACAAGCTTTCCTGTCTTGATATCAGATGTGTTTTTCTCCTCCTTTGGCCAGGCTCTTATAACAGTACCTTTTGACTGGCAGGTGTCTAGGAGAGCAGGCAGTTTCTTTTGCCTGATCATGTTAGTAGAGAATGTTATGATCTGGTACAGTCCAACTGGACTAGAATCTAGACCGTCAGTTTGCCAAAGCAAAATGATTGGTCGAGCTATACGCTCCACTGGAACCAAAGCAGCCCCGGACGTCTGGTGCCGGTCCAGTCACAGTGGTCTATCTGTTTGGTGGGCGGGATGTTGCATCTTTTTCAACGGTGAATAGTGGACTGCCCAGTGTCTGACATCCTTAGCGGCCCAATCACAGCACTTCATTGATGGGGGGGGGGGGTCATCATCGTCGTTGTCCTCCACTTATCCGGGTCGCAGGGGCAGCATCCCAACTAGGGAGCTCCAGACCGTCCTCTCCCCAGCCACCTCCACCAGTTCCTCCGGCAGGACCCCAAGGCGTTCCCGGACCAGATTGGAGATGTAACCTCTCCAACGTGTCCTGGGTCGACCCGGGGGCCTCCTGCCGGCAGGACTTGCCCGAAACACCTCTCCAGGGAGGCATCTAGGAGGCATCCTGACCAGATGCCCAAGCCATCTCAACTGACTCCTTTCAATCCGGAGGAGCAGCAGTTCTACTCTGAGTCCCTCCCGAATGTCCGAGCTCCTCACCCTATCTCTAAGGTTGAGCCCGGCCACCCTACGGAGGAAACTCATTTCGGCCGCTTGTATTTGCGATCTCGTTCTTTCTGTCATTACCCAAAGCTCATGACCATAGGTGAGGATTGGGACGTAGATCGACCGGTAAATCGAGAGCCTGGCTTTCTGGCTCAGCTCCCTCTTCACCACGACAGATTGGTTCAGCGTCCGCATCGCTGCAGATGCTGAACCAATCCACCTGTCGATCTCCCGATCCCTCCTACCCTCACTCGTGAACAAGACCCCGAGATACTTAAACTCCTCCACTTGAGGTAGGACCTCTTCCCCGACCCGGAGTTGGCAAGCCACCCTTTTCCGGTCGAGAACCACGGTCTCAGATTTCGAGGTTCTGATCCTCATCCCAGCCGCTTTACACTTGGCCGCGAAGGGGGGTTACTGAAAATACAAAGATGGAAACAGCTCATTTGAAACGTCTTTGGCATTTACTTTGGACTATTTTGACCTGAATTTTTCTTTTACTCAAGAGCAGATAGAGAAGTTTATCTAGGCAAAGGATGCATTTGCTTCTTCGACGGCGCATGGCAGACTGCCTCGCTGTAGCAGTGAGTACATCATGTTGTTTGTTGTACAGTGGCACGCAGACACAGTTTTAAAGACAACCATAGAACCCGCTCCACAACTGAGAGTCGTCAATAGACCGTGGCCAGACTATATCATCATCATCATCATCATCATCATCATCATCATCATCATCATCATCAAAACTTTATTCCAGACACAATGAGGTCCATAGTAAAAAAATATATATATAAAAGGATAAAAAGATAAAAACCAGACATATATAAGAAATAAATAGCATAAGAATAGAGCTAGTTGCACATAAACATGCTGCCTCGCCACCCTCCATTACCTACAGAGAAATGAGAAGAGACCGCATTTCCCCATTTCACGACCATAGATGGGCGTACCAATATACTAGAATTCTCACCAGATATTTTGGTACTTTTCAGCTGAGCAATTTGAGCAATTACTTTTCATGATTAACGAGGTCGAATGCTTTTGAAGCATCAATAAAACATGTGAATATAGTTGTATTGTGTCTATTATACAGGTCAAGTATTTCTTTCAGTACAAATATGGACATGTCTGTGCCCAATATGGTTTTGAATCCAAATTGATTGTCAGACGAGGTAACAAACTCCACCAGTCTTGTCAAAATTGCCCTCTCCAGGAACTTTGACAGGGCAATGGGCCGGTAGTTCTCCTTACTGTTTATCTTGCCTGTTTTATCTTTTATTATAGGTACCAGAACTACAGATAACATAGAGTTTGGTAAAATACCATGAATTAGGAATCCGGTAAAACAGACAGCCAACAGCGGGTAAAGTTTCTTACTTGCTAGCTTTAAATGTTCAGCTGTTATTTTGTCTGCACTACATGACGTGTATTCCTTAAGTGTCAACACAATGTCATAAACCTCTTGCACAGAAATATTAGCATCCTTATTTCCCTCAACAGTGTCTACCAAGAGGGAATGACTTTTAATTAGGGATGGGCAATATATCGGCATCAATATTGGATTGGTATCGGCCGATGTTAGTCATTTTTTAACATATCTGTACCGGCTTGATAAATAAAACCGGGCCGATATTAACAACCGATATTTTTTCCATCTCATTTCCATTTGTTTGCTTGTTTCAGAGGGTGAGGGGGGTGATGTGTAATTGTTTAGTCATGTGACAGTGAATGAAATCATCTCAGAACCATGAATGTGTGTGTTGTGTATACATAATAACGTAAATTCAGCTTTAACCATTTAATTCTATACAAAATCTGCTGTTTTTAGAAGCATTAATGCCAGTACATCGATATCGGCAAATATCAGTTATCGGCCATAACAGTGATCTTGATATCGGATATCGGTATCGGCCCAAATATTTCATATCGGTGCCTCACTACTTTTAATGCAATTAAAAATTTGGAAAAACTGTTTCTGCCATAACTGGGAATTTCCTCTGATCCATTTGCCCCATCTATATTTGATGGCAGGGGAACTTTACTGGATTTACCATTGGGCACTTATTTTGTAGTTTCTTTGCTAAGGAATCATGCCTAAGCATGTCTTCGTTCCCTTTGATGAAATGTAGAGCACGTTTAGCATTTGTGTGGGTGATTTTTTTATAATCAAAAATTGGGCCTCTTTCAGATTTGCCTGCTTCAGCCCACAATTTAATAGCTCTTCTAGCTTCTGCATAGAGCTTTTCTACATGTTCAATCCATCCTGGCTTGGCTTTGTGTTTAATATTTTTATACAGGGGCCTACTTGATTCAAGTAGAGAGTTTACAATTTCTTCATATAAAATGCAAATTTCTTCACCACGTTGCACATCTTTACAATTTATATCAGAGCGTGTGACTGCACTTTTTGGCAGCCTGATATTACTCAGCAGAACCTCAGACCGGCTACAGTACTGATCGAAATCCTGCTGAGTCATGCTATCCCAGTGTATTCTTTCTTCTTGTAAAACAGTATTTGTTGGCAACATGGTTGGTAGGCTACCCATATTTATCCTAATGCAAATTGGTATATGATCTGATAATGCAAATTCTGTTTTTATACTGATGTTTTCCAAGGAGTCATTAGCGTCTTTAGAACAGATGCAGTGGTCCAGCCATGAGGTTGTGTGCCACGCTTCGCTGATGAAGGTGTAACTGTCCACAGGCAGTAATAGTTGGCTGGAGAGAATCAGCCCATTATCTGAGCAGAACTGGTTTAAGTGACTACCAAACAGAGAGTTACTATTAGACACATCAGCATTCACATCACTCACTATGAAAAGGCATGAGGGAGGGTTGTCCGGGATATATGATGTAATGAAGGCCAACTTATTAAGATATTCATCTTCATTATTAGGACATTCATAAGGTGCATAGATGTTTAGTATGACAACATTCTTATCACCATAACTGAACTCAAGACCTATAGCCCAGTCTACTTCCAGCCTGATAACTTTGATCAGCTGGTCGCACCTTCTATGCCACAGAATATATCCTCACATATACAGGATGACTTGCCAGGCCAACTGGGACTGGCCGATTGCTGTAGTCAGATCTTAACCATGGGTGTCTTGGAAGATGCCTCCTTCGTCTATTTGCTCCTCCAGTACGTATTCTAGTTTTAGCCGTCACTCAGTCAGATAGCCTTTTTCAACCTTGACCTTGTGCTTGACAGAACCACGGCATTTCTCCTGACCTAATCAACAAGGACGCAGAACTGAATGAGGAAGATGTCAACGCAGAATCTGTATCCCGATTGGCAGAGGAGTCACCTCAGGGCAGCAAAGAGAGCATCATTGGTAGGACAGCGTCAAACCTTCTTTAATCAGAACCTGTCTAATAACTTATTTGATGTTTAACAGAACCTTTGATAGTCCTGATCTGGTGTGGACTAGAATCAGTATGTGCAGGCTTGTCTTTAACGAGTCTTTCTGATGAGGTCATGTAACATCCTTAGCATCTCCCTCAGGTTGATGGTTGGAATTCTGTTGTCTAACACAAGATCAGAGCCAGAACCTTCCTCTAACCAGAACCTCTTTCATTCATCAAGTCAGTTCTGTTTCTTCTTCTGTGTTTTCCATCATGATGGTCAGCTCTTTTCGGTCCTCCAACATCTTGTCCTGATCTTTCAGGGAGAACTGAATCACGGAGACCTGCAGAGGGCAACAAAAACCTTCAAGACCTTCTTGAGCAGTCTCGGATATCAAACACAATCACTACCAGCAACCAAACTGGACAAGCTACCGAGAGAGTCAACACAAGTGATCAAAATGAACCTATTTCAGCCCAGCCAGAACAAAAGACAGCACCCTTTGTTCCAAAGGAAATATGGACCGGTTTGGACAGGACCGTACAAGGTAAACCACATGTTGTGGCTGAAATCTCAAGAATCTTCTCAGATATCCTAATGTCCCTCCACCGGTGGACCTCAGATCTAGAGAACACACTGAAGAATGTTGAAAACGAGTCCGGTCTGCTTACAGGAGATGACCAAAGATCAACAAGACATGAGAGGAAAACCAGACAACCTGAAAAGGGGAAACTAAATCTTATGGATCTAACTGAGCAAAGGGGAACCCCAGAGAGTCCTAGAGGATCTCCGACAGAACCTCCTGCTTCAAGAGTCAGTTCAAGGTCAGAGTCAATGGGAGAACTGTCAGCTGTTAAAAGCAATGCTCAGACCATTTTGAGTCAAGCAGACCCTGAGATGGATGATGGCTCCTCATCAAAGAGAGAGTCTGTGGTTGGTCCTGATGGAGAATGGTTGGATCAATCTGAATCACCTGTAAAAGCCAGCTCTGAGGAGGTGGTTTTTATCGACTCTCACTTTGCTGAACCTCCTAATCCTGTCATAGAGTCTAAGTCTGATCCAAGTTTCAGTGATTCTTCAGCAAAAAAGCCTGAAAGTCACCCTGGAAGTCTTGGAAAGGAGGTGAGGAGGAGCCTAACAACATCAGCAAACTCTAACAACGGCCAAAGTTCGACAGTCATGAAGCTCCTGGAGGTGACGGCTGAAGAACTCCGAGCCATAGCTGTTCCTGAGTTGGCTCTGCTGAGTCTCCAGGAGGGAAGACCTGTGGATGTGTGTCCCTGTTCCAAGGCTGTTTCTGCAGACGAGGTGTCGAGCAGAGACATGGACAGCTGTGAGGAGGCTGCCGAGGGGGACTCTGACACCAACCCAGCATCAGAACTGACTCGGATCCATATTGGAGGTCTGGTTGGAGACAAAGACGTCCTTCCACCTGGGAAGAATCATGAAGAAGTTCATTTATACAGCAGGAAAGAGCAGAACTCGGCAGACTGTAGAGTCTCATGAGCTCACCAACGCCCCCTGCTGCTGGTCTTCATCAAACAGCCAAAAAATTCACAAGACAATCCAAAACCCATCCTGACCCTAATGAGTTATTGCTACCGAACAGATTTGAGTCCTTTCAATTAACATGAATTATATTTAATAATTATAAATAATTAACAAATAAAATGTACAGAATCTGATGGTTATGGTTTGTTCAGAGGTTTTATGATAATTGTTTACCATAAAACCTTTTATAAATTGCTCTTTAGTAGTTTTCAGAAACTACTCAAATTTCTGATGATTCATTTTTGTGACAAATAGATTCAGTTTGGCTCAATAATAAAATTGTCATGTTCTTGGTAAATTATTCTTTTCTGTAATTTAATGAAATTTCTGTAATAAAATATTGAATCCAATAATATTGCTGATGACGTTGTCTCATGAATGGATTCAAAGCTCCATCAGTGAACTCTGACCCCAAAATTCAACTTAAATTCCAAGTTGAAGTTCTTTCATCAGGGAGGAACCTGGGTCAGGACTAGGACTCCAGTTTCACTTCAGTCAAAAAAGAAAGACTCTAGACTTGATGTGTGCACGAGTTGTCACTCCAAAGCTTTAGGAATTGTTTCTGCATTAGCGACGCCAGCTGTTCCACAGGAGAACTGCAACAGTGTCATTCAATCCTTACTCAGCTGCTTTCATGAGGTCAAATCGTGGGTGACAAGCTAGATTTAAGTGAAAATATCTCCCTTTCAAAGAGATTCATCCATGCACAGTGTCTACTTCCGTATTGATTTTGTATATATGATATAATTGGGGCGACGGTGGCACAGGAGTTAAGTGCTCGCCCCGTAATCGGAAGGTTGCAGGTTTGAGCCCCGCTCAGTCTGTCGCTGTCTTTGTGTCCTTGGGCAAGACACAACCCACGTTGCCTGCTGGTGGTGGTCAGAGGGACCGGTGGTGCCAGTGCTCGGCAGCCTCGCCTCTGTAAGTGCGCCCCAGGGCAGCTGTGGCTACATCGTAGCTCATCACCATCGGTGTGTGAATTTGTGTGAATGGGTGAATGACTGATTGTGTTGTAAAGCACCTTGGGGGGTTCCAGGACTGTAGAAGGCGCGATATCAAATACAAGCCATTTACCATATCATTGATCTACAATTATCGTCTGATATTGACGTTAAAATGTAATATCAGAAATTATCTTTTTAAATCGTTTGTTTTGATTCTTCTCACTCAAAGCAGATCTGAGATTATGTTTTTGAGATACCTTTGCTTGTTTGGCACACTACACCTTAGTGACATTGAGGTAGTTGTCAAATTTTGCACAGATGTTTACGTATGCACGATGGGGTATGTGATTAAGTATTTCTTTATTGATTAGGAGGCGCCCCCACATACTTTGCTATCGATTTATATAGTACTGGAAAATAAGAATTAGACTACATCAGCAAAAAGGGGATATTGAACATTCCCAGTGTTGATCAGCTGATGCAGATCACTTCAACCAGGGAAGCATAATGATGACCGCATCTCAGCTACATTGACCTCCGTGTCCAGGGCATTTTAGGATTAATTTGACTTTTTAAATTCCTTAATGGCCTGGTACCTCATTGTAGTGGGCACTTGCTCAACTTGTGTCCTGCATTGAAGACATCTGGGTTAACCAGCAACTGCTGGAGGTCCCAAGACCAGAGGTAACCAAGCTTTGGGTGCAGCTAAGTCAGCTGTTTTGAATGAATAGTGTCAGTACATTAGGAATTACAAACCGTAACTGGATGGCAGCGAATTAGACTACATGTCCCAGACTGTCGCTGGACCCTAAAAAGTATATCTAGGTAGCAGGTCAGAGTTTTAGATTGTCTAGAGAGCAAGGGCCTACGTAGAATTCTGATATTTGACATAAACAATGACTGGTGGAGTTCCTCAGGGTCCTATAGACAGCCCCTCTGGTGTTTGGTTTAAATCAATAAAAAATGTGATTGAATTAATGAATGAAACAATGATGGGGCTTTCTTTGGGTCTCCTGAATGTGCCTGGTAAACCTCACCAGGGAGACGTCCAGGAGGCATCTTAACCAGATGCCCGAGCCACTGTGGATTCCTTTTATGGATTCAATAAGACACGAAAGATTAGACAAGTGTCTGTCACAGCGTGGGGCTCTATTTTCAGTTATATAAACAAGTTCTTTAGGACAGTGGGTTGCCGAGTGCCAGAGGCCCCAGCACAGAACCTTGTGGGACACCATGGGTAAGAGAGATGGTGGAGGACCTAAAATTGGAGACGGCCACAGAAAAGGAGCGCTCAGAGGGATAAGAGGAGAACCACTCCAGAGCAGATCCTGATAGGCCTACCCAGTCTCTCAGCCTCTCCAGTAGCAGGTGATGGTCAACAGTGTCAAAGGCTGCAGTCAGGTCCAGCAGGACCAGAACAGAACAGTCCCCTGCATCACTGTGAGTCAGAAGGTCATTAGAGACCCTAAGAAGAGCTGTTTCAGTAGAATGAGCTCTACAAAAACCTGACTGGAAGCTATCATGGATGTTATGCTCATCAAGAACAGCTGTGAGTTGTTTAGTCACAACCTTTTCCAAGATGTTGGAGATGAACGGAAGTTTAGAGATGGGTCTGGAGCTGCTATGGAGAGAGACGTCGAGACTCGGTTTTTTAAGAAGCGGGTGGATTACAGCGTTCTTAAAGTAAGCAGGGACCTGACCAGAAACCAGAGAAGCATTAATTATAGAGAGCACGCTGGGACCGATGGACTGAAAAGCACTTTTAAACAAAGATGAGGGTAAGATGTGGAGGGGGCATGCAGAGGTCTTCATAGAGTTAACTAGTTTGGTTAACTCAGGCAAAGAAACAGGAGCAAAGCTATCTAGGATGATGGGCCTGGTTGGAGTCGGGAGAGGCAGCGATAAGGCTGAAGGAGAGATGCTAGATCTAACCTTATTGACTTGACAGACACTGGATAGTGGACCAGAGTCTCTTCAAAGCTGTATGGAATTCTTGCTCCATGGTCCACAACCACCTGAGCTCCATTCTGCTTGAACTACTGGTTCCCGTCGGCTGCCTCTGGAGTCCCATAGGCCAAAAAGACTGATAGGACCTTTATTTATTTATTTTTTGAGTGACAATGGAGTCACGGAACATGGCCTATTCAGACTCGATGTCCCCCGCCTCTCCCGGGACTCATTTGAAGTTCTGTCGGAGGTGGGAATTGAAGCTCCTTTACAACAGAAGACTCTGACAGACGTTCCCAGCAGACCCTCACAATACATTTGGGCCTGCCAGGTCTGACCGGCATCCTCCCCCTTCATCGAAGCCAACTCTCCACCTGGTAGAGGTCAGTTGACAGCTTTGCCCCTCTCTTCACCCTACTGTCTAGGCTGCGGCCTAAGGTATCTTGGTGAGCACATATGGATACCTTCATGCTTAAACAAGGTGTTCGTTATGGACAATCCGTGACGAGCACAGAAGTCTAATAACAATCACTGCTCGGATTCAGATCAAAGGGGCCGTTGCTCCCAACCACACCTCTCCAGGTCTCACCATCGTTGCCCACATGAGGACTGAAGTCCCACAGGAGAATGTTGAAGAAGCTTACCTTACGTCAGTGAAAGCCTTGGCTTTGGCCCATCTTGCCATGTAGTCAGGGAAGACTGCAACCGCTGCCCGTTAAACTGGCCGCGGAAACATGTGCAAGTAAGAATCTCTGTGTAGTTATTAATAACGTAGCGTAAAGATTGTAGCTTGATGTTTGTTGCTCACCTGATTAGATGCTCTATGGAATCAGTCTGTTATTGGTTCTTTCTGCAGTTAAAGCACACCCTTCAGCATTCTCCACACCACTGTGGTCGAGCTAGATGGTAAATGGCCTGTATTTGATATAGCGCCTTCTAGATTCCTGGAACCCCCCAAGGCTCTTTACAACACAATCAGTCATTCACCCATTCACATACATTCACACACTGGTGGGGATGAGCTACGATGTAGCTACAGCTGCTCTGGGGCGCACTGACAGAGGCGAGGCTGCCGAGGACTGGTGCCACCGGTCCCTCCGACCACCACCAGCAGGCAATGTGGGTTAAGTGTCTTGCCCAAGGACACAACGACAGCGACAGACTGAGCGGGGCTCGAACCTGCAACCTTCCGATTATGGGGCGAGCCCTTAACTCCTGTGCCACCGTCGCCCCGGCTAGACCCGAGGTCCTCTGGAACTCCAAGAATCCAAATGTTGCATCTTCTCGATCACCCTTCAAGATCATCATATTTACCTTGCAATGCCGAAATGACCTTCTTTAGCTCTACCTCTGTGTTCCATAGGGAGATAACCTTATCAGACCAGGTGGACTGTGGACAGAGCTCCACCGATGCGTTCTGTAGCTCGACTCCCAGCACGCGGCTCTCCCTTGTTTCAGTTTAACCTCCAACATCTGTGAGAAGTCAGACTTCAATGCTCTGATTGTGTTATCTTTCAGCTTCAACATATCAGCAGTCTGGTGTCAATTGATTTGAAGGAGTTGAGACTGCTGCGGCTACAAACCGCCACAAGGATGCTTCTACTTTCTGGGCAGCAGTATGAGTGCTCTTGCTCTTTTTCAGTATTTGTCACTGTGCTACTGAGCCGTCGAGGGACCACAATGCACGTCAGTTCTGGCATTTCATTTACATTTCGGGCTAAAAGCCACTTTTTAAAAGGCCAGTCAGGAGCTTCAAGCACGTGTTCTAAACACCTGCCGCCATCTTGGACTCCATACAGTATAACGTTTATCCAAAAAAGGAAACCTGAAACATCTTCAAGTTAAACCATCCAGTTTATCTGATAACGGCAACGAAATGAATAACATTATGACAAATTGGTTTTGGTAGAATGCTTTAATAAACAGGTCTGATCAAGGTGGCACGATGCTCTTGTTTGGATGCTGCAACAGCAGAAGCTTAAACAGCTGTTGTTTCTTTGCTGTGTTGCAGAGCTGCAGTTGAAGAAACAGTTGGAAGAAAAAGAAAGTTTACAAGAGCAGGTGAGAGAAGAAAACTTTGGTCAAAAAGGTGAAACCATTGTCAGAAATCCACTAATGTCCATGTGGACAGGTGAGGCTGTTACAGTCTCAGCTCCATCAGAAGAACCAGGCTGACAGAGTCAAGAATCCAGAGGAGGAGAGGCTCGAGAACGGGATGGAATCTCTTCTGCTGGACATGCAGAGTGAGTTTCTGCATGCATCTGGTGTTTACCTGCTGCACAGTGAAGTTAAGCGTCGTTCTCCTTTTCTTTTATCTCAGGAGACACTAACAGGCAGATGAGTGATCTGAAGTTTAAACTGGTCAAATCTGAACAGGAAGTCACAGCTCTGGAGCAAAATGTAAGCTCTAACATGTTCGTTTGGTTTCAAGTCAGTAAATTATCCAATAACTTGTCAGCACTGCTACGACAGTCCTTCAGAAATAAAACCAAATTTTTATCATATTTCGAGACTTGACTTGGATGCGGTAATAAGTTCTTTTTTATGGTGGTAGGTCAGATAGGAACAGAAAACTGGACCTTCATTGGGTTAAACTTCTCCGTTTTTTACAGTAATCTAGCGGGTTTAGACACGTAAAACCAGATTAATTAAATCTGTGGCTTAATTACTAAAAATCGAGCTCTCAGGACCCGTAACTCTCTGTGAACCTGCTCAGGTGATCCGACTTGAGGGCAAGGTGAGTCGCTACAAATCAGAATCTGAGAATGCCCAAAAGATGGAAGATGAGCTGAAGGTGGAGAAGAGACGACTGCAGAGAGAGGTGAGACATGTCGGAACACCTGTCTGGTTCCTGGAACTCTTGAAATATTCACGTTGGATCTTCTCTGGGTCTCCATTGTCTTTCATTTGTGGACTCAACCTCTGGATTTATTGTGTTGATCCTGCAGCTTCGTTGGGCTCTGGAGCGGATCGGAGAGCTGGAGTCCACTAACAACCACCTGTCCAAGCGCTTGGAGAAAATGAAAGCCAACAGGAACGCCCTGCTGGCCCAGCAGTGACACTTCGTCCTGGGATGACCCTCCAGATCTGGTGAGGTTCTAGTCCACAGCCACCACCAGACCCAGATCCCACAAACAAGACTGAAGCCTAGAGTTCACCACCTGAAGACCCAAATAATTAAACATGGACCAAAATAAAATAGATTCATCTGGTCCTGAGTCCAGAGAGACTTGGGTCCTGTCCTGGTGAGGACTTGGTTCCTGGTGAGGATTCAGGTCCTGGTAAGAGAGGTTGAGGTCTCATGGTTCATCTGAGTGAAACATCTGCAGAGATAAAGCTTCACCCCGGTTCAAATTTACTTTATTAGTCTCAGGCTGAAGCTCCAGCTGGTAAAACTATCGGATACACATTCAGACTCGGGTACTAAAAACAGTTATCTTATACAAGTTAAAGAGGAAAAGATAAAAATCTTGTCTCAGTGATGTCCATAATGAGACTGTGTGTATAATGGACGAACCCTCCTGGCCCGCAGGTTGCTGAAGAGCTGAACTGAAACCCAGTGGGCGGTTCCCACCACCGTCTTGGCCACTTCTCATCACTCCCAGAAAATACAAAAAGGAGCTGAGAGCAGGGCTGGGAGAGTGGGGGCAGATGATTGACACCCATCAAACCCTGTGCTGATGTAGCTAGGAGCTATCTGAGCTAACCAAAGCAGGAGCTTGAAGGCGTTTTTAGCCAGAAAGTCATGGTTGAGTGACTCTGCTACCTCTGCTTTCTAGTCTGCAACACTTTTAACCTGGGCTGAGGCTGAGGCCTTCCATGTAGCAAGCAGGACAGCAAGCTGCTAGTGCTAGTGCCGATGGCTCATCTGCTGCCTGCCAATAGGCACGCCCCTAATTATTCATCATTTTAACCTTTAATTACATCCAAACAGATGAGTTGCAAAAACATTCACCCCCTCAGGGCTGCCACGACGGTAAACTTGACCTGATAAATCTAAAATTGTTTTTGGAACCAGGCTGTAAACATGCTTATTTCTGCTGTGAAGTTGACATTTTCAACATGGGAGTCGATGGGAGCGTTTTCCTTTCTGGAGCCAGCCCCTAATGGAAGAGTTGAGATTTGCAGTTGCTGTCACTTCTGGATTGGCTTCTCTTTTGGCAGAAAGAGTTTCCTCTTTGGTTCTACCCCAACATTTTTTGATTCTTTTAGTCTGCTGGTGTCTGCCACCTTCAGTCTGCTGCCCCAGCAGGTCATCACATACACTTATTAAACCTCCTGAGCAAAATTTGCCAGACGCTGAAAGACCAGAGCTGTCTCAAAAATAGAGACGAATGCTTTTATTAAAGTAGAGTAGTGCTCAGAGCCTAGTTCACTCCATGGTCCTCTACCATCACCACAACGCCTCCTCTGATGGAAACAGGAGTCGTATGTACTGATCCTGCCTAAATCTACCACCAGTTCTTCAGTTTTTGCTACATTAAAGATCCACCATGGTCTTTATGATCTGTGACATCAGGGATCTCTAAAGCCCCGCCCATCAGATGTTTGTATCACTGGTGACGGTTAAGGAGAATCCTTCTCTGTCTGATTGGTTAGATCCTAAAGAATCAGACTTCAGACTGAATCCCATTAGATCAGGATGGTAAGGCTGTGTACAGTGTTGGTAAACAATAATAAATTATTCTGCTCTCAGAGTTCACGCTGGGCACCGCGGTTCGTAGAACAAGAAGGTAGTTCTTTGTAACCAGAGCTGTCTAATTAGAGCTCTGTTGAAGACAAGATACGTCTGCATCAAAGATTTTTGTAGCCAACAACAGTAAATCCCCAGCTTCCTAACGTCTTCCACTAATCAATCAACCAACACTTTACTCAACAAACTAACAGACCAACTAATAAGTCATATAACCAACTGACCAATCAGTAAATCAAACAACACTCCAATAAAAGTGGCGGTTATTCTCATGGAAACAATGACCAGCATCTGGAGATGGATTTAGGAGCCTTGATCTGGGGTCAGGAGGTTTATCCAGAACCTGCATGCTCTGATCCAATCATCTGGTCTGGCTCCTGTCCTCCTACCAGACATGGCCCGCACCAGAGGACTGTCCTGCTTCTACTGGGCCGACAATCTCTTAGAACACATGTGTCAGACACAGCATTTTTATGTGGCCCGGAAGATAAATATCAAAATATGTTAAAAACTGACCCGCTGGCTGATGTTACCGCAAAGACTACAACTCCCATGATGCTTTATGGCTTTAGCACGGGCCGCAGGGCCGAAGCGTCCCCTCCTTTGTGTTTTTTCAAGCGTCTGCTGCCGGTGTCTGCTAGCCTAGTGAACTAGACCAAATTCTTGCTTTGCAAAGTTTGGTCTAGGAACGCTCCACTGGAGCCTCTGCAGCCCTAACAGCATTTTGGCTAGCCAATCACAGCTCTCCAGAGGGGTTTCAAACACATAAAGAGCTGTGATTGATCCATAATGGTGGGCCAATCATAGTGCTCTATCTGCTTAGTGAACAAATCACAGAGCTTTATCCGCTTTGTGGGCCAATCAGGGCACTTTATATGCCTGGTGGGTGGGATGATGCAACAGAGGGAAACAAGATGGCGACAGCTCGTTTGAAACGGCTTTTACATCAATTTTGGACTATTAGAACTTGGGCTTCATTACAATCAGGAGCAGATAGATGTATTTAAGTGCTTTTTCTTTTTAGAAAAAATGATGTGTTTTCTCCTTCAACTGTGGGCCGCCTCATTTACTGATAGCTGTTGCGGTGAGTATGTCACATTCATTGTCCAGTAGCATGCGGAGATCATTTGAAAGACAACGGTAGAAACCACCCTACAACCGAGAGCCATCAATGGAGCGTTGCCAGACTAAATAATACATTTATTTAGTCTGGATTGCCAGGCTAGGTGTCTGCAGCAGCTCCGCTGTCTCGGACAAACTAAACACTCCTCTCACTCAGCGCCGAGTTTACTCAGCTGTTTGCCGACGTTGAAGCCCAGAAACGGAGATTTTAACCGCTCAGTAATGTGTTCACGACTGAAAGAGAAAGTTTTCCAACTAACTTCCAGACAGAGCTGATATAACTCCAGCGAGCAGCGATACGCTCAAATCAGCACGGCTCTGTGGCTGCTGTAGTTTTTATTTTTCCTCCCCGACACACATTAATGTGGTCAAGCTGCTCAGACACTCTCCATGTTCAGCAGCACAAATCTTTGTGAGCACCTGTTGTCATCTAGTGTTGTCATTATTATGATGAAGATGAACAAAACAACAGGAGTCTCCTCCTCAGCTCAGAGCTGAACCCCATGATGCAGGTATCTGGCTGGAACAGGTGAGCATCACAGTAAACCAGTGGAGCAAACTGAGCTTTAAACATGTTGGTTTTATGCTCTTTTTCTGCTCCAAAACATGAAACAGGTGAGATGTTGCATTTTCATTTAAGATAAAATGATATATTTATTTTGTTGTTGGCCCGTGAGAAAAGATTTAACCTGCAGTAGAACAGGAACTGGAAAGGCTGCAGATAGATGAATAGAATAGAAAATCCCTTTATTGTTCCTCAGTGGGGAAAGCTAGACGTCACAGCAGTGATGACACTTATTACAGGAGAAAAAAAGGAGAATAAATTAGAAAAATTAACAAGAAAACATAAATCCTGAATAGATTTTAAAAATGCTGATTATACCACAAGTAATGAATACCACTGATACGTTTTATTTAAAACTGACTTTCTTGTGTGTAATTTGGTTATTCCACATTCAGTGTTGATGCAAAAATAAGTTTGTTTCCAAATTAAAAGTTTCAAAATTGCATATATGTTGATAAAGAAAATGTGCAAATTTGCCGTCACTTTTTCAAAAAATATTAAGTTTGGCCCTTGACTCCGTCCCAGATTTTCATTTCGGCCCCGTGTGAGTTTGACTTTGACACCCCTGGTCTAGAACGTTTGATAGAGAACAGACTGCTGGTCAGAACCTCAGAACAAACCGTGAGGCTCACACCTTCATGTGTAGAGTGGAACGTTTTATAGTCTTTGATTTTTATTTCATTAAACAGATAAAAACAAAATTTGATTTAATTAAATAAAAATGAAAGTCATCCCAGCAAAACAGATCAAAACGAGAAATCAAGGCTAAAATAGTGTTAATGGTTCTGTTTGCTCCGGAGCTGGAAATAGAACCACCAGCATCATTTAAACACGTTTAACTGGTTTGTGTTTTAACTGATGTCATTTATTTAGTTTTCTTTAAGTCTTGCAGCTCTAACTGAAAGTGTTTGTTGTTTTTCAGATGTTAGTGATTTTATTTTGTTCTTGTTCACTCATACTAATGCTATAAATGCATTTTATGAATAAAGTTAGTATGATCAAATGAAAACTGGTTGTATTTTCACTACCAAGGTTTTACATTTTTTATGTTGAAAGTTTTATTCCCATTATCAGATGTGATTTCAAACTAACGAGATATTTCAAAAGTACAAGTGTACTACAATATTACATTGCGAGAACTAATGAATGCATCTCTAAATAATAATAATGATAATAATGCATTGAACTTATATAGCGCTTTTCTAGACACCCAAGGACGCTTTTTCACACACACTCTCACATTCACACACTGCTCGTGATGGTAAGCTACTTGTAGCCACAGCCGCCCTGGGGAGGTCTGACAGCCATTTGGCGCCGTCGGCCCTTCTGACCACCACTAACACAGGCAAGTTGGGTGAAGTGTCCTGCCCAAGGACACAACAGTAGGATACACCTGGCGGGAGCTGGAATCGAACCCATGACCCTCCGATTATGAGGCAATTCGCTCTACCAAGTGAGCTACTGCTGCCCCGAAATGGGCAATGGGCAATTATTTTCCATCACAACCCCTCGGGGAACGTCGTTTTTTTAATTTCCGGGTTGAGAAGGCTTCGCCTTATATTCTGCAGGCACCGTGCTCCTGTGTGTTGCTCGTTCTGATGGATAAAACAGGCAGCCTGCTGGTTAGACTGAGGGCTGTAGCCACTTACAAATTTTCATTGACCAGTCCAGTTATTATGTCTTGGTAAGGCTTGATGCAAAATTTCATGAAAATGTCGGAGACCCCAGTAAGAATGGCTCCTGCACTGAGATTGGAGCTATTGAGGTTCTCAGTAAATAAATAAATGAACTCAACGAGTGGGGCTGGGTTACAATAACTCAATATTAGCTTGGAGAGGTTGATCCTGTATAATCTGACCAGTATTCAGCTTTTTCAGTTGTCTCCTTTGAAATGTGGATACTTCCACATCCTGAGTCATGGCAGCCCTTTAAAGGCGGAATATGGAACAGGAACACCAAAGCGACATCTAGTGTGTGTAGGTTGTAGTTGCATCAGTAGAAAAAGGTTTCCAGCTGTCGGGATTCCAGGTTTGCTGCCGATGACGTTTTTTATTTGTGTCTGTCTGTTGTAGGCTTCGCCCAAACTTGGTCGTTCTTCTTCTGAGAAGGATAACGACATCTTCTGGGCTCAGAAGCAGCTGCTTGAATTGCCGAGTCCACCGTTTTCTACAGCAGACTATTTGGCATTCTGCAATGGCGCCCTCTGTTGGCTGGGAGATGTAAACATAAAGCCAGTGTTGTGCCGTCAAAATAATAATTTGATTATTTTTAATAAAATATAGCTTTTAAAGGAAAACCTGCACCTTCGTTCTAAACATCTCTAAAAGGTGTTGTTTTTGTAAAATAAATCCTCGTCATGTAACATCATGTGTTCACCTTCAGGACTGAACCCATCAGGTCCTCATCTGATCGTGACTCGCCTCAAAGGAATGAACTCTGACCTTTCACTCAACCGTCATACGCTGAAGGGCTGAAAAACCTTTGACCAGATGTTCAGATTAAGAACTCTGGTTCACTTTTCTGATTTTATTCCAAACCTGATCAGGACTCAGGAGGAGCCTCATCCCAGACCCTCATCTAGACCTCATGACCCTGCAGAAGGTCTTTCAGCTTCTCATCTAGATGAGACAGGGTTTGAGTTTGGACCATCGATCATGTTTCCAACAAGTGAAGAAACACAAACACTTAGAGTTTCTGCTTCAGCTGTTTTCATGTAATAAATAATTTATTTACATCAAACTTTAAATTTTAAACATCTCTAAACGTCTCCATCGCTCTCGTTCCCTCTCAGCTGATGTTCAACGGTTTAGTAGTTACTGCTAGAATCTCTGCTGCTGATCAGCTGGAAACCTCCTCCTGCTCTCCCTCCTCTTGGCCCTTCTCACTTTTGCTCCTCCTTGTTGATGATGTTCTTGAGGAGCGTCACCAGCGGTTTCTGCCGCCCCTCCTCCCAGCTCTTCATGAAGCCTCCGTAACGTTTTCCTTCTGGTGGCCCACTCCAGCGGAAGTGCTTCATCTTGTATGAGCCATCTTTCTTCTGCTGGAGATCTCCCAGAAGCTGCTGATGCTCCTCCTCTGCCTCCTCCATCACTTCTTGAGCCTTCTCCTCTTCTCCTACAGCTGCCAGCAGCTCATTGGTCAGCTCCCGCTTCCTCATCTCACCAGGGAACACCTCAGCAGACTCCTCTGCAACATCATCAGAGGAGTAGACTTTAACTGGGCGGCGTTTGCGGCCGACGGGTTTCCCCCAGCGGAAATGCTCCATGGAGTAGGAGCGCTTGGCCTGAGGAGAGAAGGAGATGATGGAGGAGGGCTCTGAGGGGGGATTGGGGGGCTGAAGATGGGCACTTCCTGGGATGAGGGGGGTTTCAGCTGTGAGGTCGGTCCGACAGAGCTGGATGCAGTCCTGAGACCAAGAAGAGATATTGTATTTCAGGAATGAAAACTGAGAATAAACAATATGGCTGCCAGGATTACTTAAATCAAGTCAGATGCTTTAAAGAAACTGAAACCTTCATCTGGACCAGAGCTGCTTTTTAAATAAATCTGTGGAACTAAAGTTCTGCAGAAGAAAGCCGTTACCATCATGCCGCCCTCACTGTGCACATCCTGGCAGCTTGGGTGTTCCCAGCACTGACCGACAGCTCCTTTGGCTCCACCCACAACCACCACTACCACCAATAGCCACGCAGGACACATCCTCCTATCCACCAATCAGAGACAGGAGGAAAGATGAGCAAACTGTTTCAAGTACTTTTATTTCATGAAGAGTAATGACATTAGTTGAAAAGATGAAATATGTATAATGAGAAATGAAGTAATTTCTTTTTTTTGGGGGGGGGGGGGGGTCAACCAACAGCAAAATAATTCCATTATTTAATTAATTTATTGTAATTTTTTCTTACTAAACCTACATAAATTTTTTAGAGTGTGTGTTGTCTTAAAAATGTAATTTCTTGACTTATTTAATCTTATCATAATGATGAAAAAGCAAGATTTAATTATTTACTCTGTCATCAATCAGCAAAGCTCAAAAACCCATTTACCCACTCACACAAACTGATTTATACATAACAAATAATCATTTGCTTAAATGTGGTTTTGGATGACTTTTAATAAATAATAACTTATTTTTTCATTGGAAATCGTTTCAAAAGTTTGTGACTCTGTGAAACATAACACAGGATAAAAATAAGACTTCAGAGAAAATGAAATCAGCATGAAATAAACATTAAATCAGAGAAGGTTTAAAGCTCCACACCTGTTTTCCTGTTCCTCCTCTTATTGCTGAAGGTCTCCTGGATGAAGATGCTTCTTGTTTCGTCTCTTCCTCTGATGATTCAACCTGCTGCTCAACTTTTATACTCTGTCTGTCAAGGACACACACACACACACACACACACACACACACACGTCATCAGCAGCTGGTAAACACCACTCAGTAGAACATCTTCTTCACTCCCGTTAGCGTTAGCGTTAGCTTCAGGAGGTTATAGATCAATTCAAAGTTTGAACACAAACCGATAAATTAAAAGACTTGATGTTTAATCAGAACCAGAACCAGAACCAAAGGCGTAAGCATGTCACTTCCTTTCTCGGAATTAAAGGTCAGACTCTGATCACAAGGATTAGCTCAAAGGTGACATGTCGTCACTACAGGAACCACAGAATTCAAACCAGTGACTCATGGTGTTCCATTACAGATCAGTCCTTTGTCCAGGTCCTCCTGGAACCAATGCTGCTTCAGGACCAGGTTCAGGTTTCTCTCTGAGGTTTAGAGTTCTGATCTTGGTATAGCTCCCTGAAGATGACTACAATTCATTCAGAGGCGTCATGACCTGCAGGTGTCAGGGTCTACAGGGGTCTTGGTCATGGAAGTGGATGAGTGGATAGGTGGGTGGATGGAAGGATTCAATTCAGTTCAATTCAGTTTATTTATAAAGCTCCAAATCATGACAAGAGCCATCTCAAAGCACTCCACATGGAAAACATTCCAACGCAGGTCGGTTCATTAAGCCAGTAAGTAAAAGTTTCCTATTCATGTACTGTACAAGGAACCCAGAGGTTCCACACGGTTCTTTACTTTGTTCTCAATAGCTTATTTATTGCCATCACTTCCTTTTCTGAGGTTCTGGTCCAAAGATGAGAACTTCAGTCTTGTCAGGATTTAACAGCAGAAAGTCAGAGTCTTCCAGATTTTTATGTCTTCAAGGCAAGCCTGTTCTCTACCGAACTGCTTAGGTTCATCAGGGCTTACGGATAAATGGCCTGCATTTGATAAACATAAATATAACTGAGTATCATCAACATAACTGTGGAAGTTTTTAAATATATACATACACACACACACACACACACACACACACACACACACACACACACTCATATATATATATATATATGTATATATATATATATATATATATATATATAGAGAGAGAGAGAGAGAGAGAGAGAGAGAGAGAGAGAGAGAGAGAGAGAGAGAGAGAGAAAGAGAGCTCAGATTGGATCCGCTGCTCCTCCACATTGAGAGGAGCCGGTTGAGGTGGCATCGGGTCAGGATGCCTCCTGGACGCCTCTCGGGTGAGGTTTTCTGTGCACTTCCAAATCAGGAGGAAGACCCAGGACACGCTGGAGGGACTCTGTCTCTCGGCTGACCAGGGAACACCTTGGGATTCTCCTGGAGGAGCTGGTCCAATCAGCTGGTTTGAGGAAAGTGTGGGCGTCTCTGCTTAGGCTGCTGCCCTCATGACCCGACCCTCCGATAGATAGATAGATAGATAGATAGATAGATAGATAGATAGATAGATAGATAGATAGATAGATAGATAGATAGATAGATAGATAGATAGATAGATAGATGATAGATAGATAGATAGATAGATAGATAGATAGATAGATAGATAGATAGATAGATAGATAGATAGATAGATAGATAGATAGATAGATAGATAGATAGATAGATAGATAGATAGATAGATAGATGATAGATAGATAGATAGATAGATAGATAGATAGATAGATAGATAGATAGATAGATAGATAGATAGATAGATAGATAGATAGATAGATAGATAGATAGATGATAGGAGTTTACAAGATTTTTATTAATGAGGCTCTTGGTTCCTTTAAGAAGTTGGCATATACAGTGTGTGCGTGCGTGCGTGCGTGCGTGCGTGTGTGTGTGTGTGTGTGCGTGCGTGCGTGCGTGCGTGCGTGCGTGCGTGTGTGTGTGTGTGTGTGTGTGTGTGTGTGTGTGTGTGTGTGTGTGTGTGTGTGTGTGTGTGTGTGTGTGTGTGTGTGTGTGTGTGTGTCTGCTCTGTCTTCTCGATCCCCAGTGAGTCATGGTGGATGGCTGCTTATACGGAACCAGGATCCTCTGGAGGTTTCTTCCTGTTAAAAGGGAGTTTTCCTCTCCACTGTCGCTGCATGCTTGCTTAGTATGAGGATTGCTGTAAAGACTCTGACACTAGTCAGTGACTCAATGCAACCTGCTGAGTTCCTTATGTAGGAAACTTTTTTCTGATTGGCTTAATGAACTGACCTGTATTGGAATTTTAATGTACAGTGCCTCTCAGAGTAAGGACTCCAAAGCGCTTTACACTACAGTGTATCATTCATCCATTCACACACACACATTCATACACTGGTGGGGATGAGAGGGGATGTTTACTGTGTGAAGGTCCTTGAGATGACTCTTGTTGTGATTTGTCGTCGTTGTCTTCCTCCTCTTATCCGGGTCCGGGTCGCGGGGGCAGCATCCCAACTAGGGAGCTCCAGACCGTCCTCTCCCCAGCCACCTCCACCAGCTCCTCCGGCAGGACCCCAAGGCGTTCCCGGACCAGATTGGAGATGTAACCTCTCCAACGTGTCCTGGGTCGACCCGGGGGCCTCCTGCTAGCAGGACATGCCCGAAACACCTCCCCAGGGAGGCGTCCAGGAGGCATCCTGACCAGATGCCCAAACCACCTCAACTAGATCCGGAGGAGCAGCGGTTCTACTCCGAGTCCCTCCCGAATGTCCGAGCTCCTAACCCTATCCCTAAGGCTGAGCCCGGCCACCCTATGGAGGAAACTCATTTCGGCCGCTTGTATCCGCGATCTCGTTCTTTCGGTCATTACAAAGCTCATGACCATAGGTGAGGATTGGGACGTAGATGGACCGGTAAATCGAGAGCCTGGCTTTCTGGCTCAGCTCCCTCTTCCCCACGACAGATCGGCTCAGCGTCCGCATCGCTGCAGACGCCGAACCAATCCGCCTGTCCATCTCCCGATCCCTCCTACCCTCACTCGTGAACAAGACCCCGAGATACTTAAACTCCTCCACTTGAGGTAGGACCTCTCTCCCGACCCGGAGTTGGCAAGCCACCCTTTTCCGGTCGAGAACCATGGTCTCAGATTTGGAGGTGCTGATCCTCATCCCAGCCGCTTCACACTCGCCGCGAACCTACCCAGCAAGAGCTGAAGGTCAGAGCTGGATGAAGCTAGGAGGACCACATCATCCGCAAAAAGCAAAGACAAGATTCTCCTGCCACCAAACTCGACACACTCTACACCACGGCTGCGTGTTGTGATTTGGCGCTTTATAAATAAACTAAATTGAAGTGAAACTGAGTCAGTCTGGTTACATCTGGTTTCATGGTTCTGCAGAAAAATCACTTTAGTTTTGATACAAACTCTAAGCAAATTTCTTCCATTTAAAACATAAAGATCATACTCTGTTCAGTGATCTGGATTTAAAGATTTTCCATCGACCCCCAGAACCACCATTTGAATCTGAGCGGACTTTAGAATGAAACATCAGAAGTTTGCGTCAATCAGCAGCTTTTATGTTTTTGTATGTTTCTAGCTGAACGTCTTGAGGAAAAAGGATAAATATAAACCCACGGTCTTGGACATCGTTGAGTCCATTAAACACACACACACACACACACACACACACACACACACACACACACACACACACACACACACACACACACTGCAGCTTTTAAAGTTTTCTAATGCTTCCCTGCTCTGGTGATTCATCAGAATCACAGTTTGTGGTATAAAAACAAGTTCTACATCAGTAAATCTGATCATCGAGAAACCAGTTCATATAAATCAGATCAATAACTAGTTACCTTTCCTGAAGCTCACTTTGAGACAGAAAAATAAAAACATCAAATAATAATTCATCATAATAAACTACAAACTAAATATAACATAAGTGTAAAAATAACTGAATTGAATCAAAATACTAACATGATGTGTGTATTTTCTGGAGACCACCAGAGGGCGATGTCTCCTGTAGATTGACTCAATGGGTCGATAATTTGTCCAGGTGGTAATCAGCTGTGTTCAGCTAATTAGATTTTAATTAATTAGATTTAAAATAAACAATTTAAAACATAAACTGAAACATCAAACCACAAGTCAGATTTCATCAACTCTGATAAACATTATTGTCCATTTTAATACAACACATGAATAAGGATCCTCCAGTACCACAGAACCTCTACAGCCTCACTGAGAACCAGAACCACACATTATACCAACGAACATCCATCAGCATCAGTGGATGTGGCTCTACCAACCAGGACCTGAAGATCCTGATTCACATGGGTCAAACCAGGTCATAAAATGGAGCTGAGGTGTGTGTGTGTGTGTGTGTGTGTGTGTGTGTGTGTGTGTGTGTGTGTGGTGGGTGTGTGTGTGTGTGTGTGTGGTGTGTGTGTGTGTGTGTGTGTGTGTGTGTGTGTGTGTGTGTGTGTGTGGTGGGTGTGTGTGTGTGTGTGTGTGGTGGGTGTGTGTGTGTGTGTGTGTGTGTGTGTGTGGTGGGTGTGTGTGTGTGTGTGTGTGTGGTGGGTGTGTGTGTGTGTGTGTGTGTGTGTGTGGTGGGTGTGTGTGTGTGTGTGGTGGGTGTTGGGTCCTTGGGGGCATCCATCAGGAAGTGGGTCAACCTTTAAGTGAATCAAGTTGAATTCACACACACACACACACACACACACACACACACACACACACACACACACACACACACACACACACACACACACCTTACCTTAAGCCTCTATATAAACTGTCTGTTACATCTTCATTTACAAGTCAAATCCAGATATGTAAACACACACATCTTGAGAGGATGTAGTACCAGACTGGGCATTCTTCTGTTCAGGAGCAGAAAGGTCCAGAACGACTTTTCGAGGGGGATGGCGGGTCAGAACCAGACTTTAAAGAACCTAGCAACCATTTGGGTCAGTGGAGGTTTTGCGGTTTTATAAAAGGTGAAAGTGATGTTTAAGTTCAGGTGGGTTCACTGAGCGGAACAAACCCATCACCTTAATCCAATTATGCACCAAGATTGAGTGTGTGT